GAAACAAAATCTCACAATGTCTATATCCTACTTCAGCGGCAACTTTAACAGATTCTTCACATTCTTTACCAGTAGCTTTAAAAACTCCAAATCCTAATCTAGGCATGAAAGCCCCACTTGAGAGTCTCACAGCAGATTCGATCGTTAATGACATGATTCTTCTCTTTATTTCTCTTATCAATTTGTTCAATCTTTATAGAAAGCCCTTTTTTTTTATCTTTGTGAAAGAGGAAAGAGGAAAGTGAAGAAGAAGAAGAAAGATAAAGTGTGAGATGTGAAGAAAGGGGTCGAATCGGTTTCTATATTGCAGTAACCACATTTAGAAAGGGACCGAGGTGGAGGTTTGACTCGGAGTCCGGGGTAGTCACCACTTACCCGATCTACCTAGTGCTACTTGTACTGGGCGGGTACGGGTACTTTATCCCGCAGTCTACGTCCACTTTGGATTGATAATCACTTCTCATGTGTCATCCTTCAATAGCTCAACAATGGAGTCGGAAGGTGATCCACCCCCGAGCCCGTCGGTACTGATCGGTTCTCAGGAATGACCGAACCGCACCCCGGAATCTTAGATGGCGAACTCGTGTCTCCTCAACACATCGGACCAGAGTACGAGTACGAGTAGACTACCCTACTTGCCTGTCCCATTTACTTCGTTATTGACCACGGTCATGGCTCTCCTTCGCGTCAATCAGGCTCAAGTCAGTGTAACCACACAACGCATACTCATCATGAAGCATGCATGTAGAAAACACTAGCACCTATTCCCCGACATTTCTAGCCACCTGGGCATATCTCACCTCTACTTTCATCCCGACATCAAGTCGAGAACAGTCATATCAATGTCCATATCATTCCTCTCCTTCTTAATCCCAACAGAGCTTCGATTTGATCCACAGGGTCATCATCTCTCTCTAACGTCTCACAATTCAGATGTCTCGATATATTCAACCACGCTCAGTATTTGCTGATAGCGTTAAGGTAAGTCTGGCCTGATTCACTTGGACGTCAGCCATGTGCGATGTGTGACTTGGTGGAGCCACTGATGATACGATGACGAGTCGAGAGAAATGACATGATTTGAGAGAACAATAAATGTTGACGACTTACGATAATGAACCATCGGCATTCCAAGGGGGCCAAACGTTACCTAAACCTTCGCCAGCAGACATCATGTACCCAATCACACGACCATCATTTTGAAGCAAATCGACGATTTGATTGATGAACGTATTGATTTGACCTTGGTCTGAGCAAGGGATGAAACCGTTTTGATCATCCACGCAAGCGAACTGAACGTATCAGCTCACACCGTAATACATCACACTCAATCTCATCATACCCAAGGAAGACGAGGAATGAGTAATGTGGTGGGTGACGACACTCACTTCGGTCACAATCATCGGTTTTCCATACGCTTGCCAGTAATGATCCAAGTCCAGCTGCACTCCAGCCATGTCTAACTTGTTGATATGTAGTGCCGTGACATCCCAATCGACGTTGATGAGTTTTTGGAATGGTCCCAACCAAGTTTCGTCGGCTTGTTTACACATCCCAGGAGAAATCAAAGTCGCTCCTGCGGCTTTCCAAGGTGCGATGACAGAGTTCCAAACTCCGGCAGCTGTCCAATCAATTTTGATCATATGGATGAACGATAAACGTACCTGCTCCCACGTCTATCCCGGAGCTTCCTGTTGTATAACAATCTGGTTCTTCGAAACCCAACACGTAAGTGTTGGTAGGGGTGAGACTTTGAAAGGTAGCCATTCGAGAGGCGTCATTTTCATTAGCGCCTTGAGCACCGATACCCCATAACATGGGCATGGCGACGATACCGCCGATATCGGGGGAGGGATTGGCACTCCAATCTATTCCGTCAGTCACGAGTAAATCATGGAAAGGAGGAATGACTGACCGTAGCAGGAACCAATCTTGCCGGAATAGGGGCCAAGGTTGATACATTGAGATGTACCGGCTTTCTTACCCCCAGGCCAGCCCGTGGAACTACTACCGCCACCACCACCACCGCCGCCGCCGCCGCCGTTGTTGTTGTTGTTCGAAGCGGCGGGGGATGTTGCAGCAGGAGAAGCGCTAGGCTGATATCGTCAGCACGGTCCTTTGCAAAGGTCCATCCAGTATCACGCAAGTTGCGCAGTTTAGTGCATTGATCAAATGGGACATGAGAAGAGATTCTGATGGGTATGATTGACTCACAGCAGTACTGACAGCAGCATATTGAGCAGCAGGTTGGAAATCATCCGTACTACTGGTCGGAGCCGGACTGGAAGAAGGGGTGTCACTCCAAGTAGAAGTAGAAGTTGTCGTCTGAGTCCAAGTGCTCGTACTCGACGTACTAGAACTCAAACCCAAAGCTTGATTGATAGTTCCAGTGGAATTCTTAGGACGACAAACAGCTTGTGCTCCACGTTTTTTAACGACACGTTTCCCAATCACATTGTAAGGTGCTTCCCTTCGTTCGATAACTTCGTTTAATCGTTGTACAGCACGTCGATGGCGAGAATTATCATGAGAGTTATGTGCCAAAGTGTCCGAAACGAGAAGAGCTAGGATTGGTAGTAAAGCGATCAATTGCATGTTGATTCGTTTGATGTCTTCTTTTCGACGGGTCGATTTGATGATTGTCGTAGAGAGAGAAAGAAAGGGATGGTTACTTGGTTATCAAGGAAAAATCGATCGAGAGGTTCAAAAATGAGCGTGACGGTATATTTGTATTACCTGTTTATGGATGACGAGAAAGATGAGGAGAATGTAGAGAGTAAAGATGTAAAGATGAAGAGGAAAGAAAAAAGATGTCAGCTGGTATGTAATGTAAATGACACAAGATAAGTGTTCTACTCGTACAGAGGGACCAGGAAGGAAGCAAGTAAAAGGGGAAACGGGGGGGGAAAGAGGTCAATGCTGCTTCCTGCTGTTGCACACCACTTTTTTTAGGGTCAAAGTCCAATTAGACGATCGTACTGAAATCCCCTTGTTTTTCTCACGAGCCCTCACATCTTGATCCCTTGAGACCGAGCCCCCAAAAAGCCCAGAAAGCTTTGATCGATCATGACTTCTACACCTCTGCTTTTACCCCTTGTCCTCGTGTCGCATTGACCCCCTCCTTTCAACATGAAACACTTTATGGCACGGACCATCCCTTCAGTTTTCCCCAAGTGGAGGAGAAGTGAAGAAAAAGGAGAAGAAAACTCACCTTTGTCTTTTAAACACTTCCAAACCTGTCGGAGCGTCGGCGTGGCGATATCGAGTATCGATGATATCGTCAAAGATGGAAAGAGTAGAAGAGGGAAGAGGAGAATACGTGTCAGATTATCGTTAGAATCCTAGACAAAGGACAATGTTTCGGGTGCTTTACACCACGTGGTTAACAAAGAACAAATTCCATCCGACGCGTCAGGTCGCGTACACGGGTCCCCTAAATGCAGATCTCTGATCTCTCATATATCAATTCCTGGATGCTGGAATAGAAGAGCCAGACAATCACCTCGAGGCAGTATTCAGCTAGACAGACCAATCTCTGAACGTGGTCTCGACACGTTACAATGCATTTGGTACTTATGATGCTTTTTAGATGACAACACCTCTCTCTTTCATTCCTCTCCCCACTACTGCTCCAACTCAAAACCCCAAACATCGTTCGACTTCTCAAAACTCACATCTTCCACTTCATCTTCCATCGACACACTGTCAACATCATCATCATGCTCTACCTCACCTTCAGCACCTAAACCCCATCCATCTTCCTCACCACCCCATTCCCACCCGTCCTCTTCCTCCTCGCCTTCCTCGGCATGTTGAACCTTCCTCACCACTAAAGCCTCCACGCAGATCATCTCTCCGGTCGGTGGAACTTCCGATTCTCCTCCATCCGAGCTGGACGATGGAGCGTGTTCCGTGTCTGACCATGGAGATACCGGCCGGGAGCCCGCAGTGACGGTTCGGACGTCTGCGAAGGAGAGGGATAACGAGTCCAGAGGTTGATGAAGCAAATCATCAGGCGACGACCCTGCTGGCGATGCTAATCTCAGAGAGGAGGGGATAGCAGGTTGATGACGGTGCATAGGGAGAGGTGCGAATTTGGTCATGGGTTCAAGTTTTGGTGATTGTTTGAGGATTGCTTGGGTTTCCAGCCAGAGTGGGTTGGTCCCATCTCCTCGTATTAAATCAAGACGTCGTTGTTCGATCCGCGCGGCCGCACGAGCCTTCTTAAGCTCCAATTTCACCCTTCTCTCCTCGATCTCCTCAGGTGTGAGTTCTGATTGAGATTTGGGTAAACGTGGAGAGGTCTTGTACCGTCCTTTCTTTTCACAGTCAGGTCCGATAGGAGAATGATTGTCTAGATCGAGATGGAACGGAGGGATATCGTCTTCTGGCGAATCTCTTCTCCATTTTGACTTTGGGGAGGGGTTGTTGGAGAGAAGTTCTTCCATACTGGGTTGAGCGAAAACGAGTTTTCTTTCTGGAGGGTTTGGTTCCGACTTTGGAGGGAACATATCGGGATCGATAATGGACGGACGAGGTGATGATTTTTCAAGGATACAGGAGGAAGAAGAAGAAATGGAAACTGAAGATGACGGAAGGGATGATTCCACCGAACGCTTGTTCAAAGCCGCCGTACCGGTTATTACAATTTCCTTCAAGACAAGTACTGTGGCGCCCAACTCAGAAGCCATCAGTTCGAGTGTTCGTAAAGAAGCATCCATTTCCGATCGAGTGAGCCCTATGACAGTTCCATCATCTGAGAAGTCAGTCTGGTCCTGCGAAACTGTTCCGATAAACAGGATGGACCAAGAAACTGCCGGATCTTAAGGTAAGAGAAAAAGGATGTTTTACTCACCAGCCAGTCCGATCTCATATATCGCCTCGTTCTTTCCCTGCTTCAACCTCCATATCATCTGCGTGACTAACCTCTCAAATCTCTCAGGAGTCGGATCGATCAATTTCAATTTATACTCTATATGTCCTCTCTTATCCTGTTCCGCCACCAACTTTGGTCTTCCCGAAACAGACGGAGTGGGACTGGGAGAATGATGTACTAATTGATGTCTCCTAGCTGCTGAATCTGGTCGAGCTAGTAGATCTTCCCATTCTCTGAGTGCTTGTGAAGTTGATAAAGCGGGTAAAGGTGGGGAAGGGGAGGGAGTGTTAGGAGTAGGAATGGGATTAGAGTTGGGTTTGAGATCAGGAGTGGATATTGAAGGTTTACGAAGTGGTAAAGATGTTTCGGATAGAGAATGAGAAAGATCTGTCCATGGTGATGGACGACGTGGGAGATCGGGTGTTGAATTATGATCTCCCAATAGGATGGGTGGTGTTTGAAGGGCTATCGGTGACATCACCGAGTGTTTTCCGTCTCTCCTGATTTCCTTCACCTCCTCTTTTCCTATGCTTCTTGTGTCTGATGGTGGTTGATAATATCGATCAAGTCGAGGAGTCTATAGGATGTTATATGGGTCTTGTCAATTTGGATATTCGTATTGCATGTAAGTAAGTTCGATGGCCAAAGGCTCTTGTAAATGATCTTCTTAACATCGTGCTGCTTTCTTGAAAGCAGAAGTAAGACGACAAAAAGCTCAAAGTCGAGAAATTGAACTCATAACCGTACGATCATCTTGTTGGTCGGAGAGAAAGATATTTGGCAGACGAGAGAAACAAGTTCGAGTCGTAGGGTGAGTTCTGAAGGGAAGAAGGGTGGGTAGGGTAAAGAGACGGAGTTACCGTCAAACTCCGAAAGTTTCAACCCGCACCCACATACTCGGCTTGAGGTCGAATGTTCTCAGTTTCGCCTTTCGCCTTTAGATTTGTTACATGTCACAAAATCACACAAGGGAATTATAAGGTTGCTAGAATACACATAATCAGTGAGAGGTTGAAAGAAAGTTGAAAAATGGAAGCCTTGATACCATTTACCACCTCTGGTTCTCTGGTCGATCTCGTCGATAGTCAGTCTTCCCTTTCAGGTACGAAAGATGGAAGTTATGAGACTGACGGGATAGAGAAAGTATTGGTCATTTTAAGAGATGGAAGAAAGATTATTGGAGTGTTTAGGAGTTATGATCAATTTGGTTTGTTTTATAGTCTTTCAATCTACATAAAAACCATACTTTTGCTCTCACCAATCCACCTTGACGTGCACGTTGTAAGTTCCGAGAAGAAAAGGCGAGTCTTTAAGTCTCATAGGAAAGGATACGGGCAAAAGTATAAGTATAACCATGCGAGGGTTGGGAATTTGAATGAGGGACAACCCTAATGGTAATGCTGATAAATAGCAAACTTTTTAATGGAAAGTGTGGTAGAAAGATTATATCACAAAATGGAATATGCCGATAGAGATATAGGTCAGTCCTTTATCACATCTTACATCTTCATATTTTTCCTCGAGTCCCCTTTCTCCATCTCACCCCTCGCCTGTCTTTGTTTCTGCTCTTCATCGACCGGAACTTGGTTCTCAATCTCAGGATAGCAAGTATATAACCTCTTTGTACAACATAATTGGATATGTGACAGCCTTTCAACCATAGTCAGAGTGATGAAATATCCACCTGCTGACGTATAGGTATATTGCTAGTGAGAGGAGAGAACGTAGTGGCCGTAGGAGAGATCGTACGTTTTCCTTCAAATCAACCTCTTTTGAGGACTTCTCCTACATGACTTGATACTCGTCACTACGTCTCCTCAGCTTTTACCAAATTCACACACTCTTATCCTGTTATTTTCTTTCCCTACGTTGGATCTTTAACATCATGTCACAACAATCTCTTCAAATCCTCAACAAGACCACACTCGTGATAATCACGACATCACGACTTATAAAAGTGAAACTCGCAGGGGAAGAGTGTAGATTCTATAATGGAGTTTCAACCAATCCACCTGGACGGAATAGTCAAAAGTCCGAAATTGAGGATCCGCCATTTGATCAACGAAGAAGAGTGAGATAAAACTGATAATCAAGGATCTAATAGCCGAAGATTTAATCCCTTTAAGAGAAACTAGCGTCGAGAACATAATGACCAGAATAACAGAAGAGAATGTAAGTTCAACCCTCATCTCGTCGACAAATTGAAAAAAGAGCTGAATGAAAAGACGAAAAGAGATAAAGATCAAATTATAAAAGAAAACGTTTTGAGGGAATATGGTTTTGTTAGTGAAGGTAGAGAAGGGGATGCTTATTAGTTTTTCTTATATCATCCCGCTATACCTTTCACTTCACATGACCTTATATCACCTTATCTATTTTATCCTCTTTCTCCCCCCATCATTCCGTCATATCCTCATATCGTCTTCTCACTCTTCGCTCTTCCACTCTCAGACTCTTCACTCTTTCACTTTCAGACTTTTCAGATGTTTTGAGAATCTCGACGAAGAGACGGATTTGGGAGACGGTTACTTTATCTCACTCAAGACACACCCTCCCCTATCAACTTCACGATGAAACGATGGAAATGTTATCAAACCTTTTCAAAGACTGCTCTTTCGCGCTCTCAGATTTATTATGAGTTGCATCATGCATCATTTCTCTTCCCCTCTGATACATTATATGATATGGTCAATTTGCTTTGCAATTGCACATGAGCAGAAGCTATACAACATACATTTTACCCAACAAGATTAAATGTGTAAAAAGATCTCAACTTCATTCACCTGACATTTCCTCCCAAACTTTATCAAGTCCTTCATTAACTTTCCACCTTTGACCTCTTAACCAATCATTCACTATCGATTCTTCATCTTCTTCATTCGAATCTAAAATATCAACTCTACCTTTCCCTTCCAAACACATTACAGCCCAACCAACTAACATCATACCAGGTGGTCTTTCCTCTAAACTTTTCAAAGCTTCTTCCACATTTTCCAAAGTTGATAAAACGACTCTTTGATCTTTACTTGAAGCTCTTTCAATAACCGCAATTGGTAAATATCTCGGATAAACTTTCCCATCTCTACCTTCTTCTGCCGAGGTCAAAACTTCAATTATAGAACGTATTCTAGCCACACCCATAAGTATTGCTAAAGTTCTTGATCTGACATAACCAGGAAGTTTAACACTTTTCCCTTGTCTTCCAACTCCTGTACACATTATAAAACTTTCAGAAACACCTCTTTGTGTGACAGGGATACCCATCATTAATGGTCCTGCCAAAGCTGATGATAAACCAGGTATGACGATACTTTCGAAACCATGTTCTCGAAGGAAAAGAACTTCTTCTCCCCCTCTACCATAAACGAATGGATCGCCTTGTTTTAATCGGACTACAATTTCGCCTTTCTGAGCAGCGGAAAGGGCTAGTTGCATCATTTCGTTTTGAGCTCCTTCGGCGTTTCCTGGGAATTTCTTAGCTATGTGGAGTGTTGTATGTGATGGGATGAGAGCGAGTATTTCAGAAGGAACCAATTTGTCTGATAATACCATTGTGGCATTACGAAGTATTTTATGTGCTGCCACCGTGAGAAGAGAAGGATGACCAGGTCCAGAACCGACTAGGTAGATCTGACCTTTCTTTGATGATTGGACATAGGGATGGATAGATGAATGAGAGGGGGATTCATGATGTGGTAAAGCACTGGATCGAGGTGTTCCAGACCATGTTTCTAAAGCATGATCCATCTCTTCTTCAGTCATACGAGCTAATGATTCGAAGGAATAGTATTCTGACATTTGATGAACCCAACGCATTCGTCGCAGTTGGGTATCTTCTTCTTTGGTTTCCGTGATTGATGTCGCTAACTGTCTTGAAGCGAGGTTGAGAAGAGATTTCGTATTGAGTTGAGGAACGGGATCATTTAAAGGTGTATGAATATCGTCTTCGGAAATCTTTTGTGTTCGAGTATGTGAAGATGACTTTGCTCGTTCTCGTAACCGCCCCACATTATCAACGGCTGCTCCGACTGCGGAAGGAAGTTTTGAAATGATTTCTCTTTTGATACGACCCGATAAACGACATCCCCGACCGTTGGTTGATACTGAGATTTGAAGATTACTGGGTTTGCCATCAACGCCTGGATATCGGTGAACGGAGGGGAATGTGTAAGTGGATAATGATGGATTGTCAGAGATGTTGATGGGGATATGTAAAGAGGTACAAGCTTTGAATATGATTTCAGCGGAGGTTTGTGATCGTTGAGACGATCCGATCAAAGTATCTGTCACACATACCAGGCCAATACGATTAAAAGATAAAAAGTCAATCCATGATTTCATATCTTCAAAATTGAGTTGTTGATACTGTATTTGTCGTGTTTCAGAACGATGTATGATTTCATCGTGTGCTCGGGACAGTTCTTGAGGAGAAACGACCAAAACAATAGCATCCGCTTCCAAAAGGTTATACACACGAGTCGAAGCTAGACGATTGGATCCTACCACCAGAGTGGGAAGTTTAGATGGATGAAAAGTGATAGGAAGGGCTGCACCGCCGATGGGGTGGGGGAATTTTGATGACTGGGCTATTCTTGATGTATGTGTTGAGTCTGATATAGGGTCAATGCTCGTCGACGAAGAAGACGAGTCATTCACCGATCCCGTATTTCCATTAACCTGCGCTCTTAATCTCTCTGACGATCTTGTAGATTTGGCACTCTTGCTCTCTGATCCCGTTACCTGAGATCCAGAAAGAGAATCAGTCGCGGCCCACTCGGCGTAAGCGATCTGAGAGGCATACTCTCGGCCTAGGGCGGAGCTGATGAATCGTCCGAGAACGATACAAGCGATGAAGGGTACGACGATCCAGATACTCGTATGTCAGCCTTGGAACGTGTTTCGACGAAGGAATAACTTACCCCTAATTAGGTCAACACATTGAGAATGAGAGAACGTATCAGTTGCGCTTGATTGTGAACGAGAAAGAGAGCTCACATTCGGAATGATCCAGTAGAGCACAAGCCGTTGCAATGTGTTGTGCCCCACAGAGCAGCCTCCGCAGAAATACTCTACAGGTCAGTTTTCATTGCAGATCAAGGCGGTGCAGAAGGGAAACTGGCCTTGGAGGAAATACAAAGCAGTTTTAGACAAAGTCATCAGGGAAGCGGCGAACCCGACCAATGGAGCATGTGCGTGGTAGTTGGGTCTCTTTTGATTTGTTTGGGTTCTCTGCGCTCGGGATGAAGTTTGACGAAGATAGACGTATTCTACATTAAGCATGGCTTCGATGAGGTTGATAAGGGCTAGACATGAGCTCATAGGCGGTGGTCGGAGTAGACGACTAGACCTTGAGCGTTGGTAAAACCGTCCTTCTCATCAAGAGCCTTCTGACCGTAGATGTAGTCAATCTTAGAGTCAGCTCTGCTGACGAAAGCATGGGATATGACCAACCATTGCATAAGGGACAGAGCTGCGATGTGAGCTTTCCTTTACAGTGGTGATGATTGACCAGCTCACTTGTATGGACCCCAGATCCATGACAAATCACCTCCAACCATACTCCTAGGTCGAAAGAAACAGTACGCCGCATCTTTATTGTCAGCTTTGAAGGGCACGCATGAAGAAAGATAGCTCACCCCAGCATACGATAACGGTGGAGAAGGCGAACCAGTAGGATAACCACGTGGGGGGAAGCTTGATCATGGGTCCTATACCGAAACTACCGGTGACCGTCGTACCTTGCATTTTGAGAAGTGAGACAGATGCCGGGTTTGTCAGCTAAAGGGGATAGAGAGGTGAGAGAAGGGAGAGGAGATTGAGTGAATAGAAGTAGTCTGTGATGGAGAGAGGTGGTGCGAGATTGAGTTTTTGTCATGCAGGTCACGTCAACGGAGAATTCCGAATATTCAAGTTTTCAGGGAAAATTGTGTTTCCCGTGCCTGTTGATCCGTGGGGCCTGGTGGACATGACCGAAAGGACCCGAGGGCCCGAGGGTGGTTTGGTTTTCCCTTGGGCGACACACCTTAGGCGTACTCCCTCCCCCCTTGGCACATGGCTACAAGTATCCTATAACCACTTTCCGACTTTTGCTCGTTGTCTTACAAGTCTCAAAGTGCTCATACTCTCGATATATACACATCTCACCTTATCAAGTCGGCTTTGATGCCTCTGCGTATCGACTGAATCCACTCAAGAGCGGCTTTGGTACTTTGATAGCGAATTACTTCGCCCTTCCCTCTAGCCGGATGCTACTTTAATACCAACATACCTGTTCGTGTGACCCCATTCTTCATCATCATGGCTCTCGAATCTGCATATCAGCCTCTGGCTACATCACCCAGTAACGAATCCAACTTGGATGAGCAAAAAGGCCGCCATCGAAGGTGAGTGGTTATCTTGCACTACTACGACGTCGTCGATCTGATGCAATAGATCCCGGATCGACATACCCTTCACTTCATTCATCTTATCCCGTCGTAAACTAGTTTTGGCTATCTTACTATCTCTGTCTCTGATATCTGCTGCTTTATTCTCCCTCCCAGCTCTGAAAACGCTTTACGGATCACCTATCGAACTCGTCCCCGCCGAAAACCCTTATTTCCAAACCGGTGGAATATGGGATCATAACGATGCCATTGCTGCTAAATTATATCGATGTGAAGCTCTTGGTCTTTTACGCAATACATCTCTTCCACTTGAATCGAATCTACGACCATCGGCGGAGGAAGAAGCTGCATTAACCGCCGAAGGATGTGGTACGAACGAGACAACTATAATCATCCTAGCTTCTTTATGGTTTGCGGAGGCTTACTCTGGTACTTCCAACACTGGAGAATCCATTTACGCTCAAAGTGTGATCAGTGCACTCAATGCGAACAATTACAGCTATGTTTTCACTTCTCTGGGATGGTATAACCCCGACATGAAGAAAACTGTGGAACTGTGGAATCAACATCGCTGGAATGTTCGGATGATTTTGGCTGATCCGGATCAAGTGAATGTGTGTTGGAATCCCGAACATAATTGTGTAAAAAGTGAAGCCAATCCAGAGGGAATCGAAGCATGGAGATTGATGTCATTTTGGTATTGGGACACGTGAGTTTATTGGTTTTCCCATCATCAGCAGGCGTCATAATCGTCCATTTATCTATCTTACCTGGATGCCTACCGTACATCAAACTGATGGTGCAGTATCGGAAATCCTCTAGGCCCCACATTCACCCTTTCACCTTTCGCAAAAACCCCAAACACACTCATGTCACTTTCAATCGAACCAACTTGTAAAAGACTACCTTACCTTCCATCAGCATACAGACCACATCCCCCTCAAGCATGGTTACTAGCTAAACAAGTGCATTATCTGGATAACACCACTGCTTTCTCTTGGACTCTCGAAGCTCTCACTGGTTTGCAGAAAGAGTTTGGTATCCACGTCAAAGGAGGAATGGTAGATGATGATGCGGAAACGTTGAAACGTGTCAAAGCTGCTAATATTGAGAATGTGGGGAGGTTGGGAAAGATTGAATTTTATGAAGAATTAGCTAAGAGCTCTGTGCTGATAGGTGTTGGAAGACCTAGGATCAGTCCTAGTCCTTGGGATGCTTTGTGTGTCGGTGTTCCCGTGAGTGATTACTATCCATGTAAAAGGACAAGCTGAGGGTTTAGTTCATAAATCCAATTTTGGAATGGGACGAGGAGGATCCAAAAGATCGAAGTAAATGGCACGCTCAGCAATGGCACATGACGGATCTGGATCCGTGAGTTTTCTCCTCTATCGTCCATCAGACATCTATTCACTACTATCTCAAAGACCAATCACAATCTGCCTTCCACTTGATCATCGCCCATCCTCACATGTCCATGGAAGCCAGTTGAGAACCTCATGGGTAGAGCAACTAACACTCAGTCCATACGTATACAACGTCCACGCACACGATATAGTCGGTCTCAGACGAGCAGTCCACGCAGCAATACATCATCCCATCGAATCGTTCATACCAGAAGTGATGACTTTCAAATGGGTTCGAAATCGAATGGGTGAGATTGTAGAAAGTGATTGGCGTACCAAGGCAAAGGGGATATTGGAAGAAAGGCTGAGAGTTGGTGAAGGGGCTTTGTTCGTCATGTGAGGGATGATTGGGGGGGCGATCAGGAATTGTTTTCACCATCTTTTCCTTTCAGTGGTGATGTCGCTAGGTAGCGGATAGAGTTAGCATTGATTTAGTCGACTCATTTGTCATCCATTGTTGTTTATTATATGCATTTGGGCTTTCATACGACTTACTGAGACATGTGCCAAGGGCTTATGGAAATTTCTACTCTACTCGAACACGAGCACAACTTGAACAGCTTGGCTGTACCGTGCCTGAACGGACAAAAGTCTGACGGAATTTCAACTGACTTCATTCACGTTTTTGAGTATACAACCCTGTCCAATATGCCCAAGTCAAGATAGATAACAAATCACAATATGCTAGGTCCATTCCGAAGACCTTATGTACCCTGGATCCGGATACATTGCCAAAAAAGACTCAACTCCAACTTTATCCAACCTTTCAACCTCAGCTCGACGTCAATTTTGAATCCTATTGAGACACCTACCGAGCCAAGCGGCGTCAACGAAGCATCCCATGGATCTGGCTCTCTCAGTATTACAAGTAATCACGTTACCTCCGACAATTCCGAAAATGTTTCTGATACAAGTGAGTCCAGCGACACTCTTATCCGGAACACTTCAGAGCAGGACGAGAATAATTTGGAATCGACCTACGAACCATCTTCCAGTTCGGAAAACTTCGAAAGGTCTTCAAATGAGCTAGGAGGGGTATGGACTTTCGAAGATCGTCAGAAAGAGTTACAGAGGAGAAATAGGAAGATTGAGCAGAAACGACGACAGAAGGTGAGTCAAGTTCTGAGCTATTACCTCCCCCTCCCCTCCCCTCTCCTCCCTTCCCCCTCCCCCTCTCTCCCCTGCTTCGTTTCTGACATCTCTCTCTCTCTCTATATATGTATGTATATATGTATATGTATATGGTGCGAGCTCAAACGTGGATGTATTGTCGAAAATGATCAGGAGGATAGCTGAAAAATAGGATTCTTTCGTTGATCATATGTACATAACCGTACGTGGTGGTGAGTTCTCAAGTCACTCATCTGACTCCATCTCAACGAAACCTTTCATCCCATGCATGTCGCATGTCACAAGGATGAGAACCATTTCCCGCCCTTCCCCTTACCCCCCCTGAGCTTCTTGAATATGTACATCAAGTTCATCTGCACTATCAATCTCTCAACATTTCCTTTTGTCAACTCTGCAGATGGGATGGAATGTCAGTATGAAGTAGTGACTGACTACCTCTCAGGTAAAGGCGGTAACGGTACTCCAGCATTTTCACCCACTTCTCGAGGTTCTGTCGGTCCACCATGTGGTGGAGATGGTGGTACTGGAGGTTCTGTCTATCTCGTCACTTCCCCTTCTCTCACTTCTCTCTCAAGTGTGTCAAAACGGATCGTAGGGAATAAAGGTGGTAATGGTGCTGGGGATCATAGGTCTGGAAGGAAAGGAGAAGATGTGTTTTTAAGAGTACCAATAGGGACTGTAATTAGGGAAAGATATTCTTCTTTCGGACGATTATCTTCTCCATCTTCCTCGGCCTCTTCTTCTTCCTCGTTTCCTTCCTCATCATCATCTCCGTCGTCTTCATCATCCTCTTTTGGATTACGTCCTCCACAGCAATCACCAAGCGTCAAGGAAAATCTATTAGGGAACAATACAGATAGATCATATAACGATTCAGGGAATAAACAAGATGATGATGGTGGGAGAATGGCTAAAGAAGAGTTGGAGAATGAAGAAGGAGAAGATGATCTACAAGAAAGAAGAAATGAAAGTGAAATCGATCGTCTTGCTAGATATCAACGTTTATTCGTTTCTCATCCTTCTTCCGAACCTAATATAGAAGATTATTCCGCCGCTTTACAAGTCCTAAGATCTCAACGTCGTCGTAGAAGAGAAGATCCAATAGAATTAGATATCATTCAACCTATTTCTTCTTCCCATCCTATCCTTCTCGCTAGAGGTGGAGTAGGAGGTCTTGGTAACCCTCATTTCCCTTCTGCATACGGACGATCTTCTCGATTAGCATCAAGAGGTGTTCAACCTCCTACTAAAACGTTAGAATTGGAATTGAAATTATTAGCGGATGTAGGTTTGGTAGGTTTACCAAATGCTGGTAAAAGTACATTATTAATTGGTTTGACGGGGAGAAAAGCGGAAGTGGCAGGATATGCTTTTACTACTTTGAACCCTCAAGTAGGTGTGGTACGTGTAAGTCATGAAGGTTGGAAACCTTTTCAAGGAATTGTGAGAGAGACAGAGGAGGAAAGGAAGGAAGCGATTGGTTTGAGGGAAAGAGGGGAATATATCCCTTTTCCTTCTGAGATTGATCGTACCGTTGCGTCGAAACAAACATCGAATGATCTTCGGAAAGATGTAGAAGACGAGGATGGAAGAGAAGCGGGTAAGGGTTGGGGAAATGAAGGGGGAATAGGGGAGAAATTAAGATTCACGATAGCTGATAATCCTGGTCTCATACCCCTCGCTTCTCAGAACGTAGGATTAGGTCATTCTTTCCTTCGTTCAATCGAAAGATCATTAGCATTGGCTTTCGTACTTGATATCTCAATACCTGAACCTCATAAAGCTTTACAAACATTGCGAGAAGAGTTGGATTCTTATTCACCTGGTTTGAGTAAGAAAGGAGTGGTGGTGGTTTTGAATAAAGCTGATGGAGTGGGGGAAGAAATTGGTAAAGAAAGATTAAAAGAGACGGAAGAATGGTTGAAAGATGAGGAATGGATGATGGAAGTGGTGGTGATGAGTGCTAAATATGCGTTAGGATTAGAGAGGTTGGTGGATATTTTAGGTAAAGCAGTAGAGGAGAGAAGAGAGGTTGAGAAGTGGGATAGGTAATGCAGTTGATACATGGTTCAAGTACAGGAAGCGATTTTGTGTTCTTTTCTTTTCAAATTATTCACCGTGAGAGGAAGGGTTTTGAGGAGATAGATGAGGTTATTCGTCTCGCAATCCTAACCGTTTCTTCTCCTCTGCTAATTCTCGTTCACGAGCCCGCATCTCCGCTTTGGCTAATGCGGAAGCTTGTTGCTTGGATGGGTGATGATATAATACTGTAAATCAGTATTGGCCATAACATATTGAGCATAAAATACACAAGTCCCGTCAATCGTTGGAGAGAGACTTAAGTCCTGATGGGGATTATAACATAGTACGAGATACAAAAGAGTAGGAAAGGATTGACGAATGGCCACATAAGTCATAAGAAAAAAAGAAGGAGCGAGTCAAGAAGTGAACATCAAGTCATAAGGTATTCACACACACACAGGTGATACGTGAAAAGCGAACAGAAGAAAAGTATGTAAAACTCACCAACTATATACCGTGATTGTAAATGGAACCCATTCAAATGAGTGATAGCTTCATGAGCATCATCAGGTGATTCAAATACGACATAAGCCGTTCCTTTAGTTTTCAAATCTGTATTATTCCCCAATCGTACTTGTCTTATCGGACCGTATTTCCCAAAGACTTCGTATATGTCTGAACCTGTCGTGTTGAAGTCGCTATTTGTCAGTTGTTTTTGTTTTGCTTTATCTCTCCTCTTGACTCCCCGAGACTCTGAATGATGTTCAATCCCCACTAAGTTTAACTCCTTCGAAGTCTTATATAGCTATAGATTGTGAGGGGTATGCTGAAGCCGTGGATATTGAAGGTCCTCATTATTCGCTCTCCGTCCGTCTCCATCTTTCAGACCAGCAGTCATCTGATGATATGTAGCTCGGAACCTCGTTTGTGAAGATGATTATGAGGACTGAGAATATCAGGTGGGAACATCGGGAGGTTAAGAGTGTGCGGAAGAAAGAAGGGTGCTCCTGACATAGAGTAATATTGAGAGAGACATACAGGTTTTTGATACTAGAACGTCAGCTCGATCCAGCATTGAATCTAGAAAGCTCACAAGAGACATCTTGAAGCTATTGGGTCATTTGGTCTTTGCATTGTGACTGTATGAAGAAAGATAGTCAAGTTGCTCAGAGTCGAACTCAGTGGTAAAATGGACCGGACCGGGAGAAATACGAAAGAATAAATAATAAAATATTCTTCCTCTCTCGAAATTTGAGGTTTGGCTTTGCATGCAAATGACATTCTGCTATCCTACAACAGAACTGTCAGACCGTCACAATGGCATCCATCATAACACTCCCCATCACCCTCTCCCCCGTTCCAGGCGGATGGTCCAAACCCACTCCACCTTCAACCCCTAAGCTAACCCCTGCTGTCCCTCGCGTTGTATACCCGGCAGGACCTTCCTTCGTCGCATCAGCTAGGAGACAACTCCTTCAAAGGTCTTTCGCAGAGGACGACGAACACGTTTTGAAAGTAAGGGCTGAAGCTGAAAAACTTGCAAAGGCTGGAGAAGGAGAAGATGAGTATCCTGGTTTGGGGTTGGAAGAGGAAAGTCAAGAGTTACTCGCTAGTGATCCGAAAGAATGGAAGAAGCAAGATCATTATGCTATTCTCGGTCTTGGACATTTGAGGTATAAAGCTACGGATGAGCATATTAAAGTTGCTCGTGAGTCATTCGATTTCTTCCCGTCTTCTTACTTCATGTTCATATCTTTATCGAAACGCTGTCATGAGTGCAGCCGTGGCTCATATAGATTGCGTTCCTGTAGAATTCTGTGGCGAGATAGTTTGGGTAAAAACTAGGACACAGAGACTGACATGCCACAGACAGACGCAAAGTCTTGCGTCATCATCCCGATAAGAAAGCCGGGGCAAGTGGAAGTAGTACCAATGACGACGCTTTTTTCAAATGTATTCAAAAAGGTCAGTTGTCTTCCCTTCAATGAATCTTTGTCGGGGAAACTCACGAATAGCTCATGAAACCCTCACGAACCCAGAACGAAGACGTCAATTCGACTCTGTGGATTGGACATTGACGATTCCGTACCTGATTTCCATCACATTCAGCGGGAGATTACTGTGCCATCGTCGGACCCATGGTTTGCCCGAGAAGCCAGGTTCAGCAAGATTCAACCCGTGCCCGAATTCGGCGGTCAGGACGCAAGTAAGAAAGAGGTGGAAGGGTTTTACGACTTTTGGTATAATTTCGATTCGTGGAGAAGTTTCGAATGGCATGATAAAGAGGTTAATGAAGGTAGTGATTCGTAAGTCTAACCCTTATATTCCTCATGATTGAGTAACAGTAAATGGGTGAAGGGACGATGCTGACTTGTAGACGTGACGATAAACGATTTACAGAGAAAAAGAATAAGACTGAACGTGCACGACGTAAGAAAGATGATAACACCCGTCTTCGCGAGTTGGTGGATGAAGTCTTAGCTCATGATCCTCGTATCAAACGTATCAAAGCTGAGGAGAAAGCCGCTCGAGATGCAAAGAAGAAAGGTGGTGCGGGAACTACGAATGGAAAACCTTTGACGGCGGCTGAAAAGGCTGCAGCTGCGAAGAAGATCAAAGAAGAGGAGGAGGCGAAGAAAGAGAAAGAAAAGAAATCTTCAGAAGCTAGTAAAGCCGATCGAGAAGCGGCCAAAAAGGCTAAAGAAGCAGCTAGGAAGAATTTGAAGAAATGGAAGAAATCTATAGCTGGAGTGATCACATCTAGCAATTATTTCTTACCCGATGGAACTGCACCACCCGCGTCTACGGTTGAAAAACAGTTAGGCGAGTTGGATATGTTGTGCGAGTTGTTGGAACCTGAGGAAGTGAAGGGATTGAAGGAGGAAGTGGAAAAGGCTGGCAAGGATGGTGCGAAGGATGTATTGGTGAACAGTGTAAAAGCTCTGGGGGACAAAGGAGAAGGCAAGTTCACTGAGTTTGCATGAGAGATTATTGGGTGCTAGAGGCTGTTAGCTGTTAGCTGCTAGTTGGATTCTGAAATGTACATATGCATGGCATATTTGTTGCATGTTGCATGAAGGAAGAAAGTTCGGACACGACCGGTAGCGAGCCCGGTATCGAGATCCGTCATACAAGGTTTGTCACTCAAACTTTAAATATCGTCCTCTTTCCTTCAAATGACTTTTTCTTTGTCCACATCTCTCGAATCACGTATCTTAACAATACATACAAAATCATCAGCTGTGATCCTCCTCATCTCCATCTCAACGATTGACGGTATTCGAGCCACTCCACCATGCCAGCATTAACCTTTCTTATCGGTACGGGTATCAGAGCCGGGATAGGGATTATCAAATCTGGCGTCCAAGCTCATAAGGATTTCAACAACCCCGATGGACCTCAAGTAAGGTATGATAAAAAGGGTAGGGTCAAAGAGCCTGGTGCGGTATATGGGTTGTTCATGAAAGCTGAGCACAAACTGTCGAATAAGGGGAAAGGGAAAGAGGAAGGACAAACAGATGATGAACCTGTTGCTTCGGTGAGTCTCGAGCTTCCTCATGTCAAGCCCAACTCCATGGCCCCATGGCTACTCTATGACATTGATTCCCTCTCTCGAGATACAAGTAGCTTGTAGCTTGTCATATCTGATTACAACTCTTCCACGGAGATACATTGCTGATAATATAAGGGAAGCACACAATCCATCCCTACTTCCGACAACAATGTCACTCCCGGACCCCAACCTCGATTCAATAAATCCGACTCCCTGAGGGACGATTACGGTTCTCAATCCAACGCTGTAGAAACCAATCGAGACCTCACACCTCAGCCTGTAAGTGTGATTATTCTTCTTCATTCATTCAATAATTAACAAGAAGGGCGAAGCACCACCTTCATACGGCGAAGTCATGTATCTACCACCTTCCAACCCTCCCCCCAATCCCCGCTCCAGCTCTGCAATGGCAATGCCAAAGGAAAAGTCTCGTACCCTTCAACCTAATGCAACCAATGCGAGTGAAGGAAGCACATCCATTCGACCTCCTAACAATCGTAGAGGATCAAGCTCCGATTCAGACTCTGGTAATTCTTCAGAAGAGATGAGGAACGATCCTATGGCCAGAGGTTTGAGTAAACATGATTATCGTCGTTTACGTAGGGATTTGAAGATGCAGAGGAAGATGATGGGAAGAGATGAGAGAAGAGCGAATAAGAGGGAGATAAAAGCTAGAAGAGCTCAGATGAAGGCTGATAGAGCTTTTGGACGAGCGCAAGGGTTGTGATTTTGAGAATAGATTGATATCTGTCCCAATCACCGAGAGAAGTGACTGAGAATGTAGCCTCTTTTCAATTAGAATCGTAGAAATGTTTTGTTGGGTGATAAGTAGATCGTATCCGAAAGACCTGTATGATTATAGAAGGAATGCAATCGATGTTATACACGAGTACAATACAATAGCACCACATAGATCGGAAAACAAGAATCTGATGACGATGATGACGCCACCTTGCCACCTTTACAACATCTACATCACAAACTTCACTTTTTTTTCTACTTCACTCTTGATCTCAGCATTCCATACCTTAGTTTACTTCTCATTCATATCTTGATCACATGTCCTAACCCCACTCAAACGTTCTATTTCCCCCACCATGCCCTCTAATTCGAAACCAGACCGTTTACCTTCTTCCCCTTCCCCCTCTCTCCCTCATCTACAACCATCAAACTCCTCTCTCTCCTCACACGTGTCCATATCCTCTCGAACACCTCGTCGTCCTCATACCCTTCGTAATCCTAGTATACGAAAAACCTCTACTCCACACATTTCTCTCGTGTTTGCTCAAGCTGCTCCAACAGCTCCTCTCCCCAACCGACGCGTGGCCTCTGGAGCGGAACAATCTCTCTCAAAACAACTAGATGGTGATCTAGGTGGGAGAACAATTGGATTGAGAAGTAGAACAGGTAGTAATGCTACTCTTACCACTGTCAGAACTGGGAGAAAGAGTCGAAGTCCGACGCCTAGTGTGATGGAAGTATCAGAGTTAGATATGGAAGCTGGACCTTCGAGAGGTCGAACAAGATTGGATGATAGGAGTCTCGCTTCTCTGTTTGTGGCCCCTGGTGGAGAGGAAATTGCCGCTCCTCTGCTAGAAGTACCATTAGAGAATGGGCTCAATCACACAACATCGGTTACACCTTCTAAAAATGGAGACACTTCGATGACGGCCACAACAGACGATGGGAGGAAAGAAGGAGTGGAAAGAAAGTTAAATCCTAAACATTCAACATCGTGGATGAGGTGGAATTCTCCTGGACCGACATTTCCCAAGAGTAAAGATAAAGGGAAGGGAAAGGAGAAGGAGAAGGAAGATGACTTGTCTGTCACACAACCTACCATAAACCCTTCGCTATCGATATCGGGCCAAGACGCAAATGGTGTCGGTGTCAGAGAAGATAATGCCGAACCCCGTACACAACAGGAGTTATCGACCAGTGAAAATACACGACAAGGGGACGCGGTTCCCCCAAAGATTACGGGAGAGACACAGGTTGTAAACGTTGATGCGGGGAGTGAACCGCCAAAGGGTTGGTGGGGATGGGGAGGAGGCAAAGGTCGAGAAGTGGTCTCTTCGTCAATTTATACTCCATTATCCTCGACACTTCCCTCAATATCAAAGTCCAACGGTGTTGTCGACCAGGTCAAGGACTCTTTATCCGATCCACACTCAGGCCCGCCTGCACCGACCGAAGAACACGTGTCGGCTGCACCTTCTCTTCCTGTCCCGGCCACTGCATCTCCTGTCACAGTCGTCCAGTCTGACATGCCAGTCGCCTCCGATGCAAATGTCAAGCCAGGGGGGTGGGGGACGTATCTTGGTCTGAACAGAGGAACGATCAAACAATCCGAGAATGTCATTCAATCATCGCCAATCCCAGACTCACATATCATCTCCGTTGCCAATCCTCCTCAGGCCGTATCCGACTCAAACCCTGCTCCTGTTTTCCCTCGGACGCCTCTCGAGACCGCCGAATCGACCTCCTCTGTAAATAATCGACCCAAAGAACAACCGCAACCGAATGAAAGCCAAGCTGGTTCTACTGAACCCCGCACAGGCTGGGGTACATACTTGTACTCTTTCGTCGTACCCCAGACCAAGCCATCGTCGACTCTTGCAAACACGTCAGCCAGACCTGTAGAACCCACCGATCCAGCAGCTGATCAGAAGCCTATCCCTGCCCCAGGAACGATATCAACGTCGACAATTGCTCCAGAAACATCAGAAAGCCTTGACGTGCCGCCTTCTACCCAGCAGGACGCCAACACGATTCCGACACACCCAGAACCCTCCGCTCGCAAACCCACGTCACCCACGTCGTCAACGGGATGGTTGACCTACCTCGCATTTCGATCGACTCAAGGTAAAATCACAGCGTCTTCAGGAGACGCACCCAAGAGTGAAGGTGTAGACGAGGTCATGGACTTCTCCTCTGACCCAAACTTCCCATCTGCCGAACCGTCACAATCTGCCGAACTCATCAAACCCCCTGTCGAACCTACCAAACCCATAGATTCGCTCAAAGGAAAGACGGTGCAGATTAAACAATCCCAGAATCTCGAAATTCACAAAAAGCGACTATCAAACGGATCCGTGGCTAGCAGTCTCACCCCCATTGCACCATCTCCTCAAAGACGTTCGCTCGACATGGATCGTACACCTAGTAGTGGTAAAACCAACAATTCGTCACTTCCTCCACCTCCTCAAGCACCGACTATCCAGCCTAACATGGTTATACCGACTTTCAAAACCACCTTCGATCGCCCTCCCAGATGTTTCCCTCCTTTACCACCGCCCAACGAATCTGAAGGAGCAGGTATCACGGCTACCACTGCTGGGTTAGCCTGGCGTGCTTTGGGAGCTATGGGTAATTATGTGTACACTCCGAGGGAAACACCTAAAGCTGTTCCTGTATCTTCCGAGCTGGACAAGGAGACGCGAGGTAGAAAACAGGGGAGGTATGTTGGAGGTGATCTGCCAAGGAGAATGGGTTTGGATGGCGGGGATTTGGATGGGGGTTGGAAGAATGTGAAGAGAGTGGTGGTGGTTGGTGTGCACGGTTGGTTCCCTGCCAAGATGCTAAACTCGTAAGTTAGCACGGATGAGGTCGGCGTTTGGCTAATATGAAGGGTTATCGGAGAACCTACGGGTACTTCGACGAAGTTTGCAAACATGATGGGTCAGGCTGTGAAGCAATTCTTTGATGAGAGAGGTGTCACAGATTTACGACTTACGCTTATTCCTCTGGAAGGAGAAGGGACTATTGATAATCGAGTAGACAAGTGAGTTTCTATTACTTCTGTCAATAGTATGAGTTTCCATTGTGTGTGTTGCTCAGCACGGGGAATTGTGAGATTTCTCCAACGACATTATTATATACGACAGGAAGATATCATGGTTGTGTCGCTGAAATCACTGGAGAAGACTGACAGAAAGACTATACAAAGCATATCTCTCCAACCCAGCATGGATCAACGATCTTCGTCGAGCCGATGCTATCTTCTTCGCCGCCCATTCTCAAGGATGTATAGTTACCACCCATCTCATATCACGTATGATAGCTCAAGGTCATATTCGAACACCTCTCAATAACGAAGCTGTATCACGATGTGAATGGGCCTTTGGACCAGTTGGTCTTTTACCTCCCGAAGAACCAAAGTTCAGATCAAGAACGGGCAGAGGAAGAGCTACTGTATCAGGTGCGGAAGGAGGTCATCAAAAAGTTGCTTTGTTGAGCATGTGTGGAGTTCATCTAGGACCAATGTATTCGATCTCGACAAGTAGCGTCATACAACCGTATTTGCAATGGTTCGAGAATGCCGCTGCGAGGGAATTGTTCGAATTTCAGGATACGACAAGTGCTGTCAGTCAGGCTTATCAAAGAGCTTTATCGATGATTCTTGAAAATGGGACGAGGGTAGTCTTACTGGCTTCGTTGAATGATCAAGTTGTGAGTTTCGCAATTCTCATAATCCCCCACATGTATGTCTCCTTTTCGCTACAGTGGGACTACCGCAAAACCTACCCTGTTCACTTTCCATTCCGTACCATGTCAAGATGTCAGACGACGACTGAATCGCTCTGTGCGGATTCTGAACAAGTCGAACTGATGTTTTAGGTTCCGATCTATGGCGCCTCTTTCAGTTGCGCTACACACCCATTACTTCTTCGCGCACTATTCGTGGACGGTGCGAGTTACTCTGCTGAGGATTTCATGACCAATTTATTGTGTTTCACGTTTATGTTACGCAACGCTGGTATTGACGATCAACGGCTTATCGAACATCTCAGCGAGGCTACCGCGGGGTCATTGACGGGTCAGTGGGCAGTCTCAATCCTCAATATCATCTACCTCTTTGTTCAACTCCTAACATTTCTCCTTTTTCCAAGATCTCTCTATTCCTTACTCCAATGAATATGATCTCCCCAATGTGTGGCCACCATCCCCGTACATCTACTCGGAGCTGTGGCTCTGACTCGAATGACTTGAAGGATCCCTCGCGACTGGAAGTTACAGATATGGAAGATACTAACATCCAGGCGTCGGACACAGCAGTCCATATGAAGAACTAGCTAGTTATGCTCTCGCAGTCGAATATCTCCTTCTGGCAGGTCCAGCTCCTAATCTACCGCCATTACAAGTAGAACCGTTTTCAGCCCGAGACGCTCGAAACGACTTTGAACTTCCGTGGATCATGCGAGCTTTGGTAGATGCTCCAGAAATAATCGATTTGTTTCCTGGTGAGCTGAAAGATTTGAAGGAAGGGGTGGTTAGTTGGAAACCGCATACCAAAGCGTTGAGGGAGATTAAGCGGCGAGTAAGTACTCGTACTTTAGTATTATTCTCCCTCCCCTCTCAAACACGCACACACACACAATTTTCTATTATGAACCACTCGTCTCGCTCATGCTTGAAAGCTGGGGGTGCAAGAGGGAATACATCGAGATTAGTGAGACTGATTTACAGCTCGAACCTATGGCAGGAAGAAGATCTAAATTATCCACGACCTTACATGAATCACCTTCCTCTACCAGTCTAGTTTCTACTGGTAAGCCAACCGAACTAGGTGTCAGTCCAGGTGGCGCAGGTATAGGAGTGGGACATAAAAGTTCAGGTAAGCGCCAAAGTCGTCTTTGAGGTAGATGCCTTGTACGTGTAAACAAAAAACTCATAGCTTATGTTATAGGTTTGGGATTGAGGAGGGATTGGTAATTACGCAATATCATGTTTTGGTTCTTGTTTGTTGTACTTTAAACATCTTTATGAAATCACGTAGCATTGTCATGATCAGTCCATCTTATGCCTATTCTACGTTACATATTGCGGTAGGTTGCAACGTGAGTCTCATCGATATGTGTATGATTGAATTGAATGAATCACTTTGCATTCTTCCCCTCAAAAAATATTTTTCGTTGATATTTCCATTTTAAAACCTTAGTAAATTACTAAGGAACTAAGTCATGAGAGCATCATCCACTTTGATACCATCATGAATACCAGCACCCATGAGTCTACCTCCATCGACGGTGATGACTGTATGGTTCATGTAACCTCCTCCTGGTGAAGATAATAGAAGTACAGGAGCAGCCATTTCGATCATTTTACCAGGTCGACCTGATGGTTAGCTCCAGTCTTACAGCTTCACCAGTCTACCACTCTCTCACTACCTCGATACGACCTTTTGAAACTTCCACACTGTTGTATTGCCCATAGGGAATCTTCTCATATATATCCCCTCTCGAATCTCCGATCTCTTGCTAAGACCTGCTATGTCTTGAATTTTAAGGGGATTATGCTGAAGTGGGATGGATTGACGGATGTTTGAAAGGTGGGATTTGATGATTGAAAAACTCACCAGCAGTGGAACGTTTGGCAGCTTTGACAGCTGGTCCTGCTAAATCTTTATATTCGTGACCTCCCGCAGAAACTGCAGTCATTTCAGAAGGGAAAATACCAGGACAAATAGTATTGACACGAATCTTGAAACTGAATTCATCAGTCATATCCCCTTCACTCTCCCATCGTATTTCTTCATACACGTCGAATCTTTTGTCTACCGATTCCATGCTTTTTCCTCAGTCTCGAATAATATGCTATACAGAAATGATGGAATGAGTGAATTTAGGCTAGTGAAGATCTAGAGGCGAATGGATAGTAGAAAGAACTTACGGATGTAAACGACCAGCGAGAAGTTTACCAAGATGAATAGCAGCTGCTTTGCTAGTACCGTACGTTACACTTCCCATGGAACTTGTGAAATTAGCATTGATTTCATTACTTTCTCATTTTGATAGAAAAGAGATCAAGCTAGGTTGGACAGACAAGGTAAAGGGATTCAATATAGGATGGATAGACAAGGTAAGGGATTCAATAGGGATCAGATATGAGAGTTTGTAATAGAGAGCATAGATGAGAAACTGTATGAGAGAACGAGAGGAACGATATGAAGAGAGAAGGAAAGATTTACCGTTGATTAGCTAATCCAGCAAGAGAAGATATTACTACAACACCTGGGTTAGTAGCCTTGCGAAGTTGTGGAACAAGAGCGGCTGTCATAAAGTAAACTCCGTTGATATTGACTGTTCATATCAGCTGTCACATCCTAATCTTTCCCACTTGCTCCATCTTTGGACCAGGATGTTGCACCACATTCTTCATATTTCTTGAAGTTGTGCCACTTCCACTCGACTGATCAACGAAAGAATAAGATGGAATTGTGAAATAAAACAAAACTTACTCGAATTGGTATAATTGAAATCATCACTTTCATCAGCTTCCTTCTCCACCATTCCTGTATTTTCATACTCGATGACTCACTCTTCCACACCATCCCATAAAAGTTTCTCGACCTGATCCGCTTTCCCATCAGTCTCACTCGACCATAACAATGAGAACACTTACGATCATTATGATCAGTACATTGAACTCTCCAAGCACGTCCTACACCAGCGCAATTGACCAAAGTATCAATCTTTCCCCGTTAGTCATTTTATCATTCAGCAGACGACAAACCTACAGTCTCTACATCTTTCAAAGCGGCGGCGATTTTACCACAACCTTCTTTCGTAGATACATCACCTTGAATGCTTTTGATCAGTCTTGATCCCTTATCTCAAATCTGACAAACTTTATTCTTACCACAACCCGGAGTTTGCGGAGAGAGCGGAAAGACTAGATAAGGATTGATACGTATAGAAGGGAAGAGGTGTTATGAGAGAAGAAACACTCACGCTATAGCTTTCCCACCAAGACCAGCATCTACGTTAATCTCCTCTGCGGATTTCTTCAAAACGTCTTCACGACGACCGGTGATGTATACCGTAGCGCCATTGGTGACGAATCCTTGAGCGATAGCAAAAGATTAGCTCACCTTCTTAAAGACCGCATCGACCCTGTAGTACTCCATTTGCATATCAAAGGTATTTGTAAGTGTACGAGTTTGAATGACAGACCATGAAGATGGGAATAGAAAAGAGATGGTGGTGTGAAGAGTAAGACTTAAGTACAAACCCTTGCCAAGACCCGTCCCACCGCCGGTGACGACCACCGTTTGGCCCACCACCGAGAACATATCTCCAATTTTGAAAGAAGCAGACATTGTGTTTCCCAGTTTTCAATATGAATGTCAAGAAATTGTCAAGGATGTCCGAGAAGAAATACAAGAATCGAAAGTGAAAAGATGCAGAAAAGATATATGGGTGAATGATCGGCTCGATAGCAGCTCGAGCCGAAGTGATCCCGGTGCCGGACGACCGGACAAAGATTTATCTATCCGTCTATCCAACTTTTGCGATCAAGTACTAGTAACGTTAGTGGTGTTTCCTGTCAATTACGGCGGAGATCATGATATAATCATGGTGTTTTCAAACGTTCAAGGGGAATATCACATGCATCATGACAAAGACTACCCAATCATCTACTAGTGTGTCTGTTTCTGCGATCAAAACATAATTGCGAGGAAGGCGTTTCCAACACTCAATCGCAAATACGTCGAAAGGACCTAACATTGGGATGATGTCCGCAATCACCTTTTCAAAAGCCGAGAATCCTCATCACTCGTACCTTTGCAGAAAGGATCGCGAGCAATCCTATAACTCTGACTAATATGTCTCCTCTGGCATTCGAATACCATCGTTCATCCCTGCGTTCTACACGCATCAGCGCCGTACTTCACTCACGAAAGAGGGACGAAAATTGGGAATACTACTGACCATGTTTCTACCACCATCGACAGAGATGACGGCATTGTCCATGAACCCTCCTGCTTGACTAGCAAGGAGCAAAGCAGGTCCCACTATTTCATGTCTCTGTCCAGCACGAGCTATTCTTGTCAACCTTTTCCTACCAATCCCCCGGACACAAAAAGGTTACTGACCGAGTGGTGATCGAAGGGCTGCTTTGCCCGCTGGGATCTTTAGGTATCGTTCTCCTTTTGCATTTATTTCACTGGTGATTTCCGATGGAAAGACACCAGGGAGGATTGTATTGACTCGTATTTTCAATCTATCATCAGTCATGCGCACATCGTCGGAAATAAGTAACTAACGGTGAGAGCCGACCAGCGAGCATGGTGGCTAGATGTATAGCTGGTTATTAATTGGGGAATATATCCGCGATATTTAGGAGCTGATTACTTACCGGCAGCCTTGCCGTCAGCTGGAGTCTCAGATAGTCAATGATACATACCTTGGAAACTCCGTAGGTCAAGGTGGATACTGGGCTGCATGTCAGCTGAAGCGTATTCAAGAATCACTCATATGGAGCGTAGGTCATATGAGGGACTCACCGCTGATTGGCAATAGCAGCTACTGAACCGATTATTACCACACTCTTAATGTCGCTCTTCTTGAGGAGAGGTACAAAGGCAGCTGTCAAGAAATAAGGACCTGCTACGTTTCCTTCCTTCTCAGTTCTCGCTCTTCTTCAATAACCGTAGTCGACTGACCAGCCATGGTAGTTGCCCAATCTTCGCTTTCTTCGTTAGTCGACATACACCAGACAAAAATAATGTAGCTCACTCTTCTACGCCTTCCCAAACGAGACGTTCGACCTGTTCCGCTGTTCGTAAGTTGAACAGACCACTCACAAGTCATACTAGTCCTGGGAATTGGAATGATAACCGCCCCGGATTATCGGGATGACGCGTTTGAGATTTACTGTCAAGTCCTGATGTACGCTGGACTTACGATCATTATGTCCTTCAACGGTGGTAATGGGGTTCTTCCATGGGACTTGTATAGCAGCGTTGTTGATCAGAGTGTCTACCTGTCCATCAATTTCATATCGATTGACTTGTAGAGACACAGGACTGACGTGGGTCTCTTTGGAACCGATGATATCGACGATAGCTTTGGCACCGGCTTTGGTGGAAATGTCCCCTTTCACCCTGTATATCAGCTCACTTGACCTGTGCTATGTGATCTACGATCTTTCTGGCCTCCCATTTCGAAAAAAGGCGTCAGGTACCAAAGAACAAATAGCCAGGAAGACGAGCCACCGTCGGAATGCCCTGACAGTAGACACGAGTGAGTTGACGAAGAGGTAGAGGTAGGGTGCTACGACGGAAGGGACCAAGGAGTCTTGGAGCTACAGCGGCTATTGTGAGACCTATTCAGAGCTGCCTCAGCAGTCTCATGTGAATCAGGAAGATGGAGAGGTGGAAGTGGACAATGTTCGGACTCACGGTATCACACATCCTCCAGACTTGCCGAATTCCTGATTGATCTCTTCAGCAGCCTTGCTCAAAACCTCTTCTCGCCTCCCTACGATATACACCTTCGCACCATTGACAACGAATCCCTCAGTCATCATCCTCCCTAAACCGGTTCCTCCACCAGTGACGACAATGACCTGATTATCAGTGACATGTTTTTCGCAACCTCTTCAACGATCAGCTCACATTGCCCTTTACGGAATACAAATCTCCCGCTTGGAGCGATTGAGTGGGAATAGGAACAAGCACCGACATATTGTTATCTATGGTTCAGATTTCGATATCTGTCAGATAGTGTTTTAGTGCTGTGAGTTATGAGTGCTTTGATGAAAAGAAGAGAGCATGCATGTGTAATGAAGATGAGTTGGTTCTATCATTCCGACATTTCGACTGGAATCCAATTGCCCGATATGGCCGATCCCTAAATTTGCTCCCGAGGTTCTACTCGTACAAGATCCTATAGAAAGTGGCATCATGGCATTTACGCATCGTGACAAGTCAGATACTAAGTTTGCAACTGGTAAACTGCTCAGAGATCAGAGGAACTCTACGCCTACTCCCACACCTAGACCTCGAGACAAACGCTCGTTCTTTCTTCCTACAAGTGGCAGTGTAAAGTTGAGTTCTATCCGTATAGGATCAAGTCTACACTCAGCCCTTACCTCTTTCTTTGACTGATATACTCACCGATACATCAATCCTAAACCCACACTGAGATTAGGACTTCGATACAATCTGCCCATATTTTCTGAAAATGACCGATCTATCCCACGTCAGCTCATGGCCGGAGAAGAAGCCAAGACCTACTGGTATCGTAACCAACCACCTTGCCGATATTCAAGAATGAGTGCAGTTTCAATGGCCAATGTTCTTTCTTTGGTATAGGAGCAAAAACAGAGAGTCCTAAACCCCAAGCAAGATCACCACCGAGGGAATCCGGTCCATCTCGTCTTCCTAATCCACCAACTTTCCAGCCTCGTACGGAATTTGGGCCTCCAAGATAAGTCCGGTCGGGTAGATAGGTGACGGGTGGATGACCATCCGCGGAGGATGTTCGAGAGTATAAAGGTAAGAGAAGGGTGGTAAGTGAGGAGACAGAGTAATGCTACGAATCAACAAAGATTCTAAATCAGGTTCAACACTCACAATGTTCGACCCCGTGTGGAGTGCACGGGAGAGTTGTGATTGAGTGGTTGATTTGAAGAAGTGTGCAAATTGCGATGAACCAGGCAGCCCAGAATATTCCTACTCGTCAGTCAGAGTAATCTCCAGTAGAGAAAAGTCCTACATGACTGAATTTGAGCAGACGACCACTGGTACCCGTCCATGGATCATCCCTGGTATCTGAAGTCCAGGTATGTATCAAGCTACTCTTGGTTGACGGATGAGCCAGCTCGCGTATTCTATTTCGTCAGCTTCCATTTGCTTGTTGGAAACAACTCACGAGACAGAAGCAGTCGGGGAAAGATGGGTAATATCCCGTTGTATATATTCGTATGTCAGATCATGTCTGCCCCAAGGAGCGATAGCCTGTTGAGTCAGAGAGCTATCCTCAGATCAGATTGAGGTAGCTCACGCTGAGGTTCGCCCTACCCCCTCCTGCTGCTTCCCGATGCGAGGCAAATGCTGTATTATCCCTATCCAGGGAGAATGCTGACAGGGCAAATGACAACAATGGAGAAGCTAGTATAGGCGAGTTGAACATGACCTGTCTCTCAGTTACATTCCTCTTTGATTGGATGAATGCCGCACTTGATAAGACGACTTGGTCTTTGTACCTATAGAAGCATTGGCTTCTAATGACTCTGCACCTCCGAAGGCATTTCGTATTCTAGCTGTCACAGTCTTCACCATTAGCTGTTTTCCTAATCAACATGCCGGCAGCTCACTCCTCCTCCTTCCCCACCACCAACTTCCGTACCAGCTTTGAAGAACAATCTACTCCTCTCTTTCAAAGCGAGCACCAATTCCACTTCATCCTCTTCTCCTCCGCGTTTCGGCTCCAAACGTACACCAGATTGATCAACGTCAAATATCCCTATCTTATCTAGATGATGCATCAGAGCTCGGGTAGTGAGCAACACTTCGTGAAGTGTTCCTGGAGGGGGAGGGGCGGGGTAAAGCCACTTTGGCATCCATGGATGGTGAGAGGGTGATATGAAAGGTGAGAGAAGAGAGTTGAGATATGAGGTTCGTGTTGACGATGGTTGAGGGGAGAGTCGGATGGAAGAAAGACGTAGAGGTCGATGCATGTTTCCTGTCACCTAACCGTCAGCTGACTTTGTAGTGGAGGGAGGAGTGACGAACAACATCAGAAACACGTCTTTGAGCAGCTTCGTATTCCCCTCGAAGCTTTCGTTGGAATTCTTCTTCTTGCTGTTGTTGAGTTCTCTCTGGATCTGGGGCTATATATCAACATCGGTCCTTGTCAATTTTCACTCCTTATTAGCCGATGGTTTGTATGTTCATGAACCTTGACTGATACTTTGCCTCGTAGTCTTCCTGTCTTGAATCGACCACGGCGACCAGAAAAAGAAGTTATGGACAGAAACCCACGTTCATCATGAGGCAAAGCAGCTCGGAATATCGAACTTGAACTAGGAATATCCAGTACCGGCTGAGAAGGATAAACCCTCTCCTTTTCATTCACTCTAGGTGAACTAGGTACCTTCTCGTCAGCTCAGCAGAGTGGTAAAAAGCGGTAAAGGCGGACATACCTCCGGAGAAACCTCTACGTCCACTTCTACCAACTCCACTTGCGGAGGTCGATCTTCAGCATTTGGGTCCATCTGATTGTCTCAAATTCCTCTGCAGTCTTTTTTATTTAGCCTCCTCAACGTCCTTACCGAGTCTTACGACCCGAGCCTAGCCTCTGGACGCTGAGTTTTGAAGAAATACGGACGGAAGGTCAAAGAGGAATTTTGGTTCACCCTCTATCTTGTTATGCGGAGCCCCACAACGGTTCAACCAAAAAGTCGGATGAAGAGTTGATGATGTCTTTATCGATTTGTCCGGTCTGCACGTCTGCCCAGACGACGTAGAACTCAAGGCGAGAGGGTAAGATGCCCAGCAAAGCTACAGAGGGTTTGCCAGATGATAATGAAGGCTATGGGACGAGGAAATACTGGTGTGTCGTTTCGTATCCTCTACTTCGAGCTTCCTTCATTCGTCCATCCAGCCATCGAAATCTCGAACTCTGCCCCTTTCCTGAACTCCTCCCTGATATGTCCGTCATTTGCACGCCTTCATAGCAGCTTCTCTAGGCATGAATGACTCTTATCTGGATACGCTAATAGATAGGGAACATCGTTACACTTCGTCAGCTTCATTACACACCAAGCAGTTGAACAACCAAGCTGACAACAAGAGAAAAACAAGGGACAACTTTCGATTGGTTCTTGACACCAGAATACTTACTACCTTTCGTATCTGATCTTTATCCAAGTAAAGAAAGTAGAGTTTTGATGCTAGGTTGTGGAAATTCCAGGTTGAGTGAAGTAGTAAGTCATCTCCTAACATACTCATACCTCTCTAGTCTATCCCCCCTTCCCCTAGCTCTTCAAGTTTGGGGGAAATCCAATTTTGAGGCTCATGTATAGATGTACGATGCAGGTTATCAGAATATCGTCAATGTAGATGTGAGTTTCTCAGATATACTTTTTTCTGTAACTCTGGCAGAGCTCGTGAAACTCGTAGTAGAGTACTGATATGCTGAAATGAAGTATTCCAGTACGGTGATACAAGATATGTCTGCTCGACATATTTCACGTCCTCAAATGACTTGGTACGAAATGGACGTTTTGAATCTTCAGCTTGAAGATGGATCGTTCGACTTGGTGATCGACAAAGGTCAGTGGATCAAATCATCATCGGTCAATGTTGATGAGAAGGTACTATGGAGTTTGTGTTTTATATCACGACGGAGTGAGGATTGATCAGTAGCGCTATGTTGACTTCGAAAGGTGATCCATGGGTATGTTCCTATATCTTCCTAATTTCTTTTCGTTCTTTCTACCTTTGATTTTGTATCTTTTAGTCTCACCACAAGTCCCGGAATCGATTCCCGTTCTTGTTTGGTGAACACCAAATCTGTGACTTGGAGCTATTTCACCACAATTGGTCTGGGAATTACCAACTACTCGGGGAGGTGTAGGACAGAAAGAGATGAGCTGATACGTCAGAATCCACCTCAAAAGGATGTCGACGCATGTACTAAAGAAGTCGACGAAGCACTTCGGTCCGTCTGTCTCCTTTTTTCTCACTCTGTATAACGCTGACTTGCAGTGTATTGAAGCATTCCCCTGGGTCAAAATTCCTCTAGTACGTTTCAACTCTCATAGTGTGCATGTTTCATGTTTCAATTACTCACCCCAGTTTCACATTTGGTCAACCACATTTTCGTAAACGGTGCGTATCGATTCACCTTCAGCTCACGTAACTGACAAGAACAGATATATGATCAATAGACCGGATTGGACTTTCACGTATCGCGAAATTGGTCCACCAGAAGGGTTAGCGTATTTCCTGTATGTACTAGAATATGCAAGTTCATGATGACAAATTCAATGCGATGACATAGTGACAAACATGACATGTAGAGTACAACTTGACAGCAAGCACAACACAATGTGGCAAATACAAATGAAATCCCTTTGTGCTGATCGTGTTCTACAGATGATAAAAGATAGTATGGCTACGATAAGGTTTATAACGCATCCCAACTGCTCATACTTGAGAAACTCGAACGTCTTGTCGATCCCCCCGGGACGATAGGTGGTTCGATGTCGATATTCAGATCAGTAGGATTGACCGAGTGAAGGTGTTCGCATGGGTGAGAGATGAGACGAGGAGATCCAGCACGAGATCCACCAGGAGTGGCATCGGGAGTATAAGCCTCTGCGTCGGCATAAGAAGACATCGAGTGTACCGATAATAAATCGGACATGGAGTCATCCTCGCCGGTAAAGGAAGAACCGTGGATGGAAGGTTCTTCGTGTTGTGGTCGTTGTGAAGTATGGGCATCTATGATGGATCCATCTGATCGTGAAACAGAGCGAGAGAGTGAGAAGAAAGAGTATGTGGGAGATAAAGGTTGTCGTATCTCGACATCCTGGGGAGAAACAGGGATGACCGGTGTGACTGGTGAATTTGGCGAAGTGATAATCACGGTAGAATCAAGTAGAGGAGCTTGTGCAGAATCATCTACCAAAGTATCGGCTGGGGATATTGACTCTAGAGGTCGAGTGATGGGAGTGGGGGAAGATACATGTGATGGAGAGAAGTCAAAGATGACCTGAGAAGGTTCGTCATCCAGATCGATGAGGGGTTGGCCTGAATGTTTCCCCTCTAGCTTCAAACTGACACGCCTAGATCTAGTTGGAGATTGAGGCAAAAAAGAACCGTCTAATTCATACTGTGTCACCCGACCCAAATGCGATTGCTCTTGATCTTCATGAACATGACCTTGATCTTCACGGAAACGAGGAAAAGGGTCGAGTTCGTATTCCTGAACAGGACGAGATCTTCGACGTAAATGACCAGATGTTGGATGATCTTGTCGAGCCGTCGAAATACCGGCAGAGACTATAGGTATAGGGATAAATTCGTAATGATCTTTGTGAGGTTGACGTGAGGCTAAAAAAGCTTCTATGAGAGGAGCTAGGTGAGGATCGTAAACGAACTACTGGGATTAGTTATTGATCTACTTATGTGATTGTCTTTGTCATGACAAAGGGAGAGAACAAAGCTTACTTTTTTGAAAGCATAGCCAGAACCGATAAGTGCGAGAGTACCTCCTAGTATGATCGGGACGGGATGAAGGGGCATGACAGGAGATGATAACGGTCGATGTGTGGAAATGAAAGATTCAAAGATTCAAAGATTCTTTGTCAGATAGGAAGAAAGAAGAGGCAAAGATCGGCAGTGTGGCAACGCGCGTCTTCCTAGCACTTGTACTAGAAGTAGATGATGCGATATGCACTCGACTAGCTACTAGAGACTAGGAGCAAAATAGCAGGATGAAGGATACCGTATGAAGTCAAGAGCTAGCGACGATATGATTGTTGAATGACGGTGACGTAGGGAACAGAAGGGGAGAAGGACAAGAAGATTGGGGAAAGATGAGCCGAGACAGGTCGGGATACGTCGGGCTAATTTTCAAGTGATTACAGTCCGCGTCCTCTAACCCGATAGGCTCGGTATGGGCTTTGCGCTATCGCCTTGAGGGACCTAACGGGTTGGAGGAAAAGCTTAAGTGTACCCTCCACTTAATTTTGGGTCACGTGAGACGGGGCTGGCGCACCTATTCTGTCTTAAAAGCCCCTGTGCACGCCTATTTTGGGGAGCCTATTGCGCTTTCTTTGGCCTCGCGGGCCTATTTCTCTCCCTCCTCTACCAAAAATGGTCCTCTAACCCGATAATCTCAGTCTTGACACTATCGGGTACCTGGTACCGGGGTCGCATGAAATCTCCTGCAAACCTACTCGGTATCACTGAAAATCTATCGGGTTGGAGGCATTATCGGGTTACGGGCTATCGGGTTCGAGGACGTGGACTGTAGTCCCAGTGCCACTAGCTGCTTTTTCTACTCAACGCCGAGGCCGAAGGGCCCATGAGCCGACGTACTACCAGTCATAGTACCGAGAAAAGCCGAGCGTGTGAGGAAATGGGCATGAGTGGCATGAGGGGACTGACTGTTGAGGGTTGCAGGAGAGTGGCACAACGCCAGATTGATGTCAGCGGCTGTACCTAGAGAATGTCGTTCTCTGCTGGCACAGCAGTTTTGTGTCACCAACGTCTCCAAGTTTAATGGAAGCATGGCAGCTTCAAGGCAAAGGCCCGCTGTTCGGATGTGCCGTAAGCCCGGGATCCGTAGAACTCGGAGGTTTGAAACCCCTTCAGGGACACATGAATTTTTTGTCCTCGGTGTTCTCGAGTTCTCGAGGGGAGACTCCAGCAGCGAGAATGGGAGAAAAAGTTAGGTACAAGGGTCTCACTTGCAACATGTCCGAGAGCAAGTCGTGCCTATGTTATCCTCAGGCTTTGGGGTAAGGAGCGTGGACATGACAACGGTTCAGGGCCTATGGAAACACCCGGGCCTAGTCTCTGGCCATCCAAAGTCTCGCAACTGTGAGATGATTTCAAGCTGGATTCTCGGTATCTCTATCACCATTTCCTATTCGAAACGACGGCTTCACCTTCTTTCTCGGTCTTTTCAAGTCAAGTGCTATAGTTAGATCTCAGCTAGGACCTAAGTGTGTTACAACATCAGACCAGCCGATCCTTTTCAATTTCCAAAAGCGGTTCTTAGCAACGAACTTGCAAGTAGTGCCGGTTGATCTTTGAGGAAGGAAGAACATTACACCCCGCATGTTAGCCTCAACAAATGTTTAGCGCTTGGACGTTTTTCGACTTTCTTTAATAATTGCGGGTGTCACTAGAACGATCTCGCCCGTTCCATACTTGGCTAGATATCATAAAAGCGGATCGAAACCTCCCACAGATCGCTCTCCCTCCCTCCTCCCTCACAGTGCTCTCGCCTTTCCTCACCCCTGCCTCTTCCCCCACCTCGAGATCATCACCCTGGCGACTGCCAACCGACGATCCCCCACTTGTCTTGTACGCCGTCTCAAGCCTCGTGCTCTGCCTGCGGTCTACCTTGTGTCACCGTGTGGTTCTGGAACGCTTACTTACGGTCTGCGCGCCGGCGGTCATCGGTTCATCGATTCATCAGTACATTGGTCCATCGAATTTCAAAAGCTTACCTGGTTCAACATTCGGTAAAAGCGGTAGAGGAACCGACGGAAGAAGCCCACATCGTCATTGGTCTTCTTGCAACAAATATTATCACTACGACCGAGAAGAGCGGATAATCTATCAGGTTCTGGCCATTGTTGGGTTCTTGGTTCCGACCGAGGGAAAGGCCTGAAGTAGAGGGACCACTTCCGCGATAAGAAGACTAAGGGTCTTCTTTGCTTCTTCTATTTTCTCGTATCATCCACGGTTTGAAAAGAGAACATCATAGGCTCTATACTCAGCCTTCTTCGGACCTTGTCATTGACGATTGTTCCCCCTTTTTTTTTCATCGCCTTCCAACTACCCTTTCGGTCTCTGTCAAGAAAATTCTCTGATCTCTTGATCTCGACTTTTGACGAAAACCCCGCCTACAAAGGACCCCTCCCATCTTTTTCCTATTCCCCACTCCGATAACTCGCATATCGACCACACCATCGCCAAAGCATCACACCGACACCCTCATCTGAAACGTTTCCTCTCCTCTCCTCCTCTAAACTCCTCTTCACATATCGTCTCTCTCTCTCTCTTTCTCTCTCCTATCAAGAACGCCAGCTCCACGCTCTTGCTCGTCGGACATCGAGCAAGCTCCGAAAAATCTACTCCAACACCCTTCTTCTACTACGTCTTCTGGCGAAGCCCCTGCTGTGCTGTGCTCGCTGCTGTTTATGTGATGTACGTACAACATTCCTCTCAATCCGCATTTCGCCGCCCGCTTTCTTGTTGCATGACTACATCTGACTTGTATAACAGACTACGACATTCTATCCACTATCACATTGCATCACTTCTTCCACAATGACGACCACTAGCTTACCTATGCAAATGCCGTACATGGCGGCAGTATCGTCTATCTCAAACCGGACAGATACCGGCATCCCGGCAGTAGCTTCTTCGGTAGGTCCTATCAACGGTGGGGACAATTTGGAACGAGTCGCAAAAGATATGAAAGCCAAAGATATTTCAAAGATCATGAAAGACTCGCAGGGGAACAAGAACAGACCAGACATTCCAGATCCGGCGCCCCAACAAATCCCTCATCGACATCAGCACTCAGTATCGTTAGATCTGTCTCACGTTCCAACATCTGCAACGATCGAATCATTAAACACTGCCGTCCCCTTTCAGTTTCCTACCAACAGCGACGATTTTCGAGCTGTCTCGGCCCAGACTATGTCATCCAACACAACATCCACTCCGAGTCAAGCGCCGATGCCTCATTACGCCATGGGTCATGCTCATACTCAGCCACTCCCACTTCCTTATCATCAGCAACATCCGGCCATGTCCAACTCTTTTCTTCAAGCTGGCCCATCTTTCGCATCTCCGTTCCCTTCTTTCCAAGATTTCCATTTTGGCAACGTCCTGCAAGAGAATCTCCCTCTATCTCAGCAACAGCATCTGCATCAGCGGCCACCTCTTCAACCCCTAATGCCGCAACAGCAACAACTTCAACAAAATCACCCATCTCAACCGCCTATCATTAATCGAGCTTCTTCGGACGAATGGCAGACTCAAGATTGGGAGGACGAACCAGATTCAGATAGGAATGACATGGCGTCTGGTGCAGACGTGATCGTACGTTCTCCTCTTCTCTCCACAGTCCCAAGCCCAACTGGCACTATACCACCTCCGGCTCCAAGTCCAAGGTCTCCATCTGACAAATTGAAGGTCAAGCATCGTCGTCGGACCTCTCCCCAACAACTACAGATTCTCGAAGAAGCATACGCAATCAACAACAAGCCCAGCAACGATGCCCGAGAACACCTAGCCTACGCCACCGGCATGTCTAAGCGGAACGTCCAAGTCTGGTTTCAGAACAGGTGAGTGGTCTGAAAGTGACCATGCCACGAGATGACCAGAGCTGACAATTAGACGAGCAAAAATGAAGACCCTGGCTATCAAGGAGAAAGATGCCCGTGGTGACGGTTCCGCATCCGGGCATGGCAGGGGGCACCCTTCACAAGGCTTTCCTCGGATCCTCCACAGATTACCCATGCCTCCCCAAGGCGTCTTCATCCCCAACTCCAACGGATCGACATTCGGACAAGCACCTCTTTACGCATCCACGTCATTCTCTCTGCAACCCCCTCCTCCACATCAGCCCGTGCCAGCATCAGCTGGACCCTCGAACAGTCACATGACATCACTCTTACCACCCGCATGGCTCAATATGAATCGGCGTGTCTCCCTCGCCAATGGTGAAGCTGCCGACATCCACAGTTGGGCGCGCAAGCACGAGCTGCAAGGCCGTCCCCGACCCTACGGTTTGCAGTTACGTTCCCCAAGTATCAGTCAAGGGGCAGCACTCCGACGAAGCAGCACGCCTTACCCTTCGCCAATGGGTTCTCATCCTAGCCCATATGGCTCAAGAGGATCACCCAGTGTCCGACCATCACCATCGAACTTACACTTGACGGCCATGACCAACACAGCACAGAACAATCGACGACTATCCATGCCCGGTTCACAGCTGATCCACTCCAGCCCTTTCACTCCTCCTCGCAACAATAACAATGGCCTCGGTATGAATGGTAATCATAATGCCAACAATGGAGGAATCAATCCCAACGTGAATGGTTCTCGAGAGCTCGGGGAAATCAAAGATGAGGGAGGGTCGGGAGAAACGGAGCCAATGAACCTCTCAGCATTCGTCACCCCCAATACCAACACGTACCGCGTACCCTTCAACACTCTGGCGACTCCCAGCAATCAAATCTTCTCCGATCCCTTCCCCTCCTTTACTCAGGCCGACTCTGCTTTCCAATCCAGAGGTCAGCAGCCCCAACTGTCGCCGGACGATCAAGCGCTACAAGATCTCAATCTTTACATGTCAATGTACCGTGATCGAATGGATAGCATCAGCTCGCATACCACGGAGGAAGTGAGTGACATGGGCGGAGATATGTTCAATCAGTCATTAGAACAGACCGGGACGTCTACTGAATCAAGACGGAATTCCGGGTGAGTGAAACGCCTTTCATATCATGAACGTTAAGCTGACAACCAGTGCTGGGGAACTGCTGGAGCTAAAGAAGCTCGGTATAACTTCCATGCCTATCAACAACGCTCAACCTCTTCGTCCTTCCCCTCTAAATTCACATTTCACCTCTGATACTCTCGCCTCAATGCCTTCAATGGCTTCCATCGGATCCTTGGACCATTCGACTTTCTCTTTCCAATCACCCGTCATTGACATGACTCAGTCGTCTTCATCCGAGCCTTCCCCTAACTCGGCTGAATCGAACCCTCAGGCTTCACAGATGAACATGTACCCGATGGGCGCCGTGCCTCCACACCCGATGCGCTCGCAGACCATGCCCGACTATCAATTCAATTATCAAGTCACGGATACCAGCCAACTCGGATTCGATAACATGTCAATGGATACCAGCAACCAATTCATTTACTCTAATCCACCAACGATGCCGATGTTATTGGGGAACAATGGACGTGCCCATTCGGACCCTTCTATGCCTCCGAGTGGCTTGAGCGCAGAGGACGACTTCTTCTTCCAACTCAGCGACAATCCCGATTTCCAATTAATCGCTCAAACATAGAACAATCATAAGGTAGTGTTTTGTCATCAATGTGTGTACACATAAAAACATTTCCGTCAGTCCTCACTTCTCACCTCAAGTCATAATGGGGAACATGTTATGACCAAAATGCAACCAACCACTACGGCTTTTATCCCTTCAGAACTCGACAATCTCCTATCCGGTACTAATCTCTTCACCTGTTTCATGTGACATACGAATACAAGAATCACCAAAGCTCAATGGACCTTTGACAACCTCATCCACCCGTCATTGACCTTCCTATTCTACGACTCGGCCTACTTCTTCCTCTCTGCGTGCTTGTATATCAACTTTCCGACTGCGTCTGCTTCCTCCTAGCAACTTTCATTTCTTCTTCGCCTCATCATATCCGGGCTTCCTGTGTTGAATAGATCCCTCGTTCGTGTAGATGACTGAGAGTTGTTGTCATGCATATCCTTTCCCGTTTTGCGAGGCTCTAGCATACATATCGTTAAGATTATCTATCAGGCTTGAGTACGCAGATATAGATGACTGATGGTTCTACTAGTACGAGAATGAGTTTGTACTCGTTTATCGCAAGGCACCCCCAGTGAGACAGGTCGTGGACCGCAGATGTGGAGGTCAAACGCGGGGCCCCGAGCAATCTTCCTTCCAACCTCCATCGACGCGTCGCGACTTTGCTCTCACTCCCTACAAAGTTCATTCGCATTCACTACTATCCAACTCAGGTCTCGATACCAAATGGCAACTCTAGAAGATCTATTCGGTTCTCCCGGTGGTTCTCCTCCCCCTCCCATCACTCAAAATCATTCACCTTCCTCTCCATCAAACGACCAACCTCTCTTTCTCTCACCTACATCCGTAATCTCGCCTCGAAATCATGACTACCCAAATGATTCCTCTTCATCTCATCATTCACCCTCACCTATCAATCCTCGTCAAAAGATCTCTCACAGACGTGATCAAATAGTTACAAGAGAACATTCACCGAAGATCAATACTTCCCATAAACATAAACGGGCAGGACCAGAAGAAGACTTATTTGACGATGACGATTTCTTAATGGACCTTCCACCCCCTCTTCCGCCCGTTGGACAGGTTTTTGACCCTTTGGCTTTTGACGGAGCGTATGTTGGAGGAGTAGGTACTACAGAAAAGAGAGGTGGGGATGATGATTTAGATGGAGGAGGTAAAAAAAGGAGGATAATACCGAAGATTGATGCTGAAAGGTTATTAGGGGATAAAGGTATACCTGGTTTAATGAGAGTTGCAAAAAAGTTTAAACCTAGAGGTAAAGGACAAGAAGTTAGTCGAGTCTCATTCTCTTATCATAATGTTTAGCAAATCTTCTTCATTTCTTCTCATCGCTTCTGTCTCTTTCACGTGTTGATTGCTTTTATTCTTCGCCTCTCGAAGTCTATTCACAACAGTCATTAGGTGGTTGTGAAAGCAGAATTTCTACGACGGAGATTGGATACTAGAATGTAGAATAGGAAGAAGGATGAATCGGCGACTTAGTTCGATGGAAAGATGAGGACGTGTGAGCGGAGAAATCCAGGATAAAAGGTGATAAAGTTCGTGAGACTGACGATAGATGGCCGACTTACGTGACTTATTAGGGATATATCAAATGTGGGCACATGGGATGTTCCCTAAAGGAGATTTCGCAGGGACTATATCCCGTGTTGAAAAAGTCTGTCATTCTCGAAGGATGGAAGTGAGTCTACAACTTGTGTCTTTTATTTACTAAACTTTTTTTCCCCATCCTTTCACAGTTTCTCTCAATCTCATTATCCGCCTAATATGTTTTCCCCCTTTCTGCCTCTTGATAACGCTTTGGAATCCAATGTCAAAGTTTGTGACGTTCGCTCATATTCAGTCCGCTATGAAAGGTTTCCGAGAATCTTTCTACCCTCCAAAACATCGCACACCCAGTCCGCCATTAGGTTCTTCACAACAAGAACGTCCCTCTTCACATTCTTCTCCTATTTTACGTTCCAACCGTCAACAATCCCAAATAGATGAAGATCAGGCACAAAGTGACCGTGCGGGATCTGGGAATGATGAAGTTCCTCAAGAAGGACGTAAAGAACCTTTGTTTGACGGACCGGATATGGACGAATTGGTAGCTATGGAAGAGATGGAAAGGGAGTCTCAAGATAAACGGTCTGGATCCAAGGTCGTAGAGAATGAACCGCCGGTTTTGGATGAGGAAGATGAATGGGAGGGTTTGTATGATTAGTTCTGAAGCATCTATTTCACATTTCGAGGTTGCATTGGATATATGGTTGGATAACTGTTTTACAGGAACATCTTTAGATGCAGTCTGCGTGACGCCAGACACTGCCTCACTTGCTACGAGAATTACTTTATGTATATCACCGTCGCCAGGATTGCCGATCAAAGCCGTGTCTGCGTCTTGACCGCCACTCCACATGCTTTCAAACCACTCACTACTACTTATCAAGGAAAGAAATCTCATGGTGAAAGAGGTACGATCAACTCAAAAGATGAAGGAAACTTTGTTACCCATTTCACCGCCTATAGGACTTCATCTCGATTACTGTTCAGAAGAAGAACGTATCATCCTTCTCAAATCCGTCATCTTAGCTTGGTCCAGTGTGAGTTCCTCATTGTTAATCCTTACATCCTCACCACTCAGACATCTCCTCACTTTTCTTTCTCTTTCTCTTTATGTGAAGAGGCTAGCAAGGACCTTACTGATACGTAGCCCGCATTTACAATCACAGACGAATTAGAAAGACCTATCTTCAAATGCGAAGCTGATCGATTATCTCTCCGAACTAAGAAACGTAAGTGTCTTCTCCATCTTCTCCTCCTTCTTCTTCTTCTCAAGTACTCATAACTCTTTAGGAAGAGTATTCATTTCCACTCCGGTTCTATTTAGGAACATATATGTACTGATGTCACTTGATTGTATCCTTGGTGTCCCTCTACCCAAATCTGAAAGTAGAGACCAGGGAATGGAGCATCCTGCAAGGAGCAAGAGCTGAGTCCAGATCTTGTCAGTTTGGAAGGAGAGAAATTGTTGGTTTTAGAACGCAAATTGGGCAATTTTTTTTGTACTTGTGAAGGTAAGAATGAGAAGGGAGAGGTGGTTCTACGAGTTGAGCAGAAATGGTCTGGTGAGTCCATCTTACCCTTCCTCAAGTTCACCTCTCTCTCCTCCATTTGCAATCCCAACTCCTGAATTTCAATCACACCAGTGCCGGGAGTATTCTCATCTATCATTGTCTGCTAAACTGGGCGTTTCTGCTGAGTGTCGGGGGAGGAGGACGAAGATTAGGTATTGACTGCAGTGCACAACAAGTTAGAAGCGACGTTCACCAGTCCTAATACAGGTGAACCCGTCAAGCTCCATCTTAAGGGGAACATATGGGGTAACGAAGCTGTGATAGCTTGGGGAGATAAACCTGTCGCTCAAATGCATACGGATTGGAAGTTGGGTAAGATAGCCAAGGATAAACAACCAGTAAGATTCTCCCTTTTTTTTAATTGACAACTGTACGATCCCACAATCAGATATCTCCCCATGACCGCGTCCCAGTCTGAAGCTCCACTAATGGGGAAAAAAGCTTTGAATCCCTAGCTGATTCACAGTTTACCGTCAGGATAGCCCCGGGAGTGGACCCCATAATCATCTCGGCCATCTGTTTATGTTTCCACGAAGCGACGTACGAAACTTGATCAGATAATATGTAACTTATAACATTTCCGACTCGCACACATCTGAGGCATGTTGCTTTTTCCAGCCTGTCAAGCGGTCGGATCACCTCGGATCTGAATGGTGCGTCGTAGTGGCGAATGTGGGATTTCTGGGCTCTGGGAGAAAGAAAGGTATGCAAGCAACCGATGTCGGACATCGGAAATGAACGGGATAAACAGAATAGAAGAAAAGATCTCACTTTCCCCACTCTCAAACCCTGACAGCCTTATCTCGAACTCGTACACCGGCTCAAGCGAGGTTGGTTGGAGTCTCGCACGTGTGTGATGGATATGGCCGCTCGACTGGAAATAGGTGAGACACTCTTACGTGTGGTCGGATCAAGATACGATGAACTGGGTCCAGACACTAGGGGATGTGAGACAGGTGGTGGTGATATCTGATAGTGTCATCTGATTAGCATGATTATTGTAATTTGCACGAAGTATGTATGGCTATAACTTACAGATATACCACTTTGAGCTAGCTGACGACTTGACATCAGTGTGAGAATTGAACATGATTGCCAATGTAAGCCCGATGATCAGCGGTCAACGTCTCTAAACGGGGGTGAGTCATAACAGTACGAGGGAACCACTAAGTGCTCATAGCATGTCCGTGCTTCACGCCATCACAGGGTCCGGCGATTGGCAAAAGCAGATGAGGACGCTTGCTGTTTCGGTAGCTTGGGCGTCTTGTATGGATCATGGGTCATTCATGGACCATGGGTACAGCAAAGAAGGTGGCAGCATGGCAGCATGGCACGTTGGGAAAGTGATGCAACATGCTCCGGTCCGTTTGATCGTCGTTCAGCGTCGGGATCAGTAAAGTGCCTTGGCGAACATACTCACGCTTTACCGGCGGTAAGTCAATGTTCCATATCATTTTGGAAACTCTTCTACTCACTGATTCACTAACCTAGTCGTTGATGCCCCTTGTCGTTTCGTTGCATAGCTCGGACCTTGGTGTACTCGGTGTGATCGCAAGTGGTCAAGATTCTTTTTTAACATCTACGCCACCGTCATAACCGCCGCCACGAATTGCCAAGCGCGCAATGCACGGGCCGGAGATATCCGAATGCCGACGGGGTAACGGAGTTGCAAGGGAAAAAGTGACGTGAGGGGCTCCCACCCTTACCCTCTTCCCAAGTATTAAGTCAAAAGGGGGGACTCTCACTCCTTCTCCTTGCATCCTCGGCTCCTCCTCTCGTTCAGCATTCAATAGAGTACGAGAGCTGACTTCCTTTGGTGTGACGCGTGACTCTGTGTCATCATTTGATCTTTGTACGCCCTTGACATCCTCCGTTTTACGTTTCAGGCCCACCACGCGTCACTTTTTCGCTTGCAACTTGCCTTGTCTCGCCGCCCCACCGCCGACCGGCGATCGTGTTTCCCCTCATCATCCGCTCCGTCTCCCCTCTCCTACGTCTTCCGATCTCAACTCTCTTTCTCCTCTCACTTTAAACCCTTTGTTCCCATCGGCTTGTCCATCTTTTTCATCAAGCCACTCAAATCAAACACAGCTCCAGCACACAACGCCCTTCATACCCGGCTATATAGTATCCACCACCTTCCCGGACGGTACCCTACGACTTCTTCCCCTCCCCCTTCCCCCTCCCCGTCATAGCCAAATCATATAACCATACATACTTGTCTCCGACATGTTCGCCCAAGGTTCTTTTCGACCTCTTCACGAGCTACCACCTGTCCCTCGTAGACCTATCGATCATACGGACACTCAGGAATCTCCTTTTTTCGACGACGAGAACGGTTCCAGTCGCGATCATTCTCGACGCACCAGTAGCGAAGTCCATATGTCAGATTCACAGCCGCCCATGTACGTCAAACCACACCAGGTTGGGGATCTTCTTCGTCGTCTGAGTAGTGACAGTTTGGAACAATTCATTTTAGACGGATCCGAGGTGAGTTGATCTTCCTTTTCAGTATACACGTCATTCTTCACTCTCTCCCACATTCGCCTTCTATCTCTTCAGAGATCACTATGGATGGTCAGCCGGACGACTACATTGATGATCCCTCTCGGACCGGCCGTGCCGTTACAACTGCGCTTCTCGTGCTTCTTTTTGTTCTTCTTCCCGCCCTCCCCTTTTCGCCTCATGTTCCAACAGATGGCTTGAGTAGAATAGGAAGCCCACCGCCGGCAACGTCGGATCACTCACAACTGAAATCACCACGCATCATCGGGCTTTCTCCGAGGTCCAGCATGACCCCTTCTCACACTTAAATGTCCCAGTTCATCCCCGCTTCATATCTCTCCTTTGTCTCATCTCCCCACCTCCGACGCCTTCACACACATCGAGCCATAGACCCTTCCAGGCTCGAAGGCGATTGACGTTTTTTCACACTACTCTTCTGTCTGTTCCCTCCACCCTGTAACACGCTCTCGGCGAGCCGACAATCTTCTTTCTCGCCACTATTCGGCCCGGGTTCTCTTGCTTCCCTCGCTCACTCGTTCGAACAGCAAGTTCGGATCCCTGCCGCGTTTCTTTCATTCGTACATACCCACTTACTGCTCATTGACTCAAATATGATGACCAACGCTGATCACAATTTTCCCTCTTTGCTTGACGCCATTCTTCACTATTACCCCATCAACTCTGTTCGTAAACCATCTCCTCCTCTCGCTGAACTTGCGGCTCGCGCCTCATCACTCCCACTGCCCTCCCCTCTTGACCCCAACGCCCCCCGTTTTTCTCGCTTCTTGTCATACAATCAGCCCATCCACGCACCCATTCCACGCCACGCATCGCAGACAGCGTTCAAGCCAGCCAACATGGATCCCTCCCCAGGTTCTCCGAACAAGCCACGTCAAGTTCGCGCTTCCCCGTCCCCCTCGCGTCATCCCCATCATCACGGTCTTTCTGCTCTGTCGCCGCTGCAAATGTTTTCGCCACTCGAATCGAACCAACCTCCCATGCCCAAGCCAAAGTCGCGGGCGCCTTCGGAAACCAGCAGCGGTGGACCGAGGAGGCCCACTTCGGTCACCCCGTCATTAAGCAGAAGGCAGAGTGTCATCAGCCAGGCGGCCAAATGGGGTCAAAGGGAATATGATATAGGCAGGGAGGAGCCATACAGCATCGGAGAGGTTTTCTCCAGGCTCACCATTGTCAAAGCTCCAGCCGAAAAGGATACTGGACTCAGACAGTGAGTTCACTCATTTCATGTACCGTTCGTCTTTGCTTATGCCAGACGGTCCAAATCCTCATCCTCTCTGAACCCCTTCACTGCACTCAGTGTCACCTCTGACGGCCCCGCCACCGCCAATCGTCCTCGCCGCTCTTTTGCCGCGTCTTCCTTCGCTGGGTTCTCACCCATCTCCGCCACCACTCCAAGATCCCCTCTCTCGCCCGCACCCCATTATGGTGGATTCGGATTTGGCGATGCTGTCAATCGTATCATGGTCGCTGGCGATGAACCCCAATCAGAGATCCAACACAAGACTCTCAGTCCTGAAAAAGTTTTGGAGATTGCCAGAGGCCTCGAAGCACCCATCGCAATACCAGAAGGTGGCCTCAAACGAGCGGACTTAAAACGTCGCAAATCGGCGAATAAACGTAATCAATCTCATACGGCACCACAGTCGCCGGAGATAGAACCACTGGCGCTTGAACCTGTGGAATACCTGCAGATGGACGAAGACACTTTGTTACCCTTCGTTGATCGTCCACGCGAGGTCAACGAGCTGCTCATACACACATCCAATGAGAGGACATTCGCCCTCCTCAGAGCGGCTTTTCCCAAACACGAAGCGCGTGAGAAGTGGAGAGACATTCCACCGACCGAATGGTGCTGGGACGAATTCGTCCTTCACCTCACCACCGTCGACCGTTTCGAATATCCCGACTATGCGTGGGTGTTCAAAGCTCGGCAGGCTGTGAGACAGCATAGCATCGCCTTGTGGGAGAAACTCGGCTCTATTCTCGGATGCGACCCCAATCTCCTGAACGCTGGTGGTGAAGATGGTGCGCCGGAGTCTTGGGGTGGACTGGGACTGGGTGACGAGGGCGAGTTTGACCCAACGGAGAATCAAGTGTTAATCGAAGGTCTTTCTGCCATCGAATTCAACGAGTTCATCAAAGCGGAACGAGCGTTTGTCGAAGGTTTCGGCCCGGTCGTTGAGGATGAAGGTCAGCAAGCCGCCGCTGGTATGACGGCGTTGCTTGGAGGAATGGAAACGATAGGAGAAGGTGATGAAGATGCCACAGCCGCCAAACATGGTCTCACAACCGCTCAACGCGCAGCCAAGAAGGCGGCCATTGACCCCATGTCACCGTATGCCGAATCATCCCCTATTCTTGGCCCTAAACCAGCAGCCAAACACATTCGTTCTCGATCTTCTGTCGGACTGCAGATCATGAATGCTCCTCAACCAGCTCTTCTTGGGTCTCCTGACTTGTCACCCCAAACCCCGTACATGCGGCCCACCCAAATCTACGAGCGTGGACCCGGAAGTCCATTGTTTCCGAGTAGCTTCAGCAGTCTGTCGGCTGAGCCGAACCTGGGTCGATCGGCTAGTGTGGGAGTAGGAGGTGCTAAGCCGATGAAAAGTGGGGAGGATTTTGCGAGGGTGGGAAGAAGGATTGTGAGGAAACCCAGTGGTGCTGGTTTGAGTGAGAGTGAGTCAAGTCGTTCATCTACCTGTCCTGAGATATCCTCTCTGCTTGTCCCTCATATCGTCTTTGTTCTGTCCTTCCGTCATTTCGTTCGTGATTTTGCAATTTTACCATCTCGGACTCCTCGTCCCATAATTGTGTTTTCTTACCGTGTAGCAAAAACTGACAAAGCAGGCGCCATCACCTTTGCAAGTGAATCAGACTATGCCCACTCCGCTGCAGGACACGATTAAATAATTCCTTCATATCAATCTAGAATATCCTAACGAACTGTCAAAAAAAGCGTACCAATTGTGTACAGACTGTGTCCACGTATGACACATTGATCATCTTTCCCGACTGATTGTATCATTTACTCTACCATTCTTTTACTTTGACTTGTCTCCGTGTTGCTTGCTTCATCTTTCGAACCGTCATATTTCGTAGACATTGCATGTTATGTGTATATACAGTTAGATCAACATGTCATCTCATCTGTTTTCATATCTTTCGCTCTGATCTACTCACGGTCTATTTTATGTGCTTCATACCATTTCAATCTGTATGCAGGTCCATAATAATCTCTGTCTCAACCTCCTCACCAACCCTCTCTTCCTCTACATGTTGAGCGCGTGAAAGTAAAGAGTGGTTTGCCGGTAGAACGAAGGAATTCAGCCGGTCAACTCCGGACATTCCATCACCGGTCCGAACTCGCCGGACCCAATTTAAACCTTTTCAGCCTACTTGGTGTTCACTTCTTCCCCATATCAATCATCATAAATCATCCACTAAGATTATCTGAGAGAGAAAACAAAATGGAGAACGCATTATATCTACGCAACAAGTTGGCGAAGGGGGAGAAAGCCTTAGGATTTTGGTTGACGTGAGTTTTTCCCACCCATTTGATCGTCCCCCAGCTTCGGTTGACCCCTTGTCTCTCTGGAGATGACATACGAGAGTAATCTACGAGCTTGAGATGATCCCAGGAGGAGTATCACTTTTTTTAATCCATGTTTTCAACAGCTATGTTTTCGAATATGTTGACTATTCTGGTATTACTTCAGGCATGTCATGTGATACCAGGTTGGCACCGAGGGTTCCATGTGATTGCGTACGATTTTCGCAGGTGGTCAATGATCTCAGGCTGGAGGAAGAGTCGGCAGGGGTGAACAAGAGGAGAGTGAACTAATGATAAAGATTCCCTAGCACCGGATTGGCTCGAACTATTCTAGCCACAGGAGGTTTAAGTTGGACTTTGCTCGATGCTGAACATGGACAAATTACCGATAAAGATTATTTCGATGTGAGCTTTTTTTTCATTTTCTCTTTTGTCGACTTCTACTTTATCATGAAATATTATCATTATGATTCTCGTGTCAAATATCCATTCCTTTCCACCTACCGATATATCATGATAATCTTTTCACAAGTCGTATGATAATGAATTCTTACTATATATTTTGGAAACTCGTCTGAGGGATGTTAGATAAAAGGGAATAAGGATACACCCACTGATCTTCAGCTATGCAACGCAGTCGTCGCTTCCAAAGCTTCACCTATTATTCGGATTCCTTTCGACGTGGAATGGATGATTAAACGTGCTCTCGACGCTGGTGCACATGGAGTAATGACTCCTCTATGTCATACTGCCGTGAGTTCTCTCTGAAAGTTTCTGCCCCCTTTTTATCATCACCTTGGTATCTTATCACTCCCTCATATCTCAATACACACTCCTTGACTTCCAAGCGATAAATCCTGGTATGGGCATCTTTGGTAAATGGTTGGGAGGAGCAATCAGAAGTGGTAATGGAGGAAGAAGAGTTTAATGAAACTCACACATAGGACGACGCAAGACGTATCGTAAAATACTCTAAATACCCTCCTACAGGTACAAGAGGTTTCGGACCAATGTTCTCCCCTCACTCATTTGGACTCACCACTGAGGGTGCTTATGCTGCCGGAGCGGATAAAGGTTTGTTGGTTATCGTACAGATTGAGAGTGTACCGGGGGTGGAGAATGTGGAAGAGATTGCTAAAGTCGATGGGGTTGATGTGATTTTCATCGGTGGGTTCTTCGAGGTCATGAGTGATCTTCTGTTCATTCCCACTTATTCTATATCTCCAGTCGTCCTTGCCAATCACCCGCTATCTTGAAGTTTATCTCATAGGCTTCTTGATCCGGCAATAGACTGAACCATGAGCATCATCCGTCAACGTTGGTTTGCCTAAACATTTCAGTCCGCTGATCCCCAGGTCCATTCGATTTGTCTAAATTCCTCGGATGTGAATTCGGCGGTGAGGTCCACGAAGCTGCTATTGCCAAGATCCTCAAAGCTGCCAAAGCTGCCGGAAAGACTGCTGCTATTTTCTGTCAGTCTTATTTTTTCCTTCTTGTCTCCTCCCCAGCTCTCTCTCTCTCACCCCGCTACCGCTCAAGCGATAGACTTGTATGTTCAAAAGCCTAGTGGAATCGTTTTTTGCTTCACTCTACAATAGAGTTGAGGGTGTTTCACCGAAGGAATCTAGAGGAAGAAGAGAAAACAGCTTACCCACAGGCACGAGCGGAGAGATGGCTCGTAAGAGACTCGATCAAGGATTCGACATGGTCTCCATTACCACCGACATTGGTGCTGTTCAAAATGGTTTCTCTAGGGAATTCGCAATTACCACCGCTACTCAAGCCGGTCCAGCAAGATCAGGATACTAGGGAGTTATAGTCGTCCGGGCTTCAAGATGCATAGCAGTTCATCAAGACACATGGTCGAAGTGGTTGCCTTTTGATCCGCTGACCGGTCGTCGGTCGTCGGCCGTCGGAACCATTGATGGTAGACAAGCATCGCTTTTAAAACTCATCGCCTATTTATCGGCGTCACGGCGTTGTAAGCGCTAAAGTACTGATTCCTTCTTGTCTTCTCCTTCTCTCTGGGCGTTATAAGATGTTCAGAGCTCCCCATTCCTACTCACTCTCACCACGACTAAACAGACTTCATTCGATTGACCTTTTCACAGACTGGCCACCACCGAACGACAGGAATCTGACAAGATGGGAATAGGTTCTCTTTTCATACCTAGTCTTCCTAAAGAACTATCACCCGTTCACCCTCCCTTGGGAATCCATCCGAATTACGCAGTAAACAAACCCACTACGCTCGTCTTGAGAGAGAAGATCTTTTCTTTCACAGGTGTGAGTTTGTCTTTGCGTCAGCTGCGTCCTCTTGACTGTTGAATCAGTACATCGACTCTAGTGCACCTTACTTTAGACATGGTTAGAGCTCGATTTTTTGCGATTGAGGTGTGCCAGTTAAATAGACATTTGTCTAATGTGTAGGATGATTTTGCCATCAAGGATATACATGGACAACCGGTGATCAAGTGTAAAGGCAAGTTCTTGAGTCTGAGAGATCGAAAGAGTGAGTGTTATTCCTATTCCTATTCCTATTCCTATCTTCGGCTGAATTGCCCTGCCATATTCACCTTGACTCTTGACGCTCATTTCTTTCGTTCACTGTACTCATGTCCTCAGGACACAGCTAGCAGCTTTCCTTTCTCCCACCGACACCACTCTGTAACTCGTGAGCGTTGTTGTGGCTTGGGGTGGGGAGCGGAGCGGATGCTGCTCATGAGTGCCGTTCAATGAAACATTTATGAGAATGAGGAGGGACAATGCCTGACCGACAGTCATAAGCGATCTCAACGGAAATGTCCTTTTTCAGATCCGAGATAAAGCTTGGACTATACATACCATCTACATTGGTGAAGATCCCCAGGGTGAGGAGATATTCAGAGTGAGAAAAAGGTTCTCTTGTGAGTTTCGTCATCATTTTTCTAGTAATCAACCACCCATGATCTCCCCCATTTTCCATGAACATGAAACTCATTCTTACGATACACAAGAGTCAGAACACTTGAAGGCTGAAGTTCCGAAACTGTTAGGTGATGGAATGAGCAGGAAATCATATGAATAACGATCACGTGTGGACAACTTGTATGAGAAACGGATGGGAGAATGACATGAACTCTATGCTTACCTTCAGTCGGCACAAAGTTGGAAGCGACATTCCGTAATGCAGTCGATGGCAACGAAATCGTTCTCACAGTCAAGGGAGATATCTTTGCTTATTCCGCAGATGTCATGTTGGGTGAAACTGTGATTGCACAAATTAGGAAACAGTTGGTAGATGTGAGAGAGTATTTAGCGGATACTCAGACTGTGAGTCGAAGCTTTTGTTTCTGCTCACCGAGGTCATCCTCAATCACATCCCTTTTCTCAAACCTAAGACATTGGATCTCATCATCTCTGAGCCTTTTGCTAGCTACAGCCACAGTTATACACCTCGTCTGTACCTAGGATGATGAGGGATGTGGGGAACTATGAAGCTCACGAATCAGTACTTCGTCACGGTCGCACCTGGTGTTGACCTCACTCTTATGGCTGCCATTTGTATATGCTTTGACGAGGCGAAACATGATGCTGAGCCTGCGGGATATTAGAGTTGTAGAGTCCTGTTCAATGTATGTACCTAGTTTCTGCTTGTCAATGATAATGTTAAGTAAAGTCTCTTCTCTCACACCTTCGCTCGTACTGGTTGAGTTATAGGGTTATTGCCTATGGGCAAATGGTTGGAACACCCCCCACTTGGGGCCCCGATCTGGGCTGTGCTTCGCTTCTCGGCGTCGCTTAACGCCGAGTTGTTCTTGGCACTACTGGAGAGTCGCACATTTCACCCTCTCCCAGTCTCATCGCCTCGAAGCTCCTCGGCTATAGGTAAAAGCTATTCAATCTGGTTCATTCTCACTACTATTCCGTAGGAATCCAAGTTTAACAGGACAATATTCCACTGTATTGACATCCTTCAAATACGGACAAACCTGACGTTACTTGCCCATCATGGGTCTTCTCACTCCCAACGCACCTGTCGTTCTCCAGCCTGTCAATCCACCCATAGGTATCCATCTCAATTATTGCGTTCCCACATCTACCGTTTTAGTGCTGAAAGAGAGACTGCTTTCTTTCTCAGGAGTGAGTTCATTCCTACCTGATCCACCTACCACCTCTACCATCATCGTATCCGGACTGACATGTGACATGATAATCCTTTGGTGTTCCCCTTCGAGGTCAGGTTTTGAGGTCAAATGTCAGAAAGTGGTCGAACGTGACTGATGAGAAGGATGATTTTACGGTGAAAGATAGTAATGGAACTCCTGTTTGTCTTTGTAATGCTAGAGCGTTCAGTGTGAGAGATAGAAAAGGTATGTTCACTCGCACTTTCGATAAAAATCCCTTTGTCCCTTCATCTATGACCCGGTCGAGTATGACTTTCATATACTAAGAAGGGAAAATCTTGAGTATGATAACAAGATGTAACTTGTGAACGTGTGAGTAATGACTAACCTAACAGTCATCACTGATCTCAACGGTAATATGCTTTATGCAATACATAACAAATTATTGACTTTCTTACCTGAATATATAGGAGAATACCCAGTTAGTCGAGAGGTCTTTAGGGTTAAGAAGAGATGGGGTCGTGAGTCTTGATGATCATCAACACTTTCACCCCCTACAGTTCTTGGTCATCAGTAGGTATTGTCTGTTCGGGTCCGGGTGAAGACAGAGGCGATAGATCCACGGGAGGGACGGAAGGTGAGGGAATGATTCAAAGATGAAAGTCGATTGATATAGACCAGAAGTATATAGAGGTGGAGGGAGCTGATTTTCAGTTGGAACAATGATGGAAACCACTTTCCTAGATTCCACCACAAACACCCAGATAACTCTCACCATGCAAGGTGACATGTGGGGTGGATCGGCGGATATCATGTTAGGTCCAACCGTCATAGCTCAGATCAATAGAAGTTTATTCAATATGCGTCAGATATTTGGTGATCAACAAACTGTAAGTTCATCCTTGCTCCGTTACATCATAACATCACATTTAAAACATACCTGGTATGCGGAGACGACTACACTACTTCGTATGTGACTCCCCAAGTAGACAAAGATCACCTTTGAGTCACGAGTCGATCAGGAATGTGACAAATTGTTCTACAGTATGAGTCATACAACTAATTGGAGCAGTATTACGTTTCTGTGGCACCTGGAGTGGATTTAACTTTGATAGCTGCCATGTGTATATGTTTCGATGAGACGAAGAATGACCGTCGGCGACGTTAAAGCTGAACTACTGTTTGTTGCTATGATGAGGAGTGATGTAAAACAGAATGCAAAACAAGTTGTAGCCATATAGATGTTGTATGAGATCGCAATGACTGGTCAAATCTCGTGGGGTGATGATGTCCCTATATAAGCTCATAAAGAGCCAGGCGTGGACAACCAACAAGATCTCCATGCAGATTGCTCAAACAAATATAAATCTACGGATGTTAAACTTCTCACCCTCACTACCCCGAGCACCTAACAAACCGCGGCCCATCCAAACATTATCACATCAAGCGTCCGAGGGAATAGGTAGAAATTGACCAATGACGACAGATGGAAGATCGAACACCTACACACCGTCAGTTTTGGTTATTGAGGAGCAAGGTCACTCACATCACGCCGTATTGTCAGACAACACGTACAGCCGACTTGTCTTCCTCCCACTACGAGCGAAACCTGTTGGAAGAAATTCTGCGTTGTATTTTCGAACGCATGAACGGCAAATGATTCGAAATACTCGACCACACTGCGTGTCAGTATAAATGAAAGTTCCAAACACTGACGGTGGACCGCCGCGCTGAGGGAAAGAGACAATATGAGCTGATTCAACTTACCTCGGTTTGGCGAAAATGGTATAGATGTAAGTCCGTCCGTTAAACAATTCATTATCCCTCTCCACCATTCTGCAGAATTCAGGATTGGCATAACACACTTCACCAGTTCTTCGCCATACGGCAGTGGGTGTTGCAGAGTACGAAATCAGCTTTTCTAATTCCTACTCATCAACCCGGGTCCGACTGAACCATTTTGCGTGCGACTCACGATCAAAGTCCGTTGGAATGATTTTTCCAAAAAGATTTCATCTTCCTCTGACATTGGCATTCTGACATAAACAAAATACTGATATGAGAGTGCGATGACCTACTGCAAAGCTATCAAGCTCGGTCTATAGCTGGCCAAAGCTTTGACCACTCGAAATACGTCTCGTTGTTCGAAACTACCAATCAGAAAAGTAAACCCGAAAGTCAAAGGAGAGCGATGAGCATCATGAACTCACTTCTTCGCCAAATACTCCATGAGGATATGATAACCTTCTGTATAATCACTATACTGTTAGAGCTTTCAGCCGAAGAGATTTCATTCAGCTCACTAAGGCTTGGTGACATTATTGTAAACTTCATTACTCGTCACAGGTCTTTTGAAACCCTCCAATGCGCCAGGAGTATCAATATCGCTTTTTCCATTCTCATGCTGACCCTTCCACCACCGATTATCAGCAAAGTTCTCATCCTTCGTCTGCTTCTCGGGAGATTGCACAGGCCAGGGGGAGACCAACATCGGTTGTGAAGTTGTCGGTGTTGAAGTTTCCATAAAAGGCATATTGTCAAGTTCTAATGGAGGAAACACAGGATCCATAGAAGTAAACATTGAATCTAGCATCTCGAATTCGTTGGCTGCTGCAGTACCATTGACTAATATCATATAAGCGAAAATTGTCCCTAAAGTAGAATTGAAGAAAGATCTCACAATTGGGCGCTGGGGCAGGTGGGGGTGGAGCAGAAGGCGTTAGATCTGCCCAAAAACGATTCTCCAACGTGTTGTTGTCGATCAAGGACGGATTCAACCATACGTTATGCGGGACTCGAGAAGGTCCTACGGGGGAAGAATCAAGTACTGGTGGTGGGATAGATGAATGAACGGGAGAATGTTTGGTTTGTGCTGCGGCTACTCTATGAGCTCTCACTCTCTCATAAATTTTGACAGTCGTCTCACCTCTTTCTTCACCTTCTAAAAGATATTTGGCCTTTTTGCGTACTCCTTCGACACATTCGTTCCCTATACCTTTCTTCACACATCGGGTACATGGTCTTTCTAAGAAGTCAGCCACGTAATCATCATCATCATAGTACATATACAATCCCAAACGCCACTACATACCATTAGATCAGATCTGGAATACGTAAGATCGAAACAATGAATGATAGGGAGATGACAGATGATAAAACTTACGCTCATCACATGTCAAATGACTTCTTTGACAAGCAAGACAAGCTTTCGCAACTTTCTTTCTTCCTGATCCTTCCCCTCTACTCTTATCTTTCCTTCTCTCAGCTCTTCTTTGTCTGTGTGGAGAATGATGCGAGTCGGCCGGTGATTGTCCGGGCGTATCAGAGTGACTGGATGAGGATGACATGGAGAGCGTTAAGCCACTCCACGATTCTTGACGGTGCATCAATGGTCTGTTCAATCCTCTATCAACTCGAAAAGTCTATTTGATGGATCAGGCATGTATCGATTGAGAATGAATAAGGTGGATGAGAGATTTATAGCAGAGATTCGATTTCACCACATGGTTTAGCGAAGAACGAGTTGAAGATAAGCGAGAATAGACAGGTGTACGAGTTGACAGGCGAGATTTGTGAGGGAAAATGCATCGAGAGAGTAAGAATCCGCATCAGCATCTTCCATAAATGGGTAGATAGCTTCTTCAAAACGCTATCACACTTGAGCTGACAAGAACACGGTAAGGGATGTTGTCCGTAGAAAGTGGTGGAGACGTTGTCGAAGATTCACTCACGTATCACAATTACAAATTTCACCGCCGCTAAAATCGATCTGCTTCACTTGATTTACAGTGAGTGCTCAGCTGAGCAGATAGATCTTATACAAGCAGATGCTCAGGAGCTACAGAGGGCAGAAGAAGAAGGATAGGGGAAAGTGAGTTACAAGCAGTTACGAGTAGGTTACGATTTGGACCATGTGAAGGGAGAGAGCGAGTGTGGCATGTGGCGGTCATCGATTATCGACGAGCACGGGTCTACGGTTGCCTAGTCTGGACATGTATGGTATTCAGCCATGCTATATATACTGTACAGTCTGGCCCCATGGGATTGTTTTGATACATATTGAAGGCTAGTAATAACCATATTTTTCACATATCTACTCTGTGACACTCTCTCACACCCACTACCAAAAGATAGATCCCAACACTTCTCTTTTCCCCCACTCTCAACCTGGCTGTAGGGCTTAAGGTGCTTGGGGTCACTTTGAACCTCCCAGGATACTGTCATTAGCTTCAGAGGTTAACAACGGAAGTAAAACCCACATGTCCGTGAACAGCTTCCACAGGATGGAAAATATCAAGCCTTGTAATCCATTGGTCGCGAGACGTACTGGTAATCCTCGACCGAAGAGGGCTAATAAGCCATCGGAAGCGACGATATCTTTCGCTGCCGTCCCTAACTTTGTCAGTTTTCCCATGTTGCACTCGAATTGAAGTCTTTAGTCTAGACCGTCTGAGCAGCGATGATGATTTGAGGAGGTATAGAAGAGGCAGAAAACTCACAATACCCCACATCCTCCTCATGCACCTGTCTATAGGTCTTTACCACTCGTAAAGAGTTGGAAACCGTGTCTGACACTACCGAAGCGGAGAAACCTATGAATGCTTGACGCTAGACAAGTCAACCTACTATTGACAGCCGAATAATATGCAAATGACTCACCGCCAGTTTCTGCATGATATTATGAGGTTGTGGGAGTACATCAGAGAGGTAATTGTACGTCTTCTTTGTCAGCTCGTTCCTATCGCCGAAGAAGGAGCTCACCCCAAACCACGGATCTATCATGTCAGCATGTCAACTACGGAATTCATTGACCGACTTACAATGTCCAACAAAGGTCGCTGCGGCAGTGGCCAAAGCACCCCACCACAAACACCCTACCCCGTTCTCCTTGATTCTCTGTCTAAGCAATCTCAAACCTTCCTTACCACCTTGTGTTTGCTGAGTCGTTTTGAGCGTATCGATAGGGGTTAATGTCATTCGGAAACAAGCGGACGCAAGACTAGCAGCGACAGTTTTAATCAATACTGGCCATTGGAAAGAGTTGAGTAACGCTAAAATACCCGCATTGGCGGCTGTATCACCAAATCGGGAGAGAGGAGCTTGAAATCTGATCATATCAGCTGAGTATTGCGATCGAAAACATAACTGACAAAGCAGCACCCATCCCAGCGTAAAATCGTCTTATACCACCTTCCGCCCAGAGAGTTTTGATAACATCCTTTAACTTGCCTCCATGACGATATTGATAGTTCATCTGAGTCCGTAGAGGCATGAGCAAAAGAACTTGCAAGACCATTGCTGCCGCTCCGGCTAGACCACCCCCTGCGGCGGACTTGAGAGCGCGAAGGAGGTCAAAGTCGACAGCGTAAGAGACTCCTCGACCGGAGATGGCGAAAAGTACGGCGAGAGGTACAGGAGTGATGAGTGCCACATAAGTGAGATTGTAATGCACCGCAGAACGGAAAGGTGTCATGGGCAGGGCGAAACTCGGTGGAGTAATGGTGGACAAGCCAAGTACAAAAGACTGTCAAGGTCAGACCTCGTGATGTAATAAAACTGTTGGACTCACAAACGCTGGATCTTGGAGGAAAGCATGCGTCGATGGAATCTTGCGGAAACCGTGGATGATTGACAAGCTGATGATGGGCACCAAGATATATCGCCAGAATGTCAGAAGAAGAACCGTTCCCAAAGAGGGAGGAATTCTCTCCTCAGATGATCTGTTTCTCAGTCTCTTGCAGATATCGAACAGGGAGTATGACATACGGCTTGGCTTCAGCGGCCCTGATGCTAGATCCACTAGCCAACATTTCCAAAACGGCATACGTCCCACCAAGACCGGCTAAACCGAATCCTACGCTTTCCCAAACGCCTGTCAGTTGTTTATCTCCAGCCACGGTTCCAACTAAAGCCCGTTGGACAGGTTTGATGAGTCCAATAAGTAAACCCAAAAGAGCTGCGATGGAGGCAGGGGTTACAATCTTTCCTAATCTTGAAGAAAGCTTCACCTCGGATCGAGGTTTGGGATCGGAGGATGCAATGAGAGGAGTGTTTTCGGTGACATCTTCCATTGACTCCGGCTCGGCAGTGACATCTGCACCATTCGATGTTTCCTCTTCTACATTTATGGACTCTTTCCTCTTTGGTATCACGTGCAATAGTCCGACTCTGATAGATGAGCAACTCGCTCTACTAGAAGATGGGAATCACCTACCGAATCACGGCGGTGAAGAGAAGATTGAGAATGATGTAGAGGACTACCCTCTCGTACACTTGGTCGAGATCTTCCATACTTCTCCATTTAAGATGCCACAGCCCCTGAAGGGAGCTAACCCGAGAGATCATGTACATTATTTGGACCAACAGAAGGGGGTACGACGATATGCTAGGCCATGAGGGAAGCTCAACAAACATCGGGTGAAAGACTTACTTGCTATAGGTCGAGCTCCCAATGATCCAATGAGGACTACCGGCATACCTCCACAATACTAAACCATAGACTACCGAGGCCGCATGAACAGTGAGAGACAATACGAGAATAGGCCAAGCAGCTGGCATTCCGTCAGTCATGAGCGCCGTCAAGTATGAATCCCGCTCACCCAACAAAAGAGACCGCCATGTCAAACTGGGTGATGAGGCCAGAACGACAAGTATCTGACATGGAAGGAGTACCCTTCCGGTGACGGTCCGTAATATCTGCAAGATGCTCAGCTTCATTTTTTGAAGGAAATCACTCACCTGTCCGATCTCCGGAGCCTTTGATCCAGCATGAGAATACCCGGCCGTGAAAACGACACAAACGGCAACCACGGCCTGAAAGGAGGTAGTGATAACATCCACTAGGGATTCCATGATGACAGATGTTTGGCGGAGAGGTCAAAGTGTGGAGAGAGGCATACACAGCGACGTAAGGAAAAGGCTTTAGCTTTGTACACGTTTGAGACGGGTTCGATAAGATATTCAGTCAGCGGCCAAGTCCGACAGAAGCGACGCTCCGGTTTTTGACAACCTCCACCTTTTGCCAGGCACGTCGTCAGTCAGCCTCCAAGTCCACCATAGCCATACAAGACACTTCTTTCCCCACCTTCACCCACGATTCCACGAGTTAGTTGTAAGAATCCCCCAGCAAGATGCCGTTCCACACTATAAAACTCAACGATGGTACCGAGATCCCAGAGATCTTTTTCGGCACTTGGAAAGTACCCAAACAGGTAACCTTTCCCAATCATACCCCGTCCGTGAAGTGGCTCACCCCAGGTCTGTACTTCTGAAGTCGACCAAGCCGTCGATATCGGTTTCGATGGTATCGACACGGCTCAAGGTAGGTCACTGGACCCAGAAAGAATCGGATCTGATGATTAGTATATGGAAACGAAGAAGAAGTCGGAAACGCCATAAAACAACTCGGTTTACCTCGAAAGGATCTTTACATCACCACAAAATGGTCCGGCGTCGATGGGAAAGGAGCAAAACAATCCTGTGAGGAAAGTCTGGAAAAGATGGGAATATCTTATATCGACCTATATCTGATCCATCATCCACGACTCAGTGGAAATGATATTCCAGGGAGTTGGAAAGAGATGGAAGCTTTGCAGAAAGAAGGTAAAGTCAAATCGATCGGTGTTTCCAAGTGAGTCCGATTGACCCGTCTCGCTATATCGCTATTCTGTCAAGTATCCGACCGTCCGGATCACTCTTTGCGATACCATGATAGATGATGAGTGGACTGAGCTCACCACATCAGCTTCAACATCGTTCAATTAGGCGAAATACTTGCTACTTGCACTATCAAGCCAGTCGTCAATCAAATCCTCCTTCACCCGTATGTCATCGCTACTACCACCCCTTTGTTGGAATACATGAAGACGCAAAATATCGTACCTGAAGGCTACTCCACACTCATTCCACTCACATCACGTCCTGGGGGTCCAGTGGACGAACCGGTCAATGCAATCGCCAAAAGACTCGGTGCCAAGCCTGAACAAATTCTTCTAGCTTGGTCAAAAGCAAAAGGGTGCGTCTCATCAAGCTCAAGCGGAATAACGCTGATATATAGTGCTATCATCGTCACTACCTCATCAAAGAAACAGCGTTTAGAAGGATACTTGGACGTGGGTGACATCGACCTCACTGACGAAGATGTGGCTGCCATCGACAAAGCTGGCACCGAGGGTCAGTTATTCGCGCAGAGATCAAAATTGGCAGTCAAGATCGGTCGATTCATGCTTGGTGCAGGTCTGACGGGATATATCCTGTATAGATTCTTCTCCTAGGTGAGATCTATAGGACAGGTAGCGTATGTAGACATCCGTGAGAGAAACGATGCAATATGTATGCGACATATCAGCACGGTTAGGACAATTCCCGGTCAGTTACTACTGACGTTCTCTCTTGCCCTTTGGTTTTGCATTTTGACTGTCACCTCTGTGTATTTCACCATTCACTCTACAGTATCGTCATAATCCAACTGATCTTCTTCCACCTAACTCTGTATCACCATGCCTGACATCTTCCTCCCATCGACTCTACCACTTGTCCCTCTTCCCCCACCTCAACTTCTCTATCCTCACCTACAGGCCACTCTCCAGATCCCTTCCTCTCATCTGGCTGTCATCCTCAATGCAATTGCTGAGAATGCCACGAGACACAAGTTAGATAGCAGTAGGATCATAGCTATTGTCCCAGTCGTCGAGATTGAACGACGCGTAGGTCGATGGGCCACCGGTACGTGACTTGATAATGCCCTTCGTCACGAGCTGATTTTTAGCGGCGAGAATCAAGAGCGTAACAAAAGTTGCGAGTCCACCAGATACATTCAATATAATCCTTGAGGGTATCGTCAGTCACATCTTTGCCGCATATCAAGACTTTTTTCCAAGCTGACCTCGTAAGGCTCGGATACGCCTTCCTCGATCTCTTCCCCCGGTTCTCTCTATCCTTCCCCCTCTGCCTTTACCCATCTCCACATACTCTCTGCCTGTCTCCGATCTGCACATCTCAGAGAATGTTGACCTCGTCCCCCTTGCAACTGCTCTTCTCCCGCCACAACTTCACGAAAAGATCAAACCCATCCCTCCGACCCTTTTGGCCGACCTTCTAGTCAGTGTCCTACAGATCGATTGGGATGTCCGTGCAGAACTGCTGGGAGTGCCAGATGTCCAAGAAAGATGCGCAAAGGTGTATACGATACTATCGAAGTTTGCATCCGATCGTGGATCAACACCACCGACTACTACCAAACCCCTTCTGACATCGACTCCCGCCACTATATCCCGCTCTAGAGCTCTGATACGCCGACCACTCGAGCCTTCAACTATGGGCCTTCCAGAAGATTTACAACCTCTTGATTCTCTTTTCCAGCGTCGATTAAGTGAGATTTCTTCCTCGGCTGGTCAAGCTATCACCCGAGAACTGAAGAGACTGTCGAAGATCCCCCCTCAATCCGCCGAATATGGTGTAGGAAAGACTTATATCGAATGGCTGCTTTCCCTTCCTTGGAAGAAAGTGACAGAGACCCCCCACGATCTCGATCTAGCGAAGGCGAGGAGTATACTGGACGACGAGCATGAAGGATTAGAAAAGGTCAAGCGTCGGGTTGTCGAATATCTTGCTGTCTATCAACTGAAACGCAAACTCTTCGAGGAAGAGGCGGCTGCGAAGCTGCAAGAGAAGAAGACTACCAAAACGACTCATCAAGCTGTACAGAATGCTGCGTTCGACGCGTCCACAGCCGGAGACCTACTCGAGCTCATCCCGAAAGACGAACGTAAGGCCCTGGAGGAGACTCAGACGCCCATGGATGATATCCTCACCAAGGACGTGTATAGAGACAAGGGGCCGATTTTGTTGTTGGTGGGTCCGCCAGGTGTGGGGAAAACGTTAGTCAAAATCTTCATTTGTTTTTGCTCGAGCTAACCTGACAGTTCCATCGCTCGCTCGTTGGCAACGTCGCTGGGTAGGAAACTTCACCGCATTTCCTTGGGTGGAGTAAGGGATGAAGCGGAAATCAGAGGTCATAGACGGACGTGAGTTATGACCCAGTTCTCAAATTATTCGGATGTCTGGCTCATATCGTAGATACATCGGTGCTTTACCCGGATTACTCGTACAAGGCTTGCGCAAGGTCGGCGTGGCCAACCCTGTCATCTTGCGTGAGCTCGAGTATGCTGTTTGTGCAAGGGTGCTGACATCATATAGTTGATGAACTTGATAAAGGCAAGTGCGGTCACCAAAACCCCAGTCGACACAGCTGAATCTGCAGTTGGCACATCCAACTTCCATGGTGACCCTTCGGCCGCCCTACTCGAAGCCCTTGACCCTGCTCAAAACTGGTCGTTCCACGATCAGTAAGTCACTCAAAAATCCGTACGACCTTGATTGATGCGTCTAGCTACCTCGGCGATGTCCCTATCGATCTAAGTCAATGCATGTTCATCGCCACTGCCAATACTCTGGACACCATCTCCCCGCCTCTTCTGGACAGATGCGAGACGATCACATGTTCTGGCTATGTGACTTCTGAGAAACTCGCCATAGCCAAAAGATTCTTACTTCCGAAGCAGGTGAAAGAGAACGGATTATTGGCAGTAGGTGTACAAATGGGTGATGGAGTCATTGAAAAAGTCATCACTGAGTTTACCTTCGAGGTGAGTGACGTCTCCTCCAGCTCCATACCAGCGAGTCGTATCAGTACAGAGATAATGACTGACGCTCCAGGCAGGAGTGAGGTCATTGGAGCGTGAGATCAGTAGGATTTGTCGGACCAAAGCGGTGGAATACTCCACAGCTCGACAATCAACCCATAGTCCCTACAATCCCGAAGTAACCTCGAATGACGTCGATACGATTTTGGGCGTTGCACACTTTGACCCGGACGTCCGAGAAGAAACGCATCGACCAGGGGTGGTAACGTGATTACTTCGTCTCCCACACAAACTGCACAGCTGACGGTCAGTGGTTTAGCGTGGCAAGCTTCCGGTACGGGCGGTATCATGTTGATAGAGACTACCTTGGTCCCGGGTGGTAATGGACAACTCGTCTTGACTGGAAGTTTGGGAGGTGTAATATCCGAATCCGCTCAACTGGGTTTGACATGGGTGAAAAGTCATTCCGCCTCTCTTGGTATTTTGTTAGGGGATACGGATCCATACAAATCTCACGATATCCACGTAAGTCATTTATACCGCAAATGACCGATTTCTCGCTGACGGAGTAGCTTCACCTTCCCGCCGGCTCAGTGAAGAAAGACGGACCCAGTGCGGGTATTGGAATGGTTCTGGCTATTGCTAGTCTCCTCACGGGACGTGTTGTCCCTTCCACTACCGCAGTGACTGGCGAGATTACTCTTCGTGGTGCAGTGTAAGTGTCTCGTGCTAGCCTCGATGTGTTGCTGATGGATAGGACACCGGTCGGGGGAATCAAGGAGAAAGTTCTCGGTGCTCATCGAGCGGGCATCAGAAAGTGAGTCGTAATCTTGGTGTCAATGGTGGAGCTGATAAGAAGGATCATCCTCCCGAAAAAGAATCTGAGAGAGGTGATGGCGGATTTACCGGAGAGCGTAAAGGATGAAATGGACTTCGTGTTTGTGGGGACTATCGAAGAGGCTTTAGAGGAAGTGTGGGGGAAAGATATCTGGACCGATACGAGTAGACCGAGGTTGGAGGCAAAGTTGTAATTTCTGTTGTTGTATCGTTTGTAGTAACTGTCACAATTGATGTAACTTCCTGCTGAACCCTTGTCTTCACTGGACAGTGACCAGAAAGTGATACGACTTGTACGATGAGAGATGCTCCTCGCCGAGCCCCCCACCTCCGATCCGCTGCCTGTATCGAGAAATCTTTCCCCCACCAACGTCATGTCCCACTTACAAACAAGCCAACGACGCCTAAACGCGGAAACGAGAAGGATGATATAGTGTCATGATATGACGATGACCTGTCACCTAGAGGGACGTCGAAGATCCAAGATGCCGAAGATCAACTGTCCGCGATACACGATCCGCAACTCGGTGTATCGGTGTATCGGTGTCTAGCTCTCGGTGAACGGTGAAAAGATGACGTGTTTTGCTTATCCCCAATCCCCCACTTACTCATCTCCCCCCCACTCTAACCACATTCTTGGGAGTCATTGTATTGTATTGTATGAGACTTGTACTCGTGTCAATCTCCCCACCTAACTACGCACGCAGCATCAAGATATGCAGACACGCAGTAAAGGTCACTCTTCTCTTCTCTTTGGTGACTGTATCGTGTAGGTACGTAGATCATTTCATCTTCAGGCCCCACAAATCCCCTCGATCGCATGATTTTCTTTCAAAAACTGGGACCTTATTCGATCCTCCCTTTCTTCGTTCCTGACGCTTAGGACCTGACGATTTTGAGGATCCGAACGACGTTTTGACACACAAAAAACGACGATCTTTTCAAAACGTGGTTCTTTCCCTACAGTAACAGGTCAAAACTTGATCCAACCTTCGGGATTCCTTGAAGAACCTTCGGAGTTTCCATTATATCATTCAAAAGTCCGAAAGAGTCCTATCATTCTACACCGAGTCTGGACCTTTTTTTTCTTTCCTTTGTCAAACATTCCGATCAAGAACATTTCCCTCAAAACCTCACCAAATCTCACTTGATCGTTATTATTTTGTCAAGTGTTACAAGTGTGGAACCGGAATAAAGAGTGAGTCTCTAAAGGTACTTTGGTATTGGAATCTATTCACGTGTAATCATTCATCCCTCGGTCGTCGGTCCGCGGTCGAAACGCGTCTTGGGGAAGTAGAAAAAAAAGGGGCATTTTTTCTCAGAGTTTTCCAATACATTCATTTCAAAGCCTTTTTCTTGCCATCTCGGGGCGATCAACTGATCAACCTCTAGGGCGTAAATCAAAACATTTCCCGTTTTTCGCTTCCACCAATTTCCCATACTCCCGACCTGCTGTCTCTGTCTCTGTCATACTTGCAGTCGCCACTGTACGCTGTACGCTGTACGCTGTACTGGTGCTGTGCTTTACTTTGCCTCACTGTGTCAAAAGGTGTGATCCACGTCAACCTTATCAATCTTATTCGACTCACTTCGGTCCGAATTTGGATATATCAACCTTTTTTCTCCCACCAAAACGTAGTTGTTCACTTTATCAATCCCAGTAAATCTAAATACCACATCTTTCTAACGACTTTCGCGAGTATTGTCGAAAAGTATTTGAACGACTTCTTTTACTTCAAGAATACCATTAGTGATATTCGATATTATTGGACATGACGGGAAAAATGCATCCGACAACAATCAAAACATACGCCGAAAGAGCCAAATTACATCCTAATCCCACAGCTAGGAGATTGTTGGAGATTATGGAAAGGAAGAAAAGTAATTTGGCTGTTAGTGTGGATGTTACTACGGTGAAAGAAGTATTGGATATCGTACGTTCCGTAGGTACAAAAGTATGTTGTGTCAAGGTGAGTCATTTCACTTTCTACTCTACTCATCATTCATCATGCTACATTCTTCATTCTTCTCTTGTTGTCAACTTTATCAACATGTGAGCTCGGAATACAATCTATGTGTAGAGAAGAGAAGAGAAAACTGATAGATGAAGACACATTGTGATATCATACAAGATTTTACATTGGATTTCGCCAAAGAATTAGTCAGGTTATCTCAACAAATGGATTTTATAATCTTTGAAGATCGTAAATTTGCCGATATAGGTGAGTTCATCTTTCCCTTCAATCCTATCATCCATCCTTGCATCCTTCCATTTCACTTTCTTTCTCATCCCAGATGATATGACCCCGAAGCTGGGTTCACATCTCTCACTCACTGATGGGGAATCTCCCCGCATACTTTCTTTGCCGCTCAATGTTTCACATATTCCCTTAGAATCCGCACGTCCACCGTCATCGCCCAGGGCGTCTCTTCGGGCGTTCATCTGAGACACGCCCTCGCCCCTGGTCTAGATATCCGCATGGGTCACAAATGTACCGCATTTCGTCATGTCACAAAACATGCTTCACCTTTCTAGTCTACCTACGTAATCATCCATAAGGCTTACCTTATTCTTATGAATAAGTATTTGAACACAATTTGTGGAAAGAAGAAACGGATATGAAAAGAAAGTATGAAGCAGAGAATTACAGATCTGATCAATAGGTAACACAGTCACACTTCAATATTCCGCAGGATTACATCGTATTTCTTCCTGGGCAGATCTCACAAACGCTCATCCACTACCGGGACCGGGTATCATTTCCGGTCTTTCTTCCGTCGGTCAACCTCTAGGTCGAGGTCTTCTTTTGTTAGCCGAAATGAGTAGTAAAGGTAATCTAGCAACTGGACAATATACAACCGAAGCTGTTCAAATGGCACGTCAAGCTGGCAGAGGTTTCGTAGTTGGATTCATCGCTATGAACAGGGTAGATATTCCTTCTCCCGTATCAAAAATACAAAAAGTCAATGGAATGGTCAACGGACATGGACATGGAAATGTGAATGTCAATGGAAATGGGAATGGATATGGAGGAGATAAAGAAATGGAAGATTATTTAATCTTAACTCCAGGTGTACAATTATCAAAAGGTGGTGATACTTTGGGACAACAATACAGAACACCACATCAAGTTATTTTTGATTCTGGTTGCGATGTCATCATTGTCGGAAGAGGGATTTACGCTGTTAAAGGGAAAGAAGCTGAAGTAGCGGAAGAATATAGAAAAGCCGCTTGGGAAGCATATGAAAGACGTTTGAGGTGTTAATAATAATTTCATCTTATCGTAAACTTTCTTCTTCTTCCAATCCATATCTCTATATTTGTCATTTCGTATCGAAAAACTCAAACTACCTACCGTGCACTTTGTGGAATATAAATTGTGTTCTATTTCTGGCAGCTACGATCTCTCAACCGACCGACAATCGAAGATCCAAGCATTGTTCTTGATCCGGGTTACGACGAACTTCGACTTCTCACACGATGACACGATGGTACGATGGTACGATGACGATAAGAAGAAAAGATTGGAAAGACGTAACCGTTGAAAGTAACATGTGAAAATTTAGTCAAAAAAGGAGGACGATCTCTATTAGTGTCATTTATTCTCTCTCTCTCTCTTCAATATAGTTTCTATCACTGTCCTGTCGTGCATGCCAATCCAATGTCAATCTTCCACTTTTGTCTAATCTCATGCATCAATGGTCTAACGCATATGAATCCAGACTTCGTCGATGTCGTGGATACGACGTACACTCTTACAATACATCACCCCCACGACGAGTTGACGATCATACAGTACAACCTCCTCGCGCCACTTACGCCTCAGTCAGAATCCACATCGATCACTTCATGTTCGTCCCAATCTTGTCCATCATACATAAAGTCGTCGTCGTCGTCCACAACGATCGGATCGACTTGAGATCGTGTAGTCTGTGTTTTATTCGGAGTGACAGAAGATGGAACTTGATTGGTCGTCTTTACTGATCGAAGTTGATTTCCCGAACCTAGATTAGCCCAAGGATCAGGTTTTTCATCTTTGGGTGCAGAATTTGATGATTCCCCAACGCTTGGTCCGTCTGATATTGTTTCTTCGGCTTTACGTTTTCCTTTGTTCCGTAGACTTTGACCGGCACCACTGAACGCTTGGGCGGGTTCTGGTTCGGGAACCTTTGGTTTGGGTGCTTTGGAAGCATCGAAAGGTACGTATTTGTAACCAAAAAAGAATTTGCCAGCGGGAAGTAACAATGCAGCGGGGACTTTACGATCGGTATCGTTCAATGAATCGGGGGTTATAATTTTTGCACCACTGTTACATCAGCTCCATCCCAAAAAACAGGCGAGCTTTGATGAAATTAAGAGAAAATGACTAACCCATTCCGACTAAGTTTCGAACTTGATTCAGCTTCTTCAATTTTCTTCGTTAAACCTTTTCCCTTGATTCGTTTCCCACTCAAACTTTGACCCACACCGGTGAAACTTTCCCTTGGTGTAGAGTCCCCACTACCGGCCGTACCCCCTAGAGAACTCGCAGGTCGACTACTACTAGCTGAAGTAGTATGATTCAAGTCTATCTTCAACTTCTCAGCCATGGTAGGTATAGGCACCGGGGCGGCACGTGGAGGTTCGACATATCCGAGGGGAGTGGCGAAATCAACTTCTAAATCGGTATCGATGACGGATATTCCCGAACCTTCGGGTTGAGTTTCGAGTACTGCAAATTCGAAAATGAGAGAGTTGTACGTGATTTCGATGATGTCGCCTTTGGTAAGAGTGGAATAAAAACGTAATGCAGATTCGAGTCTGAGAAGTTAACGCTGCTTCATTTACTAAATTTCGGAATGTGTTTAATGACGCTAGAATCTGTGTGCATCTGTGAGAATGTGAAAGGTCATTTTTGTGGAAGGAAAGATCGACATACACAGCTCGCGGATCTGATACTTGAAGGAAATCCGTAGACTGAGCCTGAAGTTTGACGAGCTTTCCCTTTGGTAGTGAGGCCCCAGTCAAACGAATCGGATCGCCCTCTTCTAGTTGAAGGGTTTTCATCATCTGAAAATCAATATTAAACCTTTATATGACACAACTCGAAACTTACCCATGCTGGCAGATGTACATTCCCCTCGTCGGCAATGAATTCGAGTACACCGGGCATGTGTCCTCAATTCATTAGGATTACGAGGATTACGAAGTTGAAAAGTCCATGGTCCTGGTATATCCAAAGAAGCTTCCGAAATCAGTGTCATCCTTCTGAACAAACGTAGAAGAGGATCTCACAAAGCTTAGCAAGCGCAGAAGCTGGCATGATAACTATTCCACGTCAGCCTCAGCCTCAAGACACGAAGTATCAGTACTGTATACGTACTTTTGCCACCGTATAACAGCTCTATTCTGTCTCTTTGAGACATGACAGCTACCGAGTACGCCCGATAATATTCGTCGAAAGCACTATGTATCAACGAACGATCTGTTTACTTTTGAATAAATTTGTAACTCACTCTGGTGGAGGCGCCATATATCTACCCCAATTCATACCTTGTCCCCCCAACAACTGATTGAAAATACTCCCTGCACCTCTCCCACGCATAGTCGGCATTGGGGGAAAGTTATAATCTTCTGCCAGTGTGAGATTCGACCACCAGAATAGAAGAGAAGTTTGACTCACCCTCATCATCATCGTATCCGTGGTTCATGGTGACGATTGAAATCGATCAAAGCTCAGTTGCGCGTTGCTATATTATTTGCCACTGGATCCGACCCACAGGGCTTTTCTGTTCTTATACTTGGATGTAGAGTATTATCTTAGAGTGTGACAGGAGCCAACGTGTTGTTGCACGATGAGACAGAGCCCAGAGGGGGATATATAAAGTAGATTACGTTGGACTAGACAGCTTGAAAGCGTCCAACCAAAGTAGCAAGCATCACTTCGTCATCTCTCATCTTCGCCACGTGGGTTTGGTTCCGCTCCTTCACCACACTCCCCCTCTCATACAAAACCCCTCTTCTACTCAAGAATAAACAGCAACGACGATGAAATGTCCTTTCCATATCCTTCATCACCAGGTTCCTCTTCATCGGCATTCATCCCCTTCAACTCTCCTTCCTCTACTCCCGTGGTCCAGCCGGTGACACGATCTCGGACACTTTTCTACTTGTCCATCAGAGATAGTTCAATACCTTATTCCAGTCGACGTAAGGGCAAAGGTCGGCAATATGGCGAGACTCTGGATGTTGCCGATGAAGAGCAGGGTTTGATGGATGGACAAGATGGTCGTTCGGGTTTACCTCCAAGATGGTGATTCTTTACATCTTCTTCTACTATGCTCATTGACTGACTCGACAGGGTTTGACATATCAGAAGAAGTAGAGGAAATCTTGTCAAGATTGAAACCTAAGAGTATGTAGTTTTTCATTTAGTGTATACTCCAGCAAGGAGAAAGATGACTGATGATTGAGTCGCCCAGTTGGACAAGCTGCATGCAAAACACGTTTTACCTGGCTTCACTGATCGGACGGCGGAAGAAAGAGAAATCGAACGTCAAACGAGTGAAATCACCAGAGTGAGTCCTTGTGTGCGTTTCAGTAAGGAAGGCTGATGAGAAGGACTTTAGAAAGTGTTCTTCTCTGATAGGGACGATTGTACCATCCAGGAAGAAAAGTAGGGTGGAAACTCTCACTGCTAAGAATGTACAAAGAGGATTAGCACAAAAGGTACAGGATGCCAGTGGACAGTTCAGGAAGAAACAGAGGGTGTATATGCAGAGTAAGCCTAAAGCTGTCGTACTTGCTTCAGGAAGATGAGCTAATGGGTAGAACTACAAGGTCATGCTATCAAAAATAAGGATATCTTAGCTGCGAGCGGAGCGATAAAGCTACATGGATCGGAAGGGATAGATGAGTTAAAGGAAGACGAAGAAGCCGTGAGTGAAGTGGTCTACGTGAACCCCGACATTCACCTTACCTTGTGGCATCCATGCCTGCGCCACAGTTTGGTGGGTGGAAGTCATGCTAAATATCAGTCTCAAATGCAATCACAATCCCAAGTAGCAGTCGATATCGACATTGATAAACGTACCAAAGAAATCACCCAAATAGCATCGAGCATCTCTGAACTGGCCGATTTATTCCGCGATCTCGGAAATCTCGTTGTGGCTCAAGGAACTGTGTTAGACAGTGTGGAATACAACGTGCAGACCACAGCTCGAGAGCTGACGGGCGCGGTTGAGGAGCTGAAGACTGCTCAAAGGTGAGTGCAGAGTCGCCCCCTTTGCCCTGATCTATACACAGCCTCGTCTCTCAAGCAATTTTCTAAATCTCGTGTTGATATCGCTTCTGAAATGAGAATTTGTGTGTGAAGTGATACAAGGTGTGTAACTGACGATCAGATACCAAGCCAACACCGGTCGAAGAAAATGCATCTTATTCCTCATCCTGTGCATTGTCGGTGTCATTATTGTTCTCATCTACAAACCTCGCTCTCACGACGCGATCCCTGTTGTCCCATCCGACTCAACAGATTATCCCGTGAACACCATCCATTCCGAATACTATTTCATACCGAGTCATTCTCGATCTCACATCAAATCTCGACCTACCAAAACACGACGACCCGTGGTCAAACCGAGTCCTTTGCCCGATTATATAGGAGATGACGAAGAATGAGCTTTCCAAACAATATTCATTGTAGAGTAGAGATACATCTGGGAATGCATCGTATCATTATACATACCGATCAGATGAATCCCCATAGTAATCGAGCAAATTGGTTCCATCCTCCATCCCATTGTGTCCCATCTGGCTCTTCTGTTTTCTTCGACTGACCACTCCAACGTTTCAACATGGTTTCGAACCATTCGAGCTTGGCAAAATAACGAGGATCGTCATCGACTTCTATCTCAATTGGACTTCCCATGACATGTCTAGCATACTCCACCAGATCTCTCAAGTATCCGTATACATTATCCGGAGGGATTTTACCAGTTTGTGACGAAAGTAAAAATACAGGTTCTAAAGTGAATAAAGTGTAATGCCTCGGTCGTGTTCTACTCACTTCACGAGAAAAGAAACTTTCAGGTGTAGTATGACGAGCATGTATCTCTTGTAGAGCAGTGAGAGAGTACACCGCTGCTTCTGGGGGATTGACCAATGATAAATGTGTAGCGACTAAAGCGTGATACCAGATAGTGATATTATTGCCATAAGCACGTGCCATAGCTCCTTGTTCCGACGTGGCCATCCAGTCTAGATGATTTCGAAACCAGGTTTTGAGGTCGTCCAATAATTCTTGTGGTATAGTGAGGAAAGTCAAGGTGGAGGAAACAAGTAGGAGATAGCGAATCTATCATCAATTATCAATCAACGACATTGATATCTGTCAAGGAGGACTTACGGCAATGACGAAAGCTTGATCTCCTCTAAGTGGTGAAGAGGATGGATTACATTGAGCATATAGAATCTCAGGTAACATACTATTAATCAATGATCGATTGCAAGGAGTATGAAAAACTTTGACTCACCGAGTATCGTGATTGATGAAGAAGTATCGGAGTAGATTTTCAGCTTGTTTTGAACATTGATCCGCCAGATAAGGAAGATACTTTGAACCTAGAGCAAGAGTGTGAATGGCCATACTGGCTTTTTGTAGTTGATTCTGACCCTGAGGAAGCTCGCAATCTTCCATGTCAACCAATGTCCTAATTTGTTACTTATTCGAGATGAAAGCTCACATGGGTTTCGTCTTCCATCCCGATGTTCTATAAGTCAGCCTGATCCGACATAGCTACTAGCTACGACCCATATCGTAGTAAGACATGTTTAGGAGAGAATTGTGGGAAGAAGTTGAGGGGAGAAGTATAGGAGTCCGTGCATGCCTTGCAGACTCACTCACCCCAATGACCTGGTTCAACTTCCCACCAATAGGGCTTCAACGTATAAAGGTAATTCTTCCCTTCTGGACAGAGGAGGGGAGAGTAGGTGACGGAGAAAACTTCGTCAGAGCCGATATAATTTTTACATAACTTCTCCAAGAGTTTGAGGGTATGCGGAGCAGGGTTATCTTCCAGACATGAAGTCAAGATCAGTCCCGGATATCTTGGTGGAGGGATAGGTTTTGGCTCTGACATGACGGAATGTCAGACGAAGAAGAGTCACCGTTACAGCATGCCTGTTGGGGAGAAGAATGATCAACCTCTTGATGGTGAGCTCGTGGCTAGTGAGTCATGGATCATGGTTTTGATGGGGACAACAAAGGAGTTTCGTCATCCTCTGGCCTCTGGACAGCTGGGGAACGATTTCGATCACACGGCCTCCACTTTGGCGACTGATTTTACAAACTACTACTTTAGTGTCAGCCGACATTCCTTCTTCTCTCTTCCACCTTTCTTCTTTCTCTCAAATCTCCTATCCTCCCTTCCATCCCCTCATCTGTCCTTACTCTCCATAGATCCTCCTCCTTGTAAGTACAGTTGTATAAAACCTCTCCAAGATGGAGCAGCCTCAGCAGAGGAGAAGTGTACATGAGATCCGCTTGTACGGTTTGCACAGTAGTAGTAAGTCCTTCTCCACCACATCACATTCAAGGTGGACCGGCGAATTTACCACACCTCTTTTCCCAATCATGATATTTCTCATCGTAATGAACAAGTCCGCTCATGCATCTCATCCTCTCCCACACCACTTCCATCCACTGGTGCCTGAACGACATCCCCCAGGAAGTCCGGTGCCAAAATGTCCCCCTCCTTCGCCAACTTTCAACGCACACACATGATCTCCCCATGAGTGCTGACACGCAGTCACACCTGATAGCTTGAGCACTTTCTTCTCCAATGGAGGTAAATTTCTCCCCTCCCTTTCAATTCTTCTCGCACTTACACCAGTCCGCGTTCTTGGCGTCAAATGCCATCCTAATCCTCCACCTCAAGAACTCCAGTGGGCACAAATCTGGGTGGGGACCGAAGAAGACCTTGAGCTTTGTCTCAGGCTCCAAAGCACCTTGGCCGACAGCGGAATGTAAGGCTCTTCTTTCATACACTGACATTGTCTCACTGGCAGCATCCTTACGAAAGCTCCCGCAGAGCCAATGCTTAACACCCCCAATCCTGTCCTATCTGGCTCTCTACCCCCGGCATTCCCCTTGACTCCTCCATCTTTATCTCACTTTTCTTCCGCTTCCGCCGATGCTCTCGATCGCCAGATGCTGCAGCATGGCCCGTTACCTCGTAACCTATATGTTATGGGTCTTCCACTCGACCTCACTCAGTAAGTCTAACACCTCGTGACGGTCCTGACGACAGATTACAGTTCAGGAACCTCTTCAGCTCCAATGGCATGGTAGAGCACTCGGCGCTCCTTTCTCAACTCGATGGTCTGGGACGTAGGAGGTAAGTTTCTCGAGTCGACCACGCGAGCTGACTGGCAGGGGCTTTGTGCTCATGTCCACGCACGCCGAGGCTAATGCAGCCATGAATGCGATGCATGGCAGAATGATAGAGTGAGTGGTTGTTGGAGCCGAAGAATCAATGTTGAGAACAGTGGATTCAAGATTGACGTTTCGTGGGCATTGGTTCAGAGGGAAGCTAAGCATTTCACTTCCAGTAAGTCATACTTGTTTTCGAACACAGCTCTCACACTCATCAAATAGGCCCGTACGGTTCGATGTCAAATCGCGTTGTGCATCCGCCAAGCACGCCCATCCGCCGAGAACCGGCCGTAGACTGCTCTGTGGTAGTGGAAAATCTGGTGAGGTATTGTAAACAATTCAACACTTTACTGACCGTTCAGGATCGCACATACTTCCCCTCCGCCAATTGCATCCGTGAAATCTTCGCCAATTTCGGACCCATAGCTCGTGTCACTATCCTTCCCACCGACAATCTCGAAGTCATCATCCAGTTTGAACATCCCGTATCGGCCGCTGCTCTTCTCAACGCCAATGGTCTATCCCTCGGTGGACGCTCACTCGTGACCCGTCGCTTCATTCCAACTCCTCACTCCATGAGTCAACTCCAGCCTCAAATCCCAACACCCCCTCAGACAGCCCCTCGAGCTCATTTCGACCCCTTTGCACACGAAAGTGATTCAAACATTTTTCAGCGAGAGCGTGGAATTCTCAGCTTGCTCAACGCCAACTCGGAACCTTTTGTACCTCCTTCCAGGATGGGAACTCGAGCACCTACGCAGGAGAGTGATAGTCCTAGCATGGACGATTTAGGTTCGAGTCAAAGTGGACAGGCGAGTAGTAGTTCAAAGAGCAAAAAATCACACGAGATGAGAAGTGCACCCACTGGGCTAGAGAACAGCAGGGGGCGTGACTTCTGGCACAAGTCTACACCATGGTGTGAGTGTGCTCAACTGAGCGAGCTGACTGAAGCTAGAATGCACTAACTTTTGACCCATCAACTATTTACGTATACATTCAAGTCTTCCAAGTTTTCCAAGTCTTCAACATGCGCAATCAAACAAAAGCCTCAAATCATGGCATCATTCACTCTTTCTTATCATGTCTTTCGTTCTCATCACCTCACTACTGATCTTGGCGACCCCTGCGTCCATCTTCTCACTCACTTCGACAGTTATCCGTCGATCATGCATGAAAACCGCTTCGCCGTACATGCACGTACAGTACCCGTACATAGCATGCGTACTAGAGACACGATGCATGGATATTTGGTGATTGATTTTGGTACAATATGGCCATCTTCATCTTCCCTACACATTCTACATCAAGTACGATGTACTGATCTCATCGACCAAACTGATTGTCAGCTATTCATCGCCTATCATAACTGACACCAACTCACGAGCCATTCCGCCATTTTACCCATGACACTCCCTTGTCCTTGATCCACTTCATCCCAAGCGTAATCCTCTCTCTTCGTTTGAACGGGTGTTTTGGCCCTCAAGATGTTCCCTTCTTTCGGTCTCAGAGGTGTTCCTATTCCTCCGCTCAACTCGCGCTGCATCTCTCCTGGGTGTCCTTCAGACCAGGGTACCATACCACTTGAAGTGAAGCCAGAGGATGAAGATGACGAAACGACTTTGACGCCTAGCATCCATCGTCCACCGATAATTTCGCCATGTCGTCGAAGACAGTAGGCAGCGGAAGTTGGAGAGGCATAAGTGACTGTGAACCAATTGCTCCCCTGGGGTCCGGGGACGTAGGAGATGATCTCGCCTATGGCTGACAGGTACGGTTGGAGTTCTGGAAGAGCTGAAGGAGGGGGACCGAAGATATGGAGAGAGGTGGTAGTCGGCGTGGCGGTGAGGGAAGGGGGTGGGGGAAGACTGGAGGTTAGGGCGTGCCATGTTCCGCTGTCAAACCCGTGACATTTGTAGAGATATGGGATGATAATCACTCCTCTTTCTTTGGCTGAGACGTCCTTCCATTCTCCTGGAGCGTGAAATTTGCCAAAAAGGGCAGCTGATACAGGGAAGGCAATAGGAACACGACTGAAAGAAGAATTATAACAATCTACATGGAGGTATCAATGCTCAGTTCGAGATGAGGGAAAGGTTTGAGATCTGCGAGTGCCGGCAATCATAGTGGATATCATCAGGTTTCAGGTGCATGACAACGAAAGTACAGAGACTGAGAAACTCACACTTGCGTAATGGGTACCACGGCTTTTGTAGGTGATTCTGCCACGTCTCGAAGGCTGGTGGTGGGTGGAAGATCCTCGTCCATCGGGGCTGGAAGTGACCTCCTAGCACCTGGTGTAGGTGCATTTCTAGGTGAACTGTTTTGTTAGATTTTCCCACGTTTTCAAAATACTTGCAAGACCGCTTCTCATCTGAAACTCTAAAGATGACGGCAGCAAGATACATCCATCCATATCGTTGAGGAGAGTGTGGATACATTAAGTATGGGTATAAAGCCAGAGATATGAGAACATACGTCTCAAGTGAATGATAAGGTGTGTGAAGGATGTACACTGAGAAAAAGCACACAAAACTCACCTATCTGAAAACCGAGCAGTAGGACTAGGTCTACCTCCTCCCATCCCAGGTGGACTTGTAGGTGTTTGACCCATCACTAACTTGCCAGCTGGAGAACTAGCAAAAGTAGGTAAGAACTTTATCCCATCGGCAGCTTTAGCATCGTCCGGATCGAGATCATCACCAGCGAACCTCGCCCTCGTCTGTGGGGAAAAAGCCGAGTTTGTGTTTGAGTTTGAAGAGGGAAGATGATGTCGTGCAGGTGTATGAAAAGCGTGAGAAGAAGATTGTGTCCACCAATCTGAAGAAGACATTGTTTCTTCTTTTCTTCTTTTCTTCTTGTATTCTATTATTCTGTGTATTCTAGATCGTATTTGTTATTCCTTTTGAAAGATGGTTTTGTTGTTATTGCGAAAGTGGGAATACACTCCAGTGCAGGTACAGGTGATAACGGATTCTCACAGTAAGGCCACGTCATATAACTTGGACAATCCCCATGGGACGAGAGTTGAACCCTTAGTTTAAGATGGGTCCATGTACTTTAACTCACTCACTCTACCATCATACTACTATCTCACTTCGTCAATTCCGTTTCAAGTGAAATTCCAGAGATCAAGGAATAATGGTGGTAACTCGTTCTTCCGCTGCGGCAGAAGACACAAAAGCGAAGGGAGAATCTTATTTAGTTATTGGTGGTTGTGGGTTTTTGGGAAGATACATTGTGGAACAATTATTGGAACGTGGGGAAACTCAAGTGGCTGTGTTTGATTTGGTTCAAAGACATTTTGATACGTGAGTGATCTTTAGGTCATAAGAGTGGGTTTGCTGATAGGTAGGAACGTGACATTTTACATTGGTGATATTTCCAAAGAAGAGGATGTTGTGAATGCCATTACAAAAGTGGGTGTTCCTCTTCCTCCCCCCCCCCTCCTCTCCCCCCTTTCTCTCCCATTCTCTTCGCCTGTACTTTTTTCCAATCAATATGAAACCGAATGGTCGTACCCAGAAGTCCCTCGCACCGATTTTCTCCCCGTGTTTCTTTGATGATTGAGACCAGATGAAGATCCCGTCGTGCACGATTTGGCTCATCACTAACCCAAGTCCAACGCAACGGCAATCATTCATACCGCTTCACCGGCCCATGGACTAGGTGCTCAAGTATACGAACTAGTCAACGTTATCGGTACTCGTAATGTCATCGACGCAAGTATCGAACATGGTGTTAAAAAACTCGTTTACACATCTTCAGCAGGTGTCATTTATAACGGTATTCACGATATAACTTCAGCAGATGAACGTTTAGATTTCCCTATCAAACCTCTTGACGCATATAATCATACCAAAGTTCAAGCTGAAAAAATGGTACTCTCAGCCAATTCTAAAGAATTCAAAACATGTGCTATTCGACCCGCAGGTTTATTCGGACCTGGTGATAGACAAGTCATTCAAGGTTTTTACAACGTGATAAAAAACGGTCAAACGAGATTTCAAATTGGTGATAATAATAATTTAAACGAATTCACTTATGTCGCCAATGCTGCTCATGCACATTTATTAGCTATCGATAAACTCGATACCACATATCCTTATTCTTCTTTCCGTGATCCTATCCCTTCTATCGATTTATCCTTAGGAGGTTATCGTATACCCACTTCGGAAGCTAGACCATTAGGACCAAACACAGAACCTACCGAAAGAGATTTAATGGCAGCAAGGAAATTTGAAAGTGGTCAAGATGAAGAAAGTGATTTACGTCCAGTTTTGCGTAATAGGATGGATCAATTCGCTTCCGAAGCTAATGAATTGGATCAAGGTGGTTGTCCTATCGCAGGTCAAGCTTTCTTCGTCACGAATGGAGAACCGACTTACTTTTGGGATTTCGCGAGAACAGTTTGGAGGGAATTAGGTGCGGATTTATCAAAACCACCATTCGTCATTCCTACCATGATCGGAATGCTCATCGCTGCTTTGGCGGAGATATACAGTAAACTCATGGAACGTGAAGCGGGGTTTACAAAGTTCAGAGTGGCTATCGCTAGTCAGAATCGGTACTACGACATCGAGCGTGCTAGGAGGTTGCTGGGATACGAACCTGTCATAGGGTTGGAAGAAGGGATGCGTAGATGGACGGAATGGTATAAGACTGAGATGAGCAAGATGGGACAGGCGGGGGAGACTGCAAAGACAAAGTAAAAGCACAGAGACATAGTGTGCATGGTTTGGTGATATTGTTTGTGAATCATGATGATGTATACTACAGTATGTGACAAAGTCCATTGAACATCAACATCACTCCCCCTCATACACTTGCGTTCCCTCGATACTATTCACACTGATCAGATGATTGTCATTTTTTTCATAGCCGCGGCCGCGTGAGCTTCTCCCCTCGCGTTCCGGTATGCCTCTGCGACCATTTGCTTGAGGCCTTCTCTGGAGCGCAAGGATCCCTTCCACATTGAACAGCCCTCGTTTTGAGCTATCTCATCGTATAAAGCTCCCAGATCCACAATCATCTCGATATCCCGGGGCCACGCCGTTCTGAGCTCCTGTAGGGTGCGACAGAGTATCACTTCACTACCGATCCACAACGTAGCCGGGCCACTAATCATGGTCACCAGCCTCGATTTGTTTTTCACCCTTCTCATATCAAACTTGAATGACCAGCACAACTTTGAGATTTCGTGTTCAGCGCTGGACCCGTCATTGATGGTCATCATCCAGACTATTTCCTCTATATCTTTGCCGATCTGTACCCTCGGGTGGTCGTATTCGATCAGTCCCGCCATTGTGAGAGGTATTATGTAGGAATGACCATGAAACCAGGGATACTTTTCACTGGGTGAAGATTGACAGGGTGACAAAATGAAATCCAGGCGCTTTGTTCTGACAAAATCCAAGAGGGACGCCACTACACCGGGCAGAGAAAGACACATCATAGGTGAGTCGCAGTGGAAGGACAGATTGTCGAGAGGAAAACAGGCCAGTCGCTTGGAGCGATTGTTGTCGGGGTGACTAGGATGATTTTTTCGGGCTCGAGGTAAGTGAATGGACAGTTCTTTGACAGAAGAAGTTACGTGGTGACGATGAAATAGCTCGTTGGATAGGAGATGATTATTCAGACCGATACGACCCAATTGTAAGAACCACAGAGGTCCATGCGGGTTAGTCAGACAGTCAAGCTCCCCATGACATTCTTGTCCCCTGCATGTGTCGTAGCTGATGTTTAGCTTCTGGTAAAGAAGTCGGGTCGCGGTAATGAATGTCTGCTTTGATAGTCGAGCGCACCTGGCTAGAGTGGAGTCGTCGCAGTATGAAAGAATATGAGAGATGATATGTTCATGGAAGATGGGTGCGAGAAAAGGATTAGGCTGAGAGTCAGTCACATTCCGGCAAACATATCAAGGCTCATATCGACAGAACTCACAGCCTCTTTCTTCATGTTCCTCGACCCTCGCTTCTTCTCATGATTCTCCTTATTTCCCGGTACTTTCGCTTTGCCCTTCTTTGGCACGGCGGCTCGACGTTTTCTCGCCATAATGTGGGATCTTGATTGACTTTGTAGTCGAAGAGGGGTGGTGAGTCAATGCAGTTGAATCAGAGAGACTCTGCTATGTATTATGATGGGTGAAGACAGAATGACAAGGCGGGGAGAGGAAGATGAGAATGAGAGAGAGAGTGGCTGACTTGAGAACGATGGTGAGAAGGTGTCGGATGATAGTGGCGAGAGTGAGAGGAAGACTGGAAGCGGTATTGTTGCACAGGGAGAGGAGTACAGGTGTGTAAGGATGGACGATGGCTGTCGTGATTTGTATGGGTGAGAACAGGGGAGGAGTGAACGATAAGTAGGATGAGGAAAGACAAGACAAGACAAGTGAAGTGACAAGTGACAATGTGTGACGTGTTGGAGAAAAGTCTCGTCAGCCATGTCGGTACGCAAGGGCCACATGTCCGCTCATCCGCTCCACCCGTTCCAGTTCACTTTTGCACTGTCTTCAACAGTCGAGTGTTACCTCGGCTAGAATCGACGACATGAGTGATCATGATGAGGGGGTTCGGCATGACTTGATGATAGCGCTTGACGTGACCGGTCATACGTGACCAGTGGTCGAGAAGAGGATGTTCATCACAATGGTGAGAGAGATTGTAAAAGTAAGAGAGATCTGAGGTTCAAGTTCAGGTCGATTCGAACATGCAGGGCGAAGTACACCTCTACACTTACGCATGATGCTGGGCGATGCCGTTTTTCTGCCGTCTTGCTTGTCTGTCCATCCATCGTTGGGTTTTTCCTTTTCATGGCTTACTCTACACAACTCCGTCTGCCCACTCCGTATGAACCACCCTTACACCACTCTGACCTCACCATTTGCTTCGCGGTGCCGTTAGAGTAGAGTGAGCCTTGCCATCCTCTCCGGCACGCCCACCCCTAACATGTCGAGTGATACACGTCCAAATAAAAACCTCTCTGCCCCTGCTCTTGTCCATAGCCGTCCAGAAAGATCAACTGGGCAGTCGACCATCTCGACTTCTACTTCGTTGTCATCTGAGGGATCGTATAACACTGATGGCATGTCGACAGTTACCTGAACTTTAGGATCCAGCGTGACGAGAAGTTGAACAAGACTATCGTAGATCCTCCTAAGCTTATATGAACCTAAGCCGGGGTAGGCCAGTGAGTGAGCTTCATCCTCCAACTGGTCTTTTGGGGGGGTGTAGATTGATTTCTTGGCGATGACAGTGATCTTTGTCAAGTTCGATAATTCATCAAAACCCCAATCTTCCATCATCGTTGCATCGTAAAAATCATAATCGTAGGCTTCATGCCCATCCAGTCGAAGCTCGATCTCCTCGATCCTGTCTTGAGCTTCTGGGTCGCACGGTGGTAACCAACACATATAATGCCTAGGCCTGTGTATGACCAGCTTCTTGCATGCGATAGCGTCAAGCCAGCAGAGATCGATACCGTACATGTCTTGCAAACCCAAGGAATCGAAGTCCAGGGACAAGGTCTCCGGTTGAAGGTATCCGACAGAGGGCATATAGCAGTCGACGAACCTAGGTATATCACCGGTTATAGTGATGTGTCGTAAAAATGGGGAGAACAGGTGTTTACGACGTAGTCGGTTGGATCTGGTGGGTGCGGGTGTCAAAAGTCGAGCCAGAGCTCCAGAAAGGACGTTCTCGTGGAAGGTGGTGTGGACATGATGATAAAGGATTCTCCCAGCGGGGAGGAAGACGGATTGTGATAGTCGAATGCATCGAGCGACTGTAGGGTCGTCGCAGAAGAGGAGGATGCGAGAGATAATTTCGATCGGAAGAGGATCTTTGTTAATGCGTGAGGGGAACTTGATGGACTGAGAGTCAGTAATATGAAGGCTGACACGTCGACATCAGTTGACAATTTATCTCACGTCGGGATTTAACACGCTGGCATACTGACAAGTTTGTCCAACATAGACGGGAGGGATTACTGTCGATGACGGACTGCTCAATGGTCGTCGAGTCGGACAAGGAACAAGAGAGTTTGATACTCACTGACTGTCGTCCACCTTTCTTATCATCTGCTTTCCTTTCCTTCTGTCCAGTCAACTAACAGGCCAGTAAATCACCAATAGGAATCCCGGCACTCACTTTCGTTGCTACAGGAGTCTTCTTCTTCCTCTTCGGAGCTGTCTTCTTGACCCCTGCGTCACTGGGCCTCCACATATCTGCCAGAAGTCGATATCTAACGCGAAAGAATGAAGAAGAAAAGACGAAGAAAATTTTGATGGGATGAAAGATTCAAATCTTGATGCGATTGGAAACGCCCGCACAGACCACTTGTTGCCTCTCACTCGCTAAGTACTTGAGTAGAGAGCCACTTCGGGCACACCCCTTTTCTAATCGGGGCACACCCCGCCACATCACGTGGCCAGGAACACATAGGCCTCGGGGTTTTGGAAACCCCGCGAGCTGTGGTTCACTCTTCTCTTTCATCACCAATGTCAGTGTTACATAGCTATACCATGTGATGATGATGACAAGGGACCTATCGAAGTCAGAATTCCACTTCTGATGATAAAACAAGTACTAAAAGACTCGCAGAGGCCAGTAGAACAGCATCGAGAGACTTAGAAGATACCACGATTAATATCAAGAAAGTTATAGCGAGTTGATGGAGGGCACAGGTTGAGAAGGCAAAGGATGAAAAGTCAATGAAATTTGATCGTAAAAGAGTGGAACTAGTATCAAAATGATCCTTGAGGCAAGTAGGGACCGTGCGTGTGAAAAAGAGCGTGAGTTTACTAATACAACGATGATAAAAAGGTTAGCGGTGGTGAGGACAGGCTGGTTGGTAGTGAGCAGACACGTCGAGTTCATGTCCGTCACGTGGTCGGAGTCTCTGAAACCCCGAGGCCTATGTGTTCCTGGCCACGCAATGTGGCGGGGTGTGCCCCGATTAGAAAAGGGGTGTGCCCGAAGTGGCTCTCACTTGAGTATATGACAAAAATCTCGGAGCTCGGCACTTGCTTGTTTTATCCTATCTTGCTTGATGGATGTTGATATGACTTCGAATTCAGGACGGATGGGGAGGTAACGATGAAAGTCAGAAGATAAGTACCAGAAGGGTTTTACCACACTCTTCTCATCCAAAAGTGGCTACTCTAATCATGTGTACAGTGTACGGGAAGTCCCAGGTCGGATTTTCCCCTCCGGCAACTCCCTTTCCCAACCTCCATTTCTCAAAAGTCACTGATCTTGCACCCCATAGGTCACTGAGAGCTCTGGAAACACCTGGATCCAGTAGAGAAAGTCCCTTGGACCCATTTAGGCCATTTTTATGCATGTAGCGATCATAGCTGGTTCAAAAACCGACATCAAGTGGCATTCTCACTTGAATCAGAGATAAATTCAAAGCTTGCAGCTCAGGGCCACTTCAATCTATGAATTGGAAACTTGCATGAGGTAGAGGGGTATCTCCTGCCTTATCTGCAGAAGATATCTCCTGCATAGGTGAAGAAAAGATGGAGATAACAGGGGAAAAGAAAGGGGTGATGCCATGGGGGGTTGGCTGTAAGACGCGATCGATCAGTACCGAAAACGTCTGCAATGTAGAGAGTCAATTGAAGAGAAAGAGTATGCATTCTATCATTCTATCTACCTCTTTATCTATCTAATAACCTATCCTGCTGAAATATCTGCTTAGCAATGAATGAATAAGCAGATGAGTCATCTATCTAAGAAGCTTACAAGTCGTCTCTCACATTGGCGATTGTCACAATCGTCGTTTCTTCTCCTCTTCTGACCGACGGTCGACAAACCTCGGCTAACTACGTCGTAGTGGGGCGTCGATGTCTCACTAGGACAGGGTACTCGTAGGGGAACTACGGCTAACTATGCCGTAGTAATAGGTCGAGCGGTAAGTGATAAGGTGATCGTCGAATAACTGCGGCTAACCTCGCCGTAGTACGTCGAACTGCTCGGTGGTAGCTCTCCTTAACTCGGTGGTTGTAGCTACTGAATATATCGCTCGCTACTGACAACAATCAAGGATCGCTGAAGAAGTTCAGCGATCTCTAAACTATCTATACTACTCCTCTCTTCTCATAGAACGTCCCTCAACTCCTGCACTGCCTCACGCTCAGTCCTCTTCGTTCAACCTTTTCGTTCAACCTTGCCGTACCTCGCCCTATCCCCGATATCCTACTCCGCTCACTTCGACTAACTTCGCCTAACTTCCCCTGTTCTGCTCTCCCTCGGTTCCCTTCCCCTAACTTCGCCGTAGTTCTCCGCTAGGCGGGGTTATCGTGACAAATACCCTCTTGGTTCTCGTAACTTCGCCGTAGTTGGTCTCAGTGGTTCGAGTGGAGGTTGGTGGTGGTGAAAGGAAGGACGGTGATGGTGAAAGGAGGGTCGGTGATGGTGGTTGTCAGGGATGTTACGACATAGTTCGTGACAGTCGCCCCCTCCTTAGGCGCGAACGTCCTCGTGAGCTTTGTATGCATGTAATGAAGAAAAAGACACTCAGCAGGTTACAGGAAACACAATTGGTCATATAACAGTTGTTGGTAGATGATACCATGGTTCGTTGTTAAACGGACAGTAAACTTCGTCGAAGTTCATCGTGGTTGCTTGTTGTTACCCTGTGGTAGTTACCTTATAGGTGAGACAGAGGATTTGGGGTACAACAAACCTCGTCGACGTTCGTCAGCGTATCCCTAACTTATATGAATGTGAGACACGTAGCGTGGGAATTTTGATCGTCGTCATGGTGTTTGTTGTTGCTGAGACACCTTGTTATGCGAAGTTACCAGCGCCCTGACGACGAGTAGCCATGTCAGTTATACTAAATACTCAGTACTTCGGCCCACTTCTTCTTCTTTCCCAGGACTAATCCTAAATCGTACTATCATCGTCTATCGATTTCCAGTCTTTACCTTACCAAACGTATCAATTTGATATATTTCAACAAAATGTCTTCTCGTCCGGAGCTCAACGCCCATAAATTTTTTGCAGATCGCTTCGCCGCTGTCCGTAAGTCTACTTGTACTCTCTATAAGCTACTCTGTCGCTGATTGTCCTAGTCGCTCAGCAGGGGAACTCTCCCCGCCAAGTGTCGTCTATGGGCTTTGGAGCCTTAGCCATCACCGATGGCTCGCCTTCTGCTGCTGCAGCTTCCGCTGCAGTTCCTTCTGCCCCCGCGTCCCCTGCTGCGGTTACGACCCCTCTCTCCTCTGGCCAACAGGAGGTCAGACCTGCTCCTGTTGGCCCTTTGCAAGCTTCGGGTCAGTCCGCTACTGTGGTGGAAATCGACGATGATGATGAAGAGATGGATGGTGATGAGGAGGTGGTTGGTGTTCGTTGTGGCAAAGAGACGGGTGTGTTGGTTGATGATGGTGAGACGGGTGGTGCAGATGATGATGATGAGATGGGTGAGGTCGATGAAGATGAGGAAATCCTCAGTGTTGATCTCGGTGATCCGGCGCTGTTTGAGGATAGAGAAACTTGGGTGTCAGAGTTGGAAAAGTTAAGCCGTATGTCCCCTTGTCATATACCCTGCTCGTAAGTGCTGACATGTAGCTGTTCGTGATAATGAGGGGTCTCCCGAATTCCGCGTACAGCTCCAGACTTCTTTCGGGAAGAAACGGGTTGCGTATCAGGCGAAGATGGATACTCTGGCTGAGAGTAAAGCCGAGAAAGATTAAAGCCGAGAAACGTCGCCGTTCCCCTTCCGCCCACGACGAAGTAACTCCTCCTTCGGCGAAACGGGTCAAAGAGACCCCTCGATCCTCTACAGGACAGGCTGAATTGTTTCCCTCCCCTTCCAACGAGCCAGGGAGTGCTCGCAAGGCATCGTTGCGAGAGCAGAATAGGCTATGGAAGTTGTTTATCGATGAAAGGGAGCGATGGGAGGTCGCCAGTATCGATGAGTCGTGTGATAGATGTCGGTAGGTTCCTTCCCTAGAAGTTTATACATCTGCTGATCAGTAGCCGTGAAATTATCACGTATGGGAGAGCGAAATGGCCGTGTCTACGACCGGTCAAACCTCATAATCGCGGGTCCCGTTGTGCTTCTTGCACTTCTGGCCCCTGCTCGTTCTGTCCCCCCAACACCGCTCGGGATATTCCTCCTAGACCTTCTGCTCCCCTCGGTCCCCCCTACACTCCGTCCGCCGCTGTTCGCCGCCGTCTCCCCACAGCCCAAGACGGGGACTATCCTTCGCGCTCTCCTTCGGCGAACTTCTCCTCTCCCGGCCCCATCTCGCCGTCACCCGCCGTCCGTCGCCCGCCTAACTCTCCCGTGGCCGGACCGTCTCGTCTCCCTGCTACTCCTTCTGCAGGTTCGTCTCGTCGCGCGCCTCGCCGTGCTCCCTCTGCCTCCCTCCAGCCCTCAACACCTGTGGCTGGCCCATCTCGTCTCCCGGCTACTCCTTCTGCCGGTCCGTCTCGTTCCACCAGGAGCCGTCCTACTCCTGTGTCAACCCAAGAGGAGTCTCCCCTAAGTCTCCCTCCTGCCCTTGGGACCCGAAGCCGTCAACCATCTGCTCCTCCTGCTTCTGGGCTCTCAACTCCTGCACCTCCTGTGAAAGCTCCTCCGAAATCTTCGAAAGAGAAAGGCAAGAAGAAGAAAGCTGTCCAGTTCGAACCGGCTGTGGTGGAAAACGAAAGTACTCAGCTACCAGAGGAAATCCCTCCTTCCCTCGACCACCCCACTATCGCTATCGACCCTCGGATACCAGAGGAAGACAAACAGCTAGCCACCTTTCGCTCCGTCATTATTGGTTTAACCACTCAATTACAAGCCAATAGACGAGATACGGCGAAGCTCGTCGAATATTGCGTGAAGTTGGTCTCCGCAATGAATACTCTCTCTCGGACACTGGCAACCCTTGTGAACTCCTCCGACATAGGGCCATTAGGGCGAACTGAGTTAGCTAGAGTCTCCCGAGAGCTCACAACGGACATGAGCGACTTCTACCGCAATCTCTTTGACTCTCCCTACCTCCTGAACCCCACTGAGTATATGCTCCCCCCTACGCTGGACTGGTTAAAACCATCTCAACCAGCTCGACTCAGTTCTCAGGATGGTGCTTTCCTCGATATCCTAACTCTTCCCGCAGACTGTCTTAGAGCACTTCGTCAGTTGTGGAAATCACCTAGTCTGAGTCTCGCTCGTGATCCTGCTCTCCACTCCGCTCACATTCTCGCCTTTAACACAGCATGGAAGGAGACTCGAGCCCTCCGACGGACGGTGGCACCGAAGGTTACTGAGAGTAGTTCTGGGGGTGGTCCTGCACCGGGGAACGAGGAACAGGGAGGAAGTTCGCAGCAGTGAGTTGTACTTAGCTAATGTTGTACCAGTTGTATGAATTACTTCCTCGTTCGTGATCTTACCACTCGTCCTTTCATCGGCTTATCCGGGTGAAGTTCGTGGAACTTCGCCAATATGTCATTAGCTCCGTCCACGTTTTCTACTGGTTCCCATGATACTGCGTCATCTGAGCCTTCGTAACCTAACCATTCCACTAGATACTCTAACTTCCCTGACCTCTTATTCACTCTCGAGTCCACAATATCCTTTACTTCCCACGATTCTCCCATGTTATCCACCTCTACTGGGCCAGGTGGTTCAGCTTGCTGACCAGGAAATATTGGAGGGTGATAGGGGCGAAGCAAGGAGACATGGAATACATCATGGATACCTGCCATCGTTCCTGGTAACTCTAATTTACAAGCATGAGAACCTACCTGCCGTACTACCTTGTACGGTCCACTTTGCTTAACGTCTAACTTCTTCATAGGCCTTTTAGTCTTAATGTTCTCTAATGACAGCATCACTAGGTCACCTTCCACGAAGTTCGGCGTAGTCCGGTGCTTCCTATTATACCCTTCGGCGTACTTCTCATTAGCCTTCTCAATTCCTTCGATACACTCTTTATGTATTTCGGTCAGATCCTTCACTACCACTGTAGCAGCGGGTACCTCAACCTCGCTAGCCTTTATCTCTTCAGCCCAACGAGGGTGATATCCATAGTTCGCATAGAATGGGGTTTTGTTTATCGCAGAGTGCTGGGTGTTGTTGTAAGCAAAGCTAGCTCGAGCGAGTAGCTTTGACCAGTCGTTCTGCTGATAGGAGGTGAAGATTCGAAGATACAGTTCCAAAGACTGGTTGGTTCGTTCGGTCTGTCCGTCAGTCTGTGGATGATATGCAGTAGAGAGATGTAGTCTTATTCCGAGACTATCGGTCAAATTCTTCCAGAACTTGGAGGTAAACTTCGATCCCCTGTCCGATACTATATTCTCTGGCAACCCATGCTGGGCCACCACATAGTCCAATATCAACTCTGATAGGCCGGCTGCGGTTAACTTCGTCGTAGTCGGGATAAAAATGGCCCATTTGGTCAACCGATCCACCACTACCAGGATGGAATTATATCCATGGGAATTTGGCAGCTCCTCGATAAAATCCATCGAGATGCTAGACCAAGGTTTCGTAGCTACCTCCAGTGGTTTAAGCTCTCCATGGGGTTTCTGTCTGTTGGTCTTTGCCCTCTGACATACCGCGCATCCAGCGATGTAGTCCTCAACATCCTTCCTTACTCCAATCCAGACATAGTCCCTTAGAACTAGCTCAAGGGTCTTCGCTGAACCTGGGTGACCAGCTAAGGCCGAGTCATGTCGCATTTTCATGATCTTCAGCCGAGCATCGGCGTAATTCGGCACATAAATGTGATCGTCGAATGTGAGGAAACCTCTTGAGTTCCACCCCCCACGAAGGATTAGAGGAGACCGCGAGCTACGGCGTAGTTCGGTGATTGATCCTGGTTCCTGCACGTTATCGTTACACGTAGGATGAGAACACTCAGCGCAAACGACTCCTAATAATTCTTCTCTGACCCCTTCTATGTCTTCGTCCTCCTGAACTCCAAGTACTAGATCCATAGGGTCCACAAGATCATTTTCCTTTACCTCCCTTGTCCCTTGCAATGCTCGAAGGAGGTGACGCAACTCCGACGTGGTGGCGTCAACTTCGTCGAACTTCGGCAGACCTTGGATAAGGTTGCTCTCTTGTACCATGGTACTTCCTTTCCCGGAATGATAGTCCGCCCGTCTAGATAATCCATCTGGAAGACTTGCCTGGGTTCCTGGCCGATAAACCATTTTAAACCTGAAGTTAGCTAGCTCCTCTACCCACCTACCTTGCCGAGGACTGAGTTGTTTCGGCTCCATCCAGTAGGTAAGGTTTAGATGGTCGGTAAGTACTGTGGTTTCTACCTGCAATAATAAGTGTCTCCTTCTTCTGAAACCCTCCACTACAGCGAGGAACTCCTTTTCTCCTACCGTATAATTCAGCTGAGCTGTGTTGAAAGCACCAGACTCAATAGCTACCGGGTGTTCTTGACCAGCCGTGTTGATCTGCGAAATTATGAACCCCCAGCCGAAGAACGACGCATCTGTCTGTAATATCGTCTTCAATGTAGGGTCAAAATGGGCTAACACCGGCGCAGTACACATCCTAGCCTTCAACTCTTTGAAGGCTGACTCCTGTTCGACTCCCCATACAAATGGTACCTCCTTCCTTGTCAAGTCATTGATAGGTCTAGCAATCTTCGAGAAGTTGGGGACAAAGCGCCTGTAATAGCTTACAACTCCAATGAATCCCCTTGACTCTCGTAGATTCTTAGGACGTGGGAAGGAAGTGATGGCATCAATGTATTCTGGGTTCACCGATACACCTTTAGAGGATACCACGAAACCCAGAAACACCACCGAATCTCTTTCGAACTCGCACTTACTAGCTTTCACGTACAGGCTCGCCTTCCGCAGTACCTCAAAGACCTTCGCCGTAGTTCCTCGTAATTCCTCCAACGTATTCCCATAAATGAGGATATCGTCAATGTAGACCACGACTCCATTCCCTAGTAGCTCTCTAAACACCTCATTTAGGAAGTGTTGGAAGACCGCGGGGGCGTTTCACAGCCCATCACGAACAACCAGAGATTCAAACATACCATACTGTGTCCTGAACGCCGTCAGGTGTTCATGTCCCTCTGTCACCCTCAACAATTGGTATGCTCCAATTAGATCTAGTTTGCTGAAATACCTTGCTTTTCCAAGTTCTTCGGTAATTTGACCTATTAGAGGGAGAGGGTAGGCATCTGGTATGGTCGCTTCGTTCAGTTTTCGATAGTCGATGACCATTCGCCATTGTCCTTCGGCTTTCTTCGGTATCATAAACATTGGTGAGCCGTATGGCGAGTTACTTGCCCGAATTCGGCCAGCGGCGATTTCGCGATCTAGTATGTCTCTCAGCGCGCGTCTCTGATCTTCTCCTTGAGCATAGAGGGAGGCGACCTTAAGGTTCGCCCCCTCCTTAAGCTCAAACTTCAAATCGTAGGACCTTGAAGGGGGAAGGGTCTCTCCTCTCTTCTTCGGATTAAAAACGTCAATGTACTGGTGGTATTGTTCAGGAACTACCTGGAACAACTCGTCTTGTTCCTCCGGGCTCAGCTCTTCAAGCTCATCTTTGCCGCGGAGGTCTGTCTCGTCGGTTCGAGTCCTGAGCCCTATGGCTGCCAGGCTCGCAACATTTCTCGTCTGTGGAAGGGGAGAGGATAACTCCTCTCTTTCACTCGGTAAGGGTGGGGGAATGGATACCGTGCTTTCCTCATTGGCAGGGAAGGATATCATATTCGCTCCCCCATTCAGGATTACTCTCTCTTTTCTCATCCATTCCCACCCTATCACAACATCCGCGTCACAAAGGGCGGTAACATCCAGCTTAATTGGGCGAACTTCGCCTAACTTCTCGACACCCAGACTCACTTCGACAAACTCCGTAATGGGACCAGCCACACTAACCGAGCCATCGAACATATGAACTGGTACACTCACGGGGTATTTCCTCCTCTCCTTCCTAATCTTCCTGACCGCCTTGGGACTTATATATGAACAGGTTGCCCCAGTGTCCCACAGGGCCGTTAGTTCGATTCCTTCGACATACACGTTAGATTTGGGTTGGTTGTTACAGGTGGAAGGGATTAGGGTATGACAGTCGTTTATACATTTCGGAGTGGTGTTTACGGATTTATATACACATTTACCTGGTCTCATCAGCTCTTTCCTTTTACTGGGGGTAGGGACAGTGGCCGAGAGAATATGAGTGCGGACCCGCCGAGTCTCGCCTATCGCGACGGGTCCCCATCTTTTTCCTCCTCGTCCATCCCCCGCTCTCCAACACATGCTTCTTCCCCTCCAACTGCATTGATCTTCTTCCTGTCCCCAAGAGGGACGGCGTTTCCCCCCGTGCTAAATCTCCCTTCTCCTCCAGCATTTTGTCCAAAAGATCTCAAGGGGATGATCCCGGCTTTTACCTTCGCCGCTATTACAGGACAATCCCGGTTGTAATGCCCTCTCTCTCCACACCCAGTACACTTCCCTTCCTCCCGACGCTTTAAAACCTCATCAGCACTGGGTCTCGGCCAACGACGATTTAGTTCGTCTACATCCGTTGGTATTGCCCTTCCCCCGTTCGTGCCCTTCGATTGCGTGCCCTCGAACTTCGGCGTAGATTGCCATTTCTCCTCGCTCCTCCGTTCCCCTCCCCGATTTACTTCCTCTTTCTTCTCCCCCTGTTCCTTTGTTTCCTTCCTCTTCTTCTCATTCTCCTTCTCCACTCTTCGCTGATGCAAGCGATTGTCCATGGGGACCACGAACTCAATCAACTCGCGGACAGTCTTGAAGACCTTTCCGTGCCGAGCGATCTCATCCAGCAAGTGACTTTTCAGTCCATTCTTTGCCCGGTCCACAAGGTTCCCATCATCGCCCCATCCTAACACCGCTACATATCGCTGAAAGGCGGCGAAGTACGCCGAAGCCGACCCATTCTGTCGAAGCTCGTTTATTCCCCTAGCGGCGGTTCCCTCCTCATCAGGGTCTCCGAAGTTGGTCTTGAGATATTGGATGAACTTCTTATAGACTAGAAGGTGTTCGGGGGGGTCGTCTTTAGGCAAATCCGGTTGGACGGCGAGAAGAGGGGTATCGCGTAGGTGGGAGATCATGAAAAAGATTTTTACTCGGTCAGTGGGGAACTTGCGGGCGTTGATTTCGAAGTGAACTTCACATTCTGAGATGAAGGCGGTGAGCTTTGACCTCTCGCCTCTCCAAAGGTCTGGGAGGGGAAGTTTTATCCCTCCTCCTATCTCAGCCACGCCTGGGGTCGCCGAAGCTTGTCTCCCCATGGCGAATCGTACCCCTTCAGAGATCCCTTCAACTATTCCTCCAACCGTCTCCTGTTCCTTCTTCTTCTCCTGTCCCTCCCGACGTCTCCTCTCCGCTATCATGTCCCTGTTCATCTCCATCATCATGTTCATCATCGCCAGCATCATTTTCTGAGTGGTGGCCTCTTCCTCCGCTCTCCCTACTCCTTCGCTCCCCGCCGAACTTAGTCCACCTTCCGTGTTCTTCTCCCTTGGTCGCGGTGTTTGTCCCGACCCTTCTGAACCTGTCCCTACAGTCGGTGGTTCTGATAATCCGGTTGGCAGGGGGGGTGGTTCAAGAGGTAGGGGTGGATAAAAATCATCTCCTTGGGTTGATCCTTCGGGGGTATCAATTGCACCAGGCAATGGCCCCAAGTTTTGTCTTAATTCCTCCAACATCCTCCTCTCCGTCTCTTCTACCGTTTCTCCTGGTCTACTCATACTTCTTGTAACTCTTCTTTCCGGTTGCATACAATCTTGAACTGCTCCGAGGTTTGTACGGGTCGTCGGTAAGAGCGATCCTTGATACTGTCACAATCGTCGTTTCTTCTCCTCTTCTGACCGACGGTCGACAAACCTCGGCTAACTACGTCGTAGTGGGGCGTCGATGTCTCACTAGGACAGGGTACTCGTAGGGGAACTACGGCTAACTATGCCGTAGTAATAGGTCGAGCGGTAAGTGATAAGGTGATCGTCGAATAACTGCGGCTAACCTCGCCGTAGTACGTCGAACTGCTCGGTGGTAGCTCTCCTTAACTCGGTGGTTGTAGCTACTGAATATATCGCTCGCTACTGACAACAATCAAGGATCGCTGAAGAAGTTCAGCGATCTCTAAACTATCTATACTACTCCTCTCTTCTCATAGAACGTCCCTCAACTCCTGCACTGCCTCACGCTCAGTCCTCTTCGTTCAACCTTTTCGTTCAACCTTGCCGTACCTCGCCCTATCCCCGATATCCTACTCCGCTCACTTCGACTAACTTCGCCTAACTTCCCCTGTTCTGCTCTCCCTCGGTTCCCTTCCCCTAACTTCGCCGTAGTTCTCCGCTAGGCGGGGTTATCGTGACAAATACCCTCTTGGTTCTCGTAACTTCGCCGTAGTTGGTCTCAGTGGTTCGAGTGGAGGTTGGTGGTGGTGAAAGGAAGGACGGTGATGGTGAAAGGAGGGTCGGTGATGGTGGTTGTCAGGGATGTTACGACATAGTTCGTGACAGCGATCGGCGGCAACATTGAAATTTCTCATAGCCTACCTTCCGTACTTAGTCGCTTCTACCATAGTTCCGTGTGGTACCTTCCACCCTTCTCTGGAACTTTCTATCATATTCTAGTACTTTCCTTTTACTAGAATGTTCTCTCAGTTCTCCGGTTGATCTAGATCTGAGACGAGGTTGTATAGGCTGTGTCGCAAACTATATCCAGTTGAATCATTGGACCCCAACCACCCAAGTCCTCAATAAACCGAAGACGATTCAAGCCAAAGATACCGAAGAGGAAGAGCAAGAGAGACAATGGATAAGGATAGAGGAGTTGGTGATGGCATGTCCACCTGGTACGAGGACTGACTCTTTGTAGTCTTTACCTTAGGGAACGTAGTACCATAGGAAAAATGAATCGAATACTTAGCAAAGTCTAGGAGGTGAATCTCTCATAGGTACACCCCTCATCAGCAGCATGCAGCACGCTTTTAAATGAGTGCCAGTAGCCTCTCTAGCACCTCTATGCAGGTTAGAACAGGTCTAGTTGAGATAGTGGGACAGAAGAATGGATAAAGTGGATATCACAGATGAAGAAGGAAGGGGTTGTCCGGAAAGTTCAGCCTGGGACTTCCCGGACACCGTACATGTGGCACCCCGGCACCTCCTATGGTGGCCCGATGGTCCTCCGTACGTCCATTCTGGGAGCCCCACTAAGACTGTACGAGAAAAAGACATGAATCGTTCATACATAACTACTCGCACAATACAACATGGTATCAACTTTGAGAAAAACTGTCCAGGTGTATGACCTGCACATCACCAATACATCACCCCTTCTTAGTCCAGCTAAGATCCTTATCCATCCATCCATCCAACCACCTTACCGTCCCTTCCTCATTCGACAATCCAATTCACAACAACTTCAACCTGTTCACAATTGCCATTCCCCGTGCATACCCTAAATCCGGGACGAAAGCCTCAATCATCTCCTCTATCACTTGTCGTCTTTTGATATAACAACCTCCATAACCAACCATTCGTCTGAAGGCATTCATCGCTTCGTGACCGTCTAATTCAGTCGGTTCGTATAAATAACCTCCAAGTTCGACTTCGACAATTGTAAAATCGTTCACCACTGTTAAAAGAAGGTATAAAGCTGTGAACAAAGACCAACCACCTTCGCGATCACCATAAAAATTATGATATATATCGAGCTTGATGATAACTTTACGTAGGTTGGGTAATACGTTTCCTATAGGTGGTATAAAGTTATCTCGTTCATGAAGTTCTTCCAAATAGTCACCGTCGATTCGGATTTCAACTTGTTCAACTCTATTCCAAGCCATTGATTCTTTCCTAGGTATCCAATACAATATACTTGCTGCTCGTTTCAAGACGATTTTCTTTGGCCAAAAATATTTAAGCCAGTAATTCATATTGTCATTGAGCCAATCACTATCCCGTTGGATTTCACCGTAATCGAAGAGTATACGTAGCGGTCGAATGAAGCCGGCGGGAAGGTTGTTGAGAGTGGATGAACGAACTGGATGAACACAATCCATGGAAGTGATGAAGATATGTCGTACGAATGGAATGACAAAGTGAGAGAAATTGAGAAAGGAAGTGGAAGCCGTTGGTGAAAAACCAGCCAAAGGTCCGGCAATCACAGTATCGAAACAAGAAAATATCAAGGTTTTATAGCGGATGCTTGCGACGTCAGGATCCACAATTCTGTAGAATGATTCACGTTCGGAGCGAGTAGGTGAAAAAAGTGACCCGATGGTCCGAGGAATTGTATTGGTAGGACGATTGAAACCTCGAGCTGGCGAAACCGGTGTGTTGATACGAACAGGTATGTTCTGAGGAGACAGAATACGTGTGGAAGTAGGATTAGGAACTGAAGTGGACTCAGACTGATTGTCAGTCTTTCCGAAGAGACCAAATATAATTTCAAAAGACACTCACGGTAGAACTCTCTCCATCACGCTCATTGTCTTCATTGTCCGATACAACCTCGTCTCTTGGTCCTGACATGAGACGGCGTCGTTGCAATGGTCGTAAAGCGGGGATTTGGATCAGCGAGTCGTCTGGTTCGTGGTCGATACCCGCTGAACTGAACGACTTCCTCTTCGTGTCATGATAGTCATCGCTGGACAAATTAAAAATCATATCGGCGTCTGAGAGAGGTGGAGAACGGGAGGGAAATGGCGATGACATTTGGATCAAGAAATTGAGCTAGTCAGCAAAGCAGATTTAGGTGGAATAAGTCGTGAGTGAGATGCATCGAAAGATCAGCATATAAGTATATTCGTCGAGCTCCGTGACAGGTGAGACTGAGGAGTGACAGGTGTGACCTGTCACGCATTCCACTTGCAGTAACTCACCAAATTGGAAAATTTCATTTGAATGTTGGCAACGTAACGCCAACTACATGATCCGTGACCTTGATCATCTGTCACGCTTCCCCATTCAGCCTCCCTGCTCCCCGATCGACCCCAAATGTATGTTTTTGGAGTCACGCCTGCATCCTCCATCCCGCCTCTGCTTCAGCCACGAGCAGAAATTTCATACCCTGTCCCCATTCCTCTAAGTCGTCCACACTGGATGCAGAGTTGCGTAACATTTCATGCACATTCGTGCTCAATTGAACCTGAACTTCTTCTTCTCCCCTGGGATCTAGAACTTTCGCCCTTGCGCTTGCGTGTCCAGCACCCACCACAACCATCTGACAAGTCATGGGAATCTCCCGCCGGATACGTGCCAGTTTCCAACACAATGAACTCCTGGCCCTTTCCACATGCTCGGGACGACGTCCCATCTTCCAGTGAGCCATCCAATACTCGGTCGTGTATACGATGACGAGCTTCTCGAGGTTTTTCGACCAAATACGGGACCATTGTGATTCAGGACGTCCGCCACTGCCGGCCCGAAGGACAAGTACGACTTCTCTAGCTTCTGCCCAAGGTTTGTCGTGGTATTGTAACCCATGAGGAAGCGGTTCGAAAGTACTGCGGAGACCATCGATTATCAATCGATGAGGTTGAAGATGTTGAATCAAACGACAGCTTGCTCCAGCGTGGCAGAGGATGACTCCAGCTCCCATGCAGGCAGGTTTGAGGACGAGTTCTTGAAGATTTGGGAGAACTGGAAGGGAAGATGGGCAGTTTCGATAATGAAACTTGTGAAAGTCGATGGTAAGATGTGTGACTGAGGAGAAGAGAAGAGGTTTGAGATTGAGAGAACGCCAGAGAGGATAAATCATGTCCACCGGTTCTCCTACGCCTCGAAGTGAAACACTTCCATCGTGTGTGTCGACTTTGAGAGTGACGATGGAGTACAAGATTTGACCTATGTAGTGAAGATTGTCATGAGTGATACCGCGAGAAAGACGAAGGCAAGTAGCTAGGGTTGAGCGGTCGCAGAAGGACAGGATATGTGGGAAGATGTCAGTCGAGGTGATGCGTGTGGTGAGCTGTTTGGATTCCTTACGGTCAGTCACCATGGAGAGAAGTAAGAGAGACAACTTACAGTCATGATAAAAGCAGAAGTAGTAAAGAGAGAACGTCAAAGGGAAAGATTGTTCTTCACCAAATTTCAACCCCTAACTGCGCCCTTGATGGTTCAACGCGATACTACTGTATTACGACTCATGACAACACCTCACCGCCTTCTTTCATCCACCGAAACGTTACACTAACCCTCACATCCCTCAAGATCGTCTCATCTCTTTGGTTTTCCCCTTCTACCAGGTCCTCTGTCCTTCCTATGATCCCATGAAGCCATTCCCATCTGGCCTCGCCAGTCAATACGTATACGCTTCTGGGAGGAAGATAGACATGATGCTCGGTCTTGTCTTTCATTCTCTCTTCTGTGGGAGTGAAAGTCATAACCGATCCTCCTGTGAGGGAGACGCCAAGTATGCCGTCAGCATAGCGAGAGGGAAGGTCGATATGTGGACTGATACCTTGACCCGGTAGGTAGAGGTTGAGTATAGCTTGTCTTCCTAGAGGTTGGTCAAGAACGGTCTCTGTCGCTTCGACAAGTAGAAGAGGTCGCAGCAGATTGTCCAGGTGGTTGAGGAGCTCTAAGATATATGAAGGGAGGGATTCAATACAGCCCGGACGAGAAAAGATCATAACTTGATTCCGTGTTCCGCCGATGAAAATATCATCGTTGGCGATCTGAGCCAGTGCGGTCTCTACGTTCATCAGCTGCAGCCCTTCTGATGAGAAGACTCACGGGCTATTTCCGATGAGAGCAAAGAGGGAAAGATGTATAATCCAGGGATGGGTGGAGTCGTCCTCGTGGCGGGTATGATCTCCGGAAGAGAGAAGAGGGAGGAAGGAGAGGACGGAGGAGGGCTCATTGATCATATCTCCTCGGGTGGATCGCAAGACTCTAGAGAGGATTTCTCGTCATACTATACTCCTCCCAGAGCTATTTCGCTAGTATGCTCACTCGAAATGTCAAACTACTAGAGTAAGAGTGAGGTTGTGAACGACACTGTATTCTCTGCACTGCGGAGCTCCGCAAACGTGTTGGAAAAATAGGCCTGCAGGACCATTGGCTTGACGTGAACAAAACGAGATCCAAGTGTTACCGAAATTCTTCCCCATTCCATCTTTCTTCTTTCTTTTTTCAACCCTTTCAGCTTTGTCAAAATGTTCGCCAACACCCTCCGAAGCAGTAAGCTATTTCATTTGGTGACGAAAAGCAGCTGACCAGTTCAGCACTTCGAGCTGCCTCCCGCTCTTCCGGTGTGTACTGTCACCCTTTGCTCAAGTCTGTCTGACAGACAGTACGAGCCCTTTCCACTGCGCCCGCTAAGGCGGCAGTGTCCAATGGACTCACCCTTGGTTTGGCTGGTGCCGTAGTAGGCTCTTACGCTGTATACCAAGGTGAGCTTGAGGTATGCACACCTGGGCTGACGGTTTGTAGTGAGCATGAACAAACCCGTGTTACTCGAAGGGGCCAAGACTATTGCCGGGGAGAAGGGTACTGTATCTGAGAGGTCGTTCATCATGGTAAGTCCTACCTCTCAGCTTGTTCATGACCGTTGGAAGATATATTCAGCACGCTCCCGGTCTGTTCCTCTGAGCTATCTGCGTCGATCATCAGACACTGAGTAATGAGCCATCCGGCCAGATGTGGCATGAACCGTGGGGTTCATAGACTGTGAAGTCAGAAGAGGGACTGACAGTCAGATCAAACCAGACGGTGTCTCTCGTCAACTCGTCGGAAAGGTAAGTCTAGCACCCAGCTAGAACCCTCGAAACCAAGCTGATTGTGTAGATCGTGTCACGTTTCGAAGGTTCGTCCTGCTCCACGAGGCAATCCAAAACCGCAGCGAGCTAATTATCAGAACGCGGCTACAAGCTTGTAGCGTTAGTGCAGACTTCCAAACGATGGACTGGAGCTGACCGACAGAATCAAGTCTCTAACTCCATCTCCCGCATTGGCACAAGAACATTATTCCGATCTGTCTTCCCGTCCTTTCTTCGGGGGATTGGTCAAGTACATCACGTCTGGGACACCTGTGGTTGCCATGTGAGTTGTGTATAGAATGATAGTAAGAGCTCATGATCAGGGTATGGGAAGGCAAAGATGTCATTCGTCAAGGGGTGAGTGTAGCGTGTTCAAAGCTCGACAAAAAGAAGTCAACATCACGCCCAACGGGCTTAAGGTTGAAGGTGGAGATCAAAGAGACGAAGGGCTAATACTTCAGCGTAGGATCGTAGGTGCCACCAACCCCTTGGAAAGTGATCCGGGTAGCGTCAGGGGCCAGTATGCCGTTTCAGTCGGGTGAGTTTCAGTGTTCACACTTTTCCTTCGTTCTCTTTTACCATCAGTATGACAGTACCACCTGTCTGAATGCAGGCAGAAAGAAGAGGTAGTCGCTGACTTGACAGACGTAACCTCATTCACGCTTCCGTATGTCTTCCCTGTCACCTCAAAAGTAGTGACATCGCTGACCAGATAGGACTCGTTCGATGCCGCCACCAAAGAGATCGGTCTTTGGTTCGCCGAAACCGAATTGAGTCAATACGAGCCCACTACCTGGGTATGTCTTCCTTCGTTCATTCACATGCTCTTGCTGACCAGATAGAATTGGGTCATGGCAGATAACTAGAAGTCCTTCTCACCATCTTGAAGTGTTCTCTTCAATATCGTGATTGCTCTGCGTCTGATTTTGCACATCTGATCGACATAAAGCTTGAAGGAGACAGTAGAAAGCATGAAGAGATATGTCTTCCCTTGAACACAATTCCACACACAGAGTCAGAGATGCTAAGAGACGATGGTGTGCAAATGAAATAGCATGACATACTTTTGCTGATTTGATAATGATTTGTTTTACATCATGCTCGGCGATTCTATCCGTCAGCTCTCATCTTATTTAACACGACACTACTAGATCGGATAGCCTGAAGGGGAACACACTGTATACCAACCAAAGGGGGACATTGATGTACCTGGGATATGAGACGAAGCACGCTGGAGGTAATCATTTCGGAGTCGTGATTGTGAGAAAGAAAAAGGGATCAAAGGAAAAATACTCACTCTCCAATTTAGATACCCATCTTTATCCTCATCCCCTCCACGTCTAGAAGATCTCACTCGTCTGATCGGTTCATCCTCTGTAGAATTCTCCAAACCCGCCAAGATCCTACGTCGATGCATTGCGGCTTGTATATCTGGCGTCCATTGTCGCAGTTGTTTCAAAAGCGGTAATTCGCGTATACCTTTGGGATTAAGCCACGAGGTAAAAGCGGCAAGCTGAAATCAGTCTTCTTCTTCTTCCACCACATGTTCTCCTTTATGTGTCACCTGTCCAAACAAATCCAACGAGAGACATGCACTTGAACGTAAAAATGTCGACTTGAAGAAAGGAGGTCACACGAAAAAGAACATGATTGGAATACCGGGGGAAAAACTCACCTGTTCAGGAGTATCATAAACACCCCATTCACCAGGTCCTAATCTTCCTTCACCTTCTTCCTTTTTTCTTCTCTCTTCAACTTCTTCGACACTCACTTCACCCGCAGTCACACGATGATACTCCACTTCCAAATCTTCCGCACCTTGCAAATAAACTCTTCCAGTACCTACCATTACTTTTCCTACTTCATTTAACAAAGGTGCACTACCTAAACCGTCCATCCACCAGAGCTTATTCCCAAATCTATCCATTCCCATAGGTCTTGCTCTTAAAGTGTAAAGATGAGATCTGAAATCATGTTCCAACCCATGTAATTTAACCAGATACATTTCTTCTTCTTCTGTCAATCGTCTTTTTTCAGCACTTTTCACGGTCCCTTCTAGTCTTCTTATCTTTGCTTCTTCTCTTTGAGCGTTGGCGACGGCTGTTCGATTGGCTTCTTCCTCTGCTCTCGAAGCGGCTTTAGCAGCCATAGCATTCCTTCTAGCTACTCTGGATTGAATTTTAGGACCTGGTTCTTCTGAACCATGACGTGAATGTGATTGATCTTGAGAAGACATGGAAATATCATCTTCTAACATTGGAGTATCTTCCAATTCGTCACGTTCGGTATTTGAAGCTGTTCCATTGATATGACCATTAATTGATAAATCGATAGATTCGCCTCTTTCTTGTTTTACTTCCATATTCACATCGTCACCTTCCACATCACCGTGGTCATTCCCATTGGTTTCACCTTCAACATCTTCTGGTTTTTCTTTCGGCTCTAAAGCTTCCAATTCAGCATGTATTCGTCGTATTTCTCGTCGAACTTCTACTTGATCTTTTCGAACTTCGGTGAGTGCTGTGGTACTCTCTTCGAGGAACTCTCGAACGGCCTGTGTTTGCGCAGCGAGTTCAGCGAGGAAAGCAATGATGTTGAGTTTATGAGTATGATGTAATGTTGAATATCTTTTGTCTGGTTTCGCAGGAATCAAACCGTGACCTGTTGATTGGGGAGGGCCGGTGGACCATGTAGGTCGAGTAGGTGCGGGTTTATCTTCAAATGTGAGATGAAGTATGTTATCAAGATAATCTGGAAGAGTGTCTAAAGAGGCTCGTTCCCAAAGACAACCGATCAGAGTCAGTTCCCAACCCTTTCTCCCATCTCGCGTTGAGAGCTCGCGTGTTGACCAACTTTGTGACAGAGGTATTGCTATGGGTCGTAGGGTTTCTGTGGTCGCTCCTCGAGTTCCTTCCCAATAATCTTCATCGCTGGATTCTTTCGTGATCCCACACGCAGCCAGAGGCCGGACAGGCGGGGAACCAGCTGCCAGGTCTCGGATCAGAGAATTCAGGAGCACAGCGTGTATCTCAGTCATAAGTGGTGCAGGGGAGGTCCATGGGTCGTTGTGATATAAGGACTGTTCGAAATCATCCAGAGGAAAAGGTGAGATCCCCAAAGGTTTCCTGTTCGTCAGCTATCGACGGTTTCACTTGCCATATCCTGAGAAGTGGGAAGAAGGTGAGATCAGCCGGAACAATCACTCACCCCATAACATTCAAGAAGCTCCAAGTCATCAGGAACCTTTCAAATTGATCACCAAAAGGTAAAGTTCTTCCTGGTGCTGGCCGTGCCTCTATCCGTCCCGCCGCCGCATCACGATCACCCGAATACTCCACCAACAGATCCTCGGCAGGGTATTTGACGGGTTTTTTCCGCTTGTTCTCTTCTTCCAAGGCCGCAGCTTCCTCTTTTAATTTCTTCTCCTCCGCAAGTCTTTGTTTCTTGGTCTTGGGCTTCTCCTTTTCTTCCTCCACCTCCGCTTCGCTGACTGTCGGATGGGTGATACCAAGTCTCTCCTCTCGCTCACGTTTCCGTTTGTCCATCTGTTGCTCCCGGTATCGTTGAATTCTTTCTCGAACTTCTGGCGGCATCTCCACTGGCAAACCATACCGCCTGGCGATAGGAGGTTTGATCATCCACGGTGAGTAGACCGCGGCATCACGTTCCACACAGTCTCGGATGAAACGTTTGAGCATGGCGCGGGAAAAGTTGATTCGATCACGACTACTTTTGTCAGAATTCACCATGCCTGTGAACAAGAAAACAGTCGCACCTGATCTTATCCGCTTGAACCTCCATCACGCTACTGGCCCACTTTTCCCCTCTTCCGTCATCCTCACCACCGTTGGAATGCCCGTTCGCATCATTCGAGCTGTGCGCCGTTGATATTCCCTGGGATGTACCCTCTTGTATCAGCCGCACAGAATAAAAGTACTTCATCGGATCGTCCTGCTGGTTGACTTCCTCCAGTGAGACAGTCAAGTCTGCCGCAAACGGATGATAAGGTAGTGGAGAACTCCCCAAGTTTCTGACGGGCGAAGGGGGTGCAGAGGGTAACGATCTGGGGGGAAAGGTCTTGACGATCCGGGCTAGATATTTATCGCCCTCAACATCGACGAAGACCTCTGCATAATCAGCAGACTGTCTTTTTTGCCCTAATCGGGGGGTTAACTCACTCTCGTCATCATAAAACCGGTTGACGAAACGCTCGAAGATTTTGTCAGCAAGATTTTCGAGCTTGCCCTCGATTTCTGGGCTAGGTCAACGGCATCGCTCTTGTGAAGAAGATTCACTAAACGTACGGAATTGCACAGCGGTAAGGACTGCTTTCTTGAGCTGGCGAGGAAATCGAGTGTGTAGCTGCCGCACTTCTCTCCTCTCGTTCGCCAGGGCGCCTAGGTATGACATAGATGACTTGCCACTGACTGCGCTCGCTCAGCTGCTATCGCCGGTTACGGAGAAAAGAGGAGAAAATGACTCACCGTCACATTGAAAGAGAGGCTGAGCATAAAAAGCACGCCGTGTGGAGTAGGATCTGCGGTCATGTCAACATCACCGTACAAATCAAGGATGGTAGGTCTCACTCATAATCAGTAAAAATCTCCCCTGTTTCTTCAATGTACCAGCAGTCCCGATCATGTATCTTCCAGCTACCTGCGGGTGTGGCAGAGACAGCATCCTCCTCCTTGACTCCATTCGTCTTGTCATCCGCAAACACCTGACCGGTCAAGATCATCGTACCCGGTCTTCTGCCCTTGGCGGTGGTCGCTCCATCGGCAAATTCTCCCCTGAAGACACTGAGGAGCTTGGAAAGTTGTTCATCGTCATCTTTGCCATCTGGAGGCATGGCAGAAGTGGCAGGTGGGGCTTCGTCGGTTTCAGCGGGAGTAGATTCTTTTTTGACCTTTCCCTTGGGGGGAGATGACGGGGCCGGAGAAGGTCCTGGAGGGACAGAGGGATCGACATGTCCATTCGTGGGTAGAGGTTGCAATACTGAGGAGAGAGAAGGGAGAGGGTGGAGGAGGACAGGTTTGCGCTTGATGAGCGGCATAGCTCGATGTCACTCAAGAAAGGGGCGTACGAGTGGCGAGAACAAATGACCGAAAGGGCTGATCTTTGGAGAGAAGCAGAGGTGTTGACAGGAAGCTCCAAGGGACGAATTAAGGCCCACAGACGTCGTCGAATGCAAATAGATCTCCAAGTATGGCTACAGGTACAACGAGATACTTGATACTGAGTTGGCGGTCACCAAGGAAAGAGTAGAGAACGCTGGGCCAGGGAGAACCCCTCTTGAAGTAAACGCGATATGCAGACAGTCGAGTTGTCTAAACGCGTCACAGATGTCGCAAACAGCTGGGGGAGATGGATGGAATGAAGAGGGGGTCAGAAGGACGAGGGAGGATGATGGATGCACCTCAAGAGAATAGTGAAAGACGAAAGGGAGGAAGGAAGAAAACAAACTGGAGGGAGGGAGAGGGTTGAGTGGGGCTGAGGGGAGAGGTCAGGTAGGGCTCAAGAAAAAGAGAGCGAGCCTTCCCGTCCAACCAGATGGCACACACCACAACTTCGGACCGCGGCGCAGAGGATGACCGGCGAAGGATAGCTCGTATCGCGGTCTCACTAGCTCTGAGTCGGACATCAAGATCGGATGTGTTGCACAAGATGCACTGCTCTCATACTGTCCGATCTGTCACCTGCATGCATGACGGATAGCAAGGGTGACGAGGGTGTAATACGAGCGATTGAGGGACAGCCAAGTTGTCCGACCGACCGAGGCTCCGATGTGAGTCCGCCACTCGAATAAATGCCGACAATCGCCGAACAGTCTTGAATGAGTTTCTCCCCCCTTTCCCCCCTTTTCCCCCCCCTCGCCTCTCTCTCTCTTTCCCCCTTTCTTTGTTAGACATAGTACTATCTCTTAAACTCCCTCTCCCCCCACTGCAGCCACTCTCTCCCCCTCCATCCACCTATCCGCTCCCCATCCCAGGTCAAGTAAGGCTTTCATTTCATCAATCTCACAGGTGAGTCTTTCTCTGGTCGTCACAACCTTCCTCTCCTCTGACCCCATTCCTATCATTTTGCATATTGCTCCGACCCTCGACCAACACGCTTGTCAACACTCTCGCCACGTACAAACTTTTCATACTGCTCGCTCTTTCCGACTCGCGTTTGAATCCGTCCCTTCGTCGATCACGGTCTACACGTCCTACTTCTGGATTCTATCGCTGGCGCACTTCATCAAACATCTTGTCAACCAATCCGTCGAAAAATAATATTCCTTTTGGGAATACAGACTGATTGAGCCTCTCCCTCTTCAATAAATCACTTGTCAAATGTCCGACGTTCCCACCACAGCCAACTCGAACAAGCGTCCTGCTTCGCCTGAAGGAGACAGCGCCGTCAAACGCGCACGCGGAGAGACCACCGACATCCAGCCGGCACAGTCGGTCGACGCCAGCGAGGAACTGACCGACGTCCCCCCCGCTGAGAAGACAGACGCTGGCGCCGATTCCCAGGCGGCTGCCGGCACCGTGGCGGAGATCAAGGAGGAGATCAAAGAAGAAAAGCCGATAGTCGGCAAGGAAAACGGAGTCACTGCTAATAAGAAAAAGATGGAAGATGTCAACATGGAGGGGTGAGTTCAGAAGTTTCGGTTGGTCAATGAGGAAATCCGCTGATATGTTAGCGGAGAGACGTCCTCCCGCATCGTCATCCCCGAATCCGCCTCCCTCCCCGCTCCACCCGTCCAGGCAGCCCAGGCGGCCGAGCCACCTGCGCAGCAGATTGCAATGAGATGCCTGATCGTCACTCAAGACGCCAGTATCATCATCGGCAAAGGAGGAGCCCATGTCAACGATATCCGAGTGCGTTAGCATCACATGAAGGAAGAGGCCCAGCTGACCATTGCAGGAAAGATCGCATGCTCGCGTCACTGTATCTGAATCTATCCCTGGTAATCCCGAACGTATTCTTAATGTTTCCGGACCTCTCGATGCCGTGGCAAAGGTGAGTTTGGTTTCTTTGCCGGATCGTCGCTCATCCGTAGGCTTTTGGCTTGATCGTCCGACGAATCAACGATGAACCCTTCGACGTGGCTTCCGTTCCCGGCTCGAGGGCTGTCACCATCAAATTTATCATTCCCAACTCTCGCATGGGTAGCGTGTATGTGCTTAAGTGATTACGTTTGCGTTTATCTGACTTCTTAGCATCGGCAAGCAAGGCGCCAAGATCAAGGAAATCCAAGAGGCGTCCGGCGCCAGGCTCAACGCTAGCGAGTCCATGCTTCCTGGTTCTACGGAGGTGAGGCATTCCACTACTCAGGAGGACGTCACTGACAGTCCAGCGCGTTCTGTCCTGCTCTGGGGTCGCCGATGCCATCCACATCGCCGTATACTACATCGGTACCATTCTTCTAGAGTATCAGGAGCGGAATCCCGGCTCGACCTCTGGCGTCTACCGTCAGACGGGAGCGCGGGGTGGGCCTTCTGGGTCGTACGGTGGTGGGGGTTCCGGCGGTGGTGGTGGTGGCGGCGGTGGCGGCGGCGGTGGCGGCGGTGGCGGCGGTGGCGGCAGCGGTGGTCTACCCCCTGGCATGCAGATGCAGCAAATCTTCATTCCCAATTCCCTCGTTGGTGCCAGTGAGTTCACCACGCTTTGCTCGAGATGTGTTCACTGACGTGCTTCAGTCATTGGCAAAGGTGGCGCGAAGATCAACGAAATCCGTACCCAATCTCAGTGCCAGATCCGCGTCACGGACCCTGGTACTCCTGCCGGCCCGGGACAGCCAGTCAACCCAGACGAGCGTCTCGTCACTATTCAGGGATTGCCTCAGAACATTAATATTGCCGTTCAATTGCTCTACGGCGTGAGTGATTTCATGTCCGCGTGCTCCATGCTGCCGTCCCATCGTTCCCGAGCGCAGTTGTGAGTAATGCTGATCTCGCAGCGCCTCGAAGCGGAGAAACAGAAGATGCAAACTGGGCAGATGTAGGATGTGATCTAAGTTGCGGTGTAAATTGGGCATATGTGATGTCTGCTTTGAATACGATGTGGGTGTCCACCTACTGACGTGTGTCTGTGGAGCCTAGTAAGGCAGTGTCAGGAGGTCAATGGTGATTGATGCAAAGCTGATCACCCCTCGTCCTATCTCACCCTTTAGCTGACTACCTCCTTTCTCGTGTCATCTGCTCGTTTTATCCCGATGGTTGTTCGTTCCTTTCATCCCCGCTCCCTTCGACTGACCCCTATCTTGGGGTATATATCACATGCCTCACCGCTTTGTGTGTATCTGTCCTTACTTTTTTTTTTACGAAAGCATCTCGTCATAAACGCTCACATCATCATGTCGACTCCTTCGAGCGAATCTCGCTCAACGCTTGGTCTCCAATCTCGCCTTTTCGCGCCTGATCTTTTACGCCGGATCCTATCATTCTTGCCTCGACACAGCCTGACGACATGTCTTCTCGTCAGTCGAGGGTTCTTCGCCGTGGCGTCTGACGTCTTGTATCACACCATTGACGTGGACATTGATTATCCCCCTCACGCTCTGACCGATCTGATATCGCCTCAAGTTGACGATCCGCTGAACCCTCTGTTGTCGACGGCTCAAGAAACTCCACCTATCTCCGAGGCTGAGAACTTAAAATTCAAACGACTCACACTTGTTGAAAAATCTCAAGCTGTTATACTTCGCTATCACACCTCTCTTTGTTCTCACATCCCTATCCACCTTATTCTATCACCTCAACGTCCTCTACATCTCCTTCGAGTACATTCTTCCTGGGCACCTGGTCGGATCTTCCATCACTGTTTTTCCTCTCTTTCTGACCATATCTCGACTCCTCAACAATGTCATCTTCTCTCCAATCTACCTTCTCTCAACATACATACTCTCGTTTTGAGAGGTCTAGAAAACCCCTCTGTTCCTCCCACAGGAATCGATTATTCCCGACTTCCACCTTCACTCCGTCGTTTGATACTAGTTCTCGAAACTGGAAGTGTGGTGGATATCCCAAAAGACCCGATATTGACAATGAGACATTTACGTCCTTCCATTCGTGAAATCGTCATTATTTTCCATTCTTCCCCTCGTCACCCTTGGAGACCTGCGAGGGTAGATAGGAGTATCCTGCCTTGTCTGAGTTTCGGAAGGTATTTAGGGTATTTGGCAAGTTTGGTAAGTGTACCAATGAGGACAGTGACGTTTGTTGGAATGGGAAGGATACATAATAGTTGGACTGGGATGGATGGAGGGGAAGAAGAAAAACAGGAAATGGTAAAGGAAAGGATGGAGGGGATGATGGGGACGGTTGGAAGGAAAGGTGGAAGATGGGTTGGAGATGCGAAATTTAAACGATTGGGTGAATGGGTTAGGGAAGAAGGAGAAGGAGTTTTTGATGATGATGAGAGAAAGGTTTGGGAGGGATGTGTAGAGTGATCTTTTTATCGAGTGAGACGTACTTGAAATTCTCCCAAAGAGTCCTCGTGAGTCAAGTATTGACATTCCAGCGGTAAGTTGAGTCAAAAGGAAGTGAAAACATGGATATGATATGATATGATACGATGCATGTCATGTACCAACGACATACTGTAGGATATCGATAAACGAATTGTACTTAGTAGTGTTAGTCAACACGGCGCGATATGTTCCCACTCCCACGTTGTTCGGTCGCGGGTCGGAAGGAGGACAAGAGGTGGTCGTAGTTTGTTTGAATTGGAGGGGGAATTGATGGAAGGAAGCACTCCTTTTTTCCTTTCTACACTCCTTTGCAATATTTCCCCTCGGTGGGAATTAGGTCTACCATATATCGAAGAGGAGAGTTTATGTATAAGTACAAGTTTGCCCCTTGGATATTCTCTCCATCGTGTACGACGATCTTATTTTTTCTGTGTTATCTTCCATATTCCCTCGTCCAACCAATTATTGTAAATCAAAGTCGAAATCTTAACTACCTGTTGTGATACAATTACATTGTTATCTATATTGAGAGTCAAGTATACAAACAGAATGGTCAGTCCTCTTTCGGATTAGCTGGAGAGGTAATTGAGAAGGTTTCTAAGCTGATGTTTCAGTCAACCCCACATCCTCTCACTCATCCGGATCTCTTATATCGTATTCTCAACCTGGTAGATCGACCTACTTTAGCCATACTCTGTCGAACTTCCAAATCATTATCATCATTCTGTATACCGTTATTATATTCCCACATTCATGCTGATTTATTAAGTCATAATCCTTTTATCCCTTCTTCTTCCTCTGATTCTACGAACGATACCGATATAGATTCTTGTACATCCCACCATACGAACCCATCAGGTGAGGTAGAAAGATGCGTGAAGTCGTACCCATCAGACAGAATAGAAGGATCAGAGGGATGTGGGAAGTTGGACCTAAATCTATCAAACAGAATGGAAGTAACAAAGAGCTCGAAGAAAGAAGATGGTCGAAAAGAAAGAGGAAAGATATCAACATTGAAACAAGATTTTTTAAAACATACAACTCGACTCACCGTTCATACTCATGGAACTCAATGTGAACAAAATTCAATTTCTTTACCTTATCTTCAAATTTTAACACTCTTGGTAGATTCTCGTCCTGGATATTCAAATTTATTTTGTAGAAGATGGCCAACATGTTCACTTCTAAACAATCTCACACCTAGAGAATTGATAATTAAAATAATAGGAGAATCATTACCTTCCGCAATTTGGTTAAGACCTGCTCCTATACCAATAACAGTTGAAAAAGTTACTTTACTCATAAGAACTTTAACATTTAGTACATTTGAATTGATCGATAATCCAGCTTTTCAAGATATGCCATTGAGTGTGAAGAAATTCGATATCGTGATTTTACCACCTAAAGGTTCAAAGGGTAAATGGAAAGCTCAAAGACAATATTATGGGGATGTAGATTGGTATCTTTTCGATAGATTATGTGCTAATTTAGCAAAATTAGCAGTTAAAGATGTACCCCAAGTTGGGTTTTGGAATTTAGGTTGTTTAGATTCTAATTGTGTGGGATTGAAAGGTAAAGTGGACGAAAAGAAAGTACAGGAAGAAGTGGAAAAGAGGATCAGGGATGAGATGAAATTGTTAGGTGGGAGAGGTATGGTTAGGTTTGGAAGTTTGGATGAATGGAAAGAGAAACAAGGTTGGAAAGAAGTTTTATCGGAAGAAGAAGTTGATGATGTTGACGATGAGTATGATCAAGTTGATGGTAAGGTCGTTAAGAGTGGACAGGATGATTATACTTATTCTTATGCTTTAGATAGTATTGGATATTGTTGATTATCGAGAAAGATATGAATTCGATGAGAGTTATGAGTAACTTGAAGATGAATGTGGTCGATTGGTAGTCCTTGGTACCTTAGGCATGGTCATGATGTTCAGACCATGACCAACGGTCAAATCCGATAACAAAGTCTCTCAGGGTATCATAATCTTTCGACGATTCGTATCTATAACACACCATACAACGTCATGCATCCCTCATCTTTCCTTGATCAATGACATCTTTACAAAACACCATTTCTTCAACTCGTCACGAATAACGACTACCGACCAGGTGGTTATTTGTATGTATAACAAGTCAAGATGAGCTCAAGAATACCATCACCAAAACCAACAGAATCCACTCCTCTCATTCCTACTCAACATACCAATACCACTCATGATCCTCATAAACCTCTCATTCCTCCCCTATCAAGAGTACTTTTCACCTCTTGGTTACTCGGTTTAACCTTCGCTTTCACACAAACTTCTTTGGTATACGCATTCAGAGTCATGACCTGTGAAGAGTATTACAAAACCCATTCATGGACCGGTGCAGGGGATAGATGTGCTTTACCTATTATAGAAGCTAGAGCAGCTAGGAGTTTAGCTATCATGTCTACTACTACCACGACTTGTAGTGAGTCTCATTACTACCTTTTCTTAATTCATTCCTAATTCTTCGTCATACACAAACACATCAGATGATCTACTCAATTTCGGATTTCCCCAAGGCTTTCGATATCGTCCATCTGTCAGAGTTACTCTGGGGTAATTCGCCAGCTGTGATACCTACCAAGATATTGTGATGTCTGGGAAATGATAGGCCGAATCATCAGGGTTTACTATCACATTGTAGATGGGAAAAAAGGGTGCTGAAACATTATAGCAATCATAAACCTATTTCTCACCGGTTTCTGGATCAAAAAATTCGGGCCAAAAGCAGCAATGTTCCAACAAACAGCTTGGGCAGCTTTGAGGAACTTAACTCAAATATACGCTCAATCAATAGGAGGATCCACAGGTGTAATGTTTATACAATTATCACAAACCTTCAATTTGATAGGTTCTTCAGGAGGTTATCAACTCGCTGGTAATGCTTTCATAGCTCATTTAGCTTTGGCGGAAGAACGTACTAAATTATTTGGTGTACTTCAGGGTTGTATATTGTTAGGAAGTTCAGTTGGGTATATAAGTGAGTTATAACCATTTCTCTTTCCTTACTATTTCTCTTTACATTTCATCATTATCTCTTCCCATGATTCGTCTCAAGTCCATTTTACTCGTCTGAGAGGTAAAGCTCACTAGTTACTCATGGTCTGATCGATCTTGCTCACCGTCCCCTACCATATCTTCCTTGTTTACCTCGGTATAGTATATGACATCAGAAATCTACCTGCTCATAATGAATTTCACCATACGCCTCTACCTGTTCATTGAGAGGATACTTTCGCTCGTTTGTTCGCAAGTCAAGAGAAAGAACATAATCTGACTACCAGTCGGTGGAACAGTCTACCGTTATTTTGGTCAATTAGCCCCATTTCAAGTAACTTTTTGTCTTTTAGTATTCTGTACCATCTTCGGTCGTTTCTTCCTCCCTTATGTCAGTCCTGATGGTAATCATCATCCCTCCTCTGTCCAGGCATTAGAAAAGAAGAAAAGATCTTTCCTCGCTCCTCTCGCCTTGTTCCTTCCTCGACGCAAGATGATCGATGGGAAGAAACGCTGGGATATCAACTTGACCCTGTTGGGATTAGGAGGATTCTTTTCAGTCTTGGCAACTGGTTATGTACCTATGGCTCTTCAATTGGTAGGAACGAACGCATTTGGTTTTTTACCCGATCAATCGGGTGTGATGTTGGTGAGTGGCTTCATTTTCAACCATCTTTAAATTTGAATCCTACTCATTTTATTCCCCTCAAATCGTTTCTTTTAGTCCATCCTTCCTTACATTCGATGATTTGATGGAGTGACAGTGTCAAACACAATGATCACTCTTCTCTGAGAAGGGTGCAAGAAACATGGTAAAGTAAAAATAATGGCTCAAGACGGCAGAGTGGAGAAATACTCATCTCAGTCTCTCACACTTCTCGTCAAAGCATTCTTCCTATCACTTTGTTTTCCCAGAATCATCGCCTTAGGTCGAGCTTATTTCTCACCATCTCATCAACTTCTCCCTCCTCCAGAGAGATCATCAGACGACAGACCTGATTCTCCTCTCGAAGCAGAAGAACCAACTGTCACCTTCGCTCCTCAAGTAGACACCGCTAAAACTCCCACCGATAGAGCCCACGGAGCAGAGTTCGATCTTCATTTCCTTCGATGGAGTATCTTTTCAGATGGTTGTCTCACAGCTTGTGTTACAGCCAGTACACAAGGATGGCATCTTTTCCTCGCTGCTGCCGTTTTACCTTTTGCAAGTGGGACAGGTTCAGCCATCAAAGGTGTTACATTAGATTTCGTTGCTCCGGAAGAAAGATCAGATGCTTTAGGTGCTATTGCTTTGATCGAAAAGTTAGCCACGGTCTCGACTATCGGAGTATTTGGAACGGTTTTCGGTGCTCTTAGTGAAGTTGGAAGACCTACTTTGGTATTTGCTGCCAATGCGGTGAGTAATCGCAATCATTCAACATTGTGGCGTACACAGAAAAGGGAGATGCAGACATCTGAGAGGGAAGAGAATGGAGCTGATGATATAGGCCGTTGCGATGATCGCTTTTTTGTTACTGATGTTTGTAAGATTTCCCAAAGAAACGCCTATCGCCTTGGCTTGATGTCGGAAATGAAATAGAAAGAATAGATATGTTGGTTGACGAGGTGTATCTCGAATGATCTTGGTAAACTTGCATTTGTGAGACGGTCGAGTTTGTCAGAAATCGAAGGGTTGTAAACTTTGTAGAGTTTTTAGGGTTCTCACACAATGATCACATGACATTGGCATCAGATAGAGTGTAGAAAACAATGTCATCCGCTATGAAATCAACCGACCAAAATATTCCTGATAACGTCGCATCAGTCCAATCGCAGCTGTATCCCTATCCGAAGCCATCCGTCCGCACCACAGAGACAAGCTGCCAGCCATGCTAATTCAGCATCGGGAGGTAATTGAACGCCTTGGCAGATGGGGACTGCCATGGTATAAGGATTCGCGCCAGGAGGAAAGAGGAGAGAAAGATGTTGTCTCAGCATACCAATGACGGTCTGAGGTTTCCCTATATGTCAGTCGTACCCGTACTCTCTTCACATTCTCAAGACTCCTGTGACCCTTCACTCGTCCATTCGTGCACACGGCTTTGTGCTCACACCGAGCAACAATGCGAATGCCCATGGCAAAAGGATCAGTGAAGGAACAAACGGATGACTCACCATCTGAAAGCAACGGGGGTATCACCTCTTGTATGACAGGAGCATTATCGGGCAGATACAATTTGATAGGTAAGGCCCGAGCGGAGTAGGATGATTCTGCCTTTGGAGCACCTGATGGGTCTGTGGAAGGAGGTCGAGAGCCTGGTGGAAGGGATGTGGTGGCGGGAGGAATGGGCAAGGGAAGGATACGACTTGATATTCTCAAATACAAGTCAAAATCGTCTAGTCTTGTCAGCTCAGTGAGTCGAATCCAACTGGACGTTGTCTGTCATAACCGTCACAAAATTGGCAGGCTATATCTAATGATCGCGGAGAGGAGCCGACGCATAGAAGAACGAAACGAAGGAGTTGGACACGAAAGCAGGAGGCAAACTAACCCTGAACAAGCCCATCCCACCCCGCTTCAAGGTCTGCTCGACGTAGTGATGTCACCTTGTTCGTATTCCGCCACCGAACAAAGTCTCCCTCTTTCAGCTGGTTGATGTATTGTAACTTGCATTCTTCGACATCGTTTGATATGATCAGTTTATCTGTTGGTGGTGCGGAGAGATGTAGCAGAAGTCGTAGGGGTCGTGGGTGAATAAGGGAGGATTTTGATGATGAGGACGTCGAAGGTAGTGTAGGGTCAACAGGACGAGAGATAGTGGAGACTAGGTCGTGTAGGTCTATTGGCCAGTGCCTGTGGGTCAGCTCGACATCCAAGGAGAAACCCTACTGTAGAAGACCGTTCATGAGAGACGGGTACGGAGTCATCAATTACGGTTGGAAGCAACTCAGGGAGGCGAGAGGGACAGAAGACAGTAGTCCCAGTCTAAGATAGGAAGTAGAAAAAACCTACCACTTGCAAGCCCCTTGACCCGCAAATCCACCATCTTGTGGTTCTTCCTCGAACCACCAATCCTTCTCATCTGTCGCCGCCAACTGCTCATCGTCCAATGCCAACTCGACGAGGTTCTCTCGAATCTCAGGGATGAGCAAAGAGAGATATGTATATCTAGGTGCATGCATCTAAAAGTCAGTCACATTTCGAGCCTTTTCCCACAACTGACATAGTATCTGTCTACACGCCCGCCTGCGCCGGGTTCGCCATCTGCCAGTCGGATGTCTAAAAGGACGGTAGATTTCCAAGTGAGTTGACGAAAAAGGGAAGTGGACGAATGAGCGGGGTTAGACGATGTCATATTCCTCTTGATCTCTGTCGCATGGAGCTTGTTCACTGTTCTGAGATGATTGATACTTGACGACTTGAGTCGAAGTCAAGTACAGTACATAGAATGGACGGAATAGGCGCATTCTGATATGTGGTCGAGCTGTGATCCTGTGACGCGGTTCCTCCAAGCCTAAAATGTCATTGAAGCGTGCGCGCCTATATCTTTAGGCGGCACTCGCCGTTCCGAACTCGGTTACTGGTAGTGTTCCTGAAGCAGAACAAAGTTCAAGGTCTTTCCCATTTCGTCTCCCTCTCCAGCAAAAAGATAATCCTTCTTTCCTCTTCCTCTCTCTCCCCTTACCCCTCTGCTTCGATCTCCCTATTCCCCTCTCCCGTTCCCCCTCTGCAAGCCAACGACTGGTCAAACGCCTCTTTGCGGAGTCGAGCTCGTCTCAGGGAATCGAACAATGCCCGGTGTCGTGCCTGTTTGCCAACTAGGAACTGATAGACTTCAACGCAGCATGCAAGCAGGTTGCTCTCCTCGTCGAGTTCGTCGGCCTGCATCGAGGTTTAGTGGGAGTGGTTGGAAAGGTTCTCACAGATTGGTCTGTACCACATAACCTTTTGACATCTATCTCCAACAATTCTCATCACTCGCCACTATCCTGGAAACTTACCATTGGAGGTGAAAGTATCAAGAAAACATGACGACTCAACCTACTGGCTCACTTTTCGCATCCGATTACACTCTCACAGTCCCATCCTCCCCAATTCCAGCACGTCGTCCCCAGCTTCATCCGAGCTCTTCATCTAAAGTCGGTCTTCCTACCCCTTCACCAGAACGAAAAGGACTCGATGTTGTTTTTCACGCCGATGGTTTGGCTTTGTCGCCGGGAACGAAACATCTGACGGCGTCGTTACACTCAAGTCACTCAGGACATTCTAGTCATGTGGGGCTCATCACTCCTCCTATTTCCCCAATGAGTGAGATGCCTCCTCTCTCACCGGGAGCAATCTATTCTGGGCATTCCCCTCGACACTACTTCCCATCCCAGCTGAGTCACTTGAGGGAGGAGGAGAATCTTGAGGAGGAAGAATCGGACCACTCAAGGGATGGAGAGGTCGATCCTCTGGATGTAGAGTGGGCAGGCCCGTCGAAGGGGTCAAAGATCTCGGGGGATAAGTACAAGGACTATGATTCGTGCATGGAAGGTGAGTACATGCATTCCTTCCGTGCCAAGATACGCAGCGTAGAATGGCTCGAAGAATGTCATTGACGCTCAGGTGCCTTCGGTCACGCAGTCAAAGCCTCCACTTACTCCGTCGGCAGCGACAAGGCCCATCATCATCTCTCACGAGCTGACGAGCTATTCGTCCGTGGTCTTCATTTACAACCGATGGCTCCTCGAGCAATGCTGGGGCGAGCAAACCTTCTTATGAAGCTGGCGCAAGATTATCAACCTCCACGATTATCTATTGTCTCATTTCAAGAAGCCGTTGCTCTGTTACGCGAGTTGACCAATCGTCTTGCTCCTCGCTCCATCGTCGCTCGAGAATCCTTGGCTCAGTGTTGCGCTCTCCTCAGTATCACCTTGCAAGAGGTCGACGATGCAGCCGACGATGAGCAGAAGCTCTGGGATGGACATGTGGGTCAGTTGGCGCGAGAGGCCTTACAAGCCATGGAAGACGTCGCAGCGGATCGAATGGACCGTGTACGTGATATGGGTCAAAAAGAAGCCACAGAGGCTTCTCCCTGTATGGCGGAAATGTTTCTCGCTCTCTCCACCGCCGCTATTCGAGTATCTTCTTTCTCCCCCGATCTCAGTAATGTGGACCTACATGTCGAACTATCCGAGAAAGCCTTGGATCAAGCGAGCAACATGGCTACTGTCGCTTCTTCCTCTCGCGTTTTAAGCTCCTCAGCTACTACTTCCCTCGTCACCCGTGTCCAACTAGCCTCGGGTCGATCTTCTTTGGAACGGGTACGACACACTTTCGTGCTCGGGGTCGATCTGGACGAAGACGACTTCCGTTCTCTCATGGCGGACATGTCGATGCTTGCGACGGAATGTCGAGAAAGGGCAGCGAAACATAAAGGGTATAAAGCTGCAGCTGCCGCCACCCTGGCGTGGGAGGCTGTCCAACAGTATGCGGATGCCAAAGTACTCTACGCCTCTTTGTTGAGGATGGTTTGGCGTAAACGTCGTCCCAGGCGTAATATCAATGGAGATCGATCCGGAAGGACGAGTCTGAGTAGTGCGGGAACCTCATCGGGAAGGAAACATTCTGGACGGAGCGAAACGATACATGAAGAAGATGAAGAGGGAGAAGCTCAGGGGTCTGTAAGTTCGCAGGGATCTCGCAAAAGTTCGAAAGCCCCACAATTGGGCAGTATATCTGAAAATCGTCGACAATCCATTTCGTCCAATGGTTCACGTCTTTCCACCGGAACACCAAGAAAGACCTCTGGTCTTGATGTCATCCCTCAACGAGAACCATTGACAAGTTTTTCTCCGAAAGCATCCCGACTCGCTAGTGGATCTTTCTCCCTTCCTCCTTCAGGACGTAGAGAATCTTGGTTACCCACAGGAACTAGTGAACAAAACGGGAGACTCAGACGACAATCATCGATGTCCAGTCCACTTGTAGGACCTGACGGCGTCACTGCATGGTCACGAAAAGCTTCGGTCATTTCCCTCGTCAGTGATGATGAGGCACAAGGACTTGTCTCTTCTTTGGAACTCGCTCAGACTTGTTGGGAACTATTGGACGGTGCGGTGAAACAATACAAAATATGTTTGACTCTCCTGGGAACTTCTGATCTCCCTTCGGCACATTTAGCAAAAGCACGAACGGATACACTTACCGCTATTGCCTATTGCTCAATGTTTCAAGCTTCCCTCTCTGGAAGATTAGCCGTCGCGGCGGAAAAACATACATCTTTGCTCGTCACCGCTGAAGTGTACGCCACTTGGGCAGCGAGAGAGGTCGGTTGGTCTTTCCTCGTTGAAGGCACTCAAGAGGCGGCTTTGGCAGATAGACGGACAAATTCCTGGCGAGCGGATGAGGCGGGAAAAAGGGCGGTCATGTTGCTGGTCAGGGTTTGGTGGCATAGGGCGGTGACGACGGAAAGCATGGATGTGGAGACTAAAGGAGCGGCGAAGAACGCAGTGGAGAGAGTGGTCAAGAGGATGAAAGAAAGGGAGGGAGTGAAAGATGGGGATGTGGTGAGGTTTAAAAGTTGGTTGATTAGATTAGAAGGTGAATTGGACGCTGCGGAGTTGTTGTTCTGGAAAAGTGTCAGTAGGATCTTGAGAGGTGGACCAGGGTTTGTCATGTCTTGATATCTTCTAGCTTGTAAATTAGCCAATCGTCTTTTTCCGCCGTGCAATTCTGCTTGGTGTATGTATCATTGATGCCTGGTCCGTTTCATCTGCAAGTGTGGTCAATCAAATTTACAGTCGTAAGGATGATTTAGTGAGATAAGTCTTTGAGACGGAGTCGATGACGAGGGCAAGTAGCAGCTCGAAGAAAAGATGCTACATATAAATTTATGGACCAGCTTGTTGCATTTGTTCTATCTATCAGTACTTTTCCATGAAAAAGAAACCGAGAAACTGACCAGCGTTGTACTCTGAAAACCGGGCTCCGACACGTTCGGAATGCTTGAGGAATTTATCCGTACAATTTTGAACGCAAGTTATCTGTGATGAGTAGCAGTTCTGTTATATCTTTCGAAACCAACATCACCTCCCCACTTCTCACATTTTCAGTATATTACGACGAGTCTAAAATCCTCCGGGTGAGCGAATTTGAAGAAATGAGAAGGATATCTTGGAAGACTTGAAGGACCGAAGTAGAGTATATGTATAGTGATAGGGAGGACGAAACTCACTTCGTTCCCCGTTAATGACTTTGAAGTGAAATCATTCACACATGTCATAAAACATCTCTCCATTAAACCAGAGTATAATTTCATAAAATCTTGCATCTGAATCTTAGCATTTCTCCATCGTCAGGTATATCACCCCAAGTGGAAAAACCAGTCATGTCGATCCAGAACAATCACCATGTTTGAGTTCGAGTCATTTTCAACTCAAGCACGTATCATATATGGCTCGATGATCACAGAGTGAATGGGAGAATTAGTCTAGTAGATGTATGCAGAAAGATAAAAGGGAGGGAAAATTATCGGAAGAGTGACGTACCTGTTTCTTCTCCAAAACTTTTGTCATATGAGCCTGCTCGGCACCGTTAAAGTTTGAAAAGTCCATTTTGTCGTATGACCCTTTTGCACTACTGTATCCGACCTGGTCAATTAAGGATCAAGATGAAATTCTGAAGGTTTTACGGATTTAGGGGGGACGGAAGAAAGAGATGAGTTGAAAAAGTGGATGTAGAGAATGAAGTGAGGTAAGATTAACCTCGTTGAAAAGAGGAAATTCTAGGTTTCAAGGAAGGAAAATTCACACAAAATTCAACACTTCAACGAATACTAGTAGTACTTCAACTCCCACGTCATTCATCTCCCTTTCTCACCTCTCATATCCCTGATATTTCTCACTACCGATCTAACCTTAACTATCAAGGTACAAGAACATACAACACGTAGTGGTTTCGTGATGCCGCCCAGACGCTCAAAGAAAATCGTCGAATCACCTTCCCCTTCGATACCGGATGATGATGAAGTGGAAGAGGATGCTGGGAGTGATGCCGAAGGTGAATCTTACGAATCCGAGGAAGAAGGTGTGGGTAGGGGACAATCAGGATGTGAGTCGGCGCCTCTCTCTCCCCATTCTTCTTCTGGTCCAAATCAACACTTATAATCACCTCCTCGAAATGATGTCATGTCTCTCCGTGTCATGTCTAATTGGGACCCGTGCAAATTGATGTGCATGACGCTCGATGTCAAGTGTATGGAGGATCAAATTATGATAACGATGAATCTAATGAACAGTATCAAGTGTGATAGCTAGTGAAGATATGGATATCGACGCTGAAGGTGAAGATGAAGAACCTAACAGTGCCGATGTCAGTCGAGTTGGTAGCGGGAGTGGGAGTGGGAGTGCAGAAGGGAGTACATCAACATCTCGTGAAAGACAACCAAGTCCAATCAAGATCACCTTACGTGTAAGCCAAAGTAAAGAAGTTGATACAGGAGGAAAACGACCCTCAAGGGCAGCAGCGAAAAAGGGGGCGAAAAGAACTAAGAGAGCAACTATGGAGATTGAAGCTGGTACGTTGAGATCTTTCATTGTTGTCTCTCCCTTCCCTATCATATCACATGTCCTTACTTCTCACATACGGGTAATCCGGCCAATTCCCAAGAAAGATGCCTATCTTACATCACCATCATCCCTATTGTCTTCTCCCTGGAATGCGGAGAGATACATCGATAATGGACCTTCTCCCAAGGACTATCTATCCCGTGTAGAGTTCGTTCATCTAGGAGATGGTACATGAAAGGACGATCATGTTTTCGCTAACTAAAAGCAAGTGACGATGGTTTAGAAGATGAAGTGGATATGATAGCAACTCCAGAAGTTGACGAAATGGACGATACGATGGAAGATGAGAACGAAAGTTTTCAATCTGTTTCTCCTTCAAAACTCACCGCGAGACAAAGAGCGAAACATGATAAAGGTTTACGAGAAACTTTATTAGAACTTCCAAATGGTGAGTTCTTTTCTACCCATGGTGATGCGCAATCATGTGAAAAGTGTTTGACCTTCAGATCCAGGGAAGAATAAATTAATTTTGACTGAAGCTGAAAAACAACTTCGGAGAGAAGAAACGGCCAGAAGGAGGAAGAGACAAAGTGAGCAAAAAAGACAAGATGAACAGGTGAGTTCGGATGTCTTCCTTTCGAAAACTATATGACTAGCTTTGCTCTGTTATATACCCCCATCATGTCTTCTCCGTCAATAGAAAACAGAAAACGTCTACGTTCTCTGGGTGTTGATAGCAAGTATGATGGTGATGTTTCAAAAGCTGGATATGGAGGGTGTGAAAAGATATGAGAAGATGAGAGGGATCTTGCTGACAATCAGGACCAAACGATTAATCGCCTACTCCGTGCCCAAACCTCTAAATCGAGAAATAAACTCGAAGATCCTCTCGACGGTTCCCCTGCTCCCGGTACAAACTCCGCTTCTGTCGCCCGTCGTCTAATGCCCGCCTCCAATGATATGATCCGCTTCACGTCCAAATTGATAGATGGTAAATTGGTTCAGACGGTCAGTGCTCCAAAAGGAAAAGAAACATGGATCGATCTTCTCCCTCCCTCCTTCACCAACCATGACAGAGCCGAGGATGTATCTGCTACGCCGAAGAGGAACATACTTGACGCTCAATGTGGGGTAAAAGGATGCAAGGCGAAAAGAAAGTACAGAAGTGTAAAAGCTTTCGAGGTCGGTGCTTGTTGTATGGAACATCTGAAAATGGTCAATGCCGGGTTAGAGAACGCTACATAGTTCTCAGTTGTATAGCATCGTCAACGAGTCTCATATGCATGTGCTATTCATATCCGTATCAGTGGATGAGTGTGCTTCACAAAAGGTCAGCTTAGAAGCAGGATACTCCCGTAGCCGCCACGATACGGACGATCCGTTTCAAGCAACACAAATTAGAAGTCGATTCTCAAAAAAGCCTGTCGATCATTCACTGCATGTCATACACAATGCTATCTTTCCTCCTAAGCAGTCTTCTCCGCAGCAGCAGCCTTCGTAGCCATGGCAGCAGCGACGGTGGGGTTGATACGTTTTCCATCACGAAAGACTTGACGAGGAGGGGGAAGACGATTCTTGCGAGAGTTGATGGCACCTGGTTTGTCGGAACGGACTCGGACGACTGTGGGTCAGTGACTGAACCTGCCTTCCCTCAATCAGGCCATTCGAGCCCTTGTCCAAGATCATCCTCCACCGTCTCCATCTTCCTGTGGTAGACTGAACACGTCTGACCAGATCAAAGCACGAATCACTTACTCTTCGCGTGGATAGCGCACGAAACGCAGTAACAAAGTCGGAGGTATAACTTCGGCAAGGCGTATTCTTGGTAAACGGATGCCTCGGACATGTCACGGATAGCAGCGGCTTCAACCAAGTTCTTTACTGAGTTACGTTTGATAGCTTTGTCCTGGACAGTTAACACATACTTATCACAGACAATCAAGCTGGTATACCTGCCCGGATCAATCTTGAGAGTAGCTGTATGGCGACGAAGGATTAAGAAAGGAGTCGACGCTTCTTCCATAGCGACTCAATTGTCGAACCACACTACAAGGGCCGGGAAGTGCAAATTCTTGATGAGGATGGTCATGGGTGGTTATGTGTGTAGACGACAAGCGGGAGATGAGGTCAGAGAACAGACAACATCGACCTACCTTTGGCACACAACGAGAACAGTTGGAGCATCGTACAAAGTTTACGTGTCCACGACCTTTCTTGTTCCTCCCGTTGTTTCTACGTTTCTTCGTCATCTTGAACTACGATATCAGCGATGGTCACGTTCCTCTACTGATTCCGGGGCCTTCACAGGAGATTGAGAATGTACCGCGGCAGTTATGGAGACTTAAGTGGACGATCTGGAAGGTAGGGAAGAGCTCGAACTGACCTATGCTGTCGAGATGAGTGACTGGCAGCTTGAAAGTGACGCTGAGGCGTGAAGGGGAAGGCGGGGAAAGAGGAATCGCCGGTTCCCCCGACATGTGGCATTCCGTCGGCGTTAAGCACTAACCTTATCGCCGCGTCATGCGTGAGTTGGGTCGGTCAGTCTTAGGATCAACGGTCCACGTTACGTTTCTTCACAGCGAGAAGAATATGTACTAAACCGTCATACATGTCATATCGATACATCATGGATATGGCTACCGCCCAAATAATATCATATTTACTCGTTTCTACTACGCTCTCTTCCTAGAGGCGAACTTAATCTCCCAGCATCTGACCCTCGCCGGGCCAATAGTGAATATCCCCTTCCTCCTCCTCTTCCCACTCCCGTCTACGCTGGGGTCTGACGCTACTCTGCACGCCAGACTGAATGAGTCTGTCCATCATATCCGGACCTACTGCCATGACGGTGGAATGCGGAGGCTTCGGCCGCATGTTATCATTCCTAGGGCGTTGCTCGCGAGTATCATACTCGGGGTTGTCGTCGCGTGGTCGCACTCGGTTGTTCCCGCCGGTAACTTCGTCCACAGGGAATTGACCAGGTATATCGTCGAGAGATGTGTTAGTGTTGGATGATGCATTGGACGTGATGGTGTCGCGAGAGGTAGTCGTAGGTATCACTGGTAGTCAGCGTCATCCCAATGCGCATATATCCGACCGATCACCTGACCTTGCCCAGCATTGGAACCCGATCTCTCAATTTCGTCAGCAGAGCGATATCCTTCTACGCCAGCATGGCCTTCTTCAAGCTCCTCACCCGAGTCCTTTACACTCTGCGCCAACTCCCGTTTTCGTCTCACGGCCTCACGTGCTTCCGCCGCCCTCGCCTCTTCCTCCCTCATGGCCTCATCCGCTTCCACTTTGGCATGAGCAGCAGTACGTAGCTCTCGTAATTGTCTCTCTCGGACCTGACGAGCGCGAGCTTCCTCACGATCATTGTCGATCTCAGCTAACGCTCGGGCTTTACGGATCTCAGCTTCATTCTTCGCAGCTTGCTTGGAGGCGAGTTGTTGATTGAGACGATCTTGAACCACGGCGAGCTGATGTCAGATATTCAATCTCTTTTTTGTACATTATACAAACTATTCCAAGCTTCCTGATGTAGGAACTTCAGTGAGGGGGAAGGGACGAAGAGAAAGTATAGCTCACATGTTCAGTCAGAGCTTCCGTGCCAATCCTCAGTTCATGCATTCTCCTTCGAGTTGGCTGAACGACATAATGAGCCTCAAAATTTTCTTTCTGAACTCTGAATCCAAGCTGTTTGTTAGAGTCGGTTCTTCAGAGACACAAGGAATGATACTGACAGCGATGAGAAATTCATGACCCCCAGCACAAGCCAAGACCGAGTTTTTGAGCATCGAATTGGTAGCCCGAATAGTTCGATACTTTGGCTCGTTTTCATTTTGTAGAATATTGGTAGTGATCTTGACAAGAGTCTATAGGTCAGAGCCGCTCATCCCTGCCACACCACATCTCTGTCAGCCTCTTGGCCTTCGCCGGCGTAAACGCCATTGAAAAGGGTTGTGAATAGCTCGAAGCTCACCTCTACGCACTGAGCACACCGCTCATAAGTGTTATCCCTCACGATACCTCTATCCAGTAACCGAACGAATTTGATCTTCGTATCTCTGTCCTCCTTCTCGGAAGGAGGCTCCCATTTCTCCTCGACCACAGGCGGTGGTTCCGTACCTGGGTTCGGTAGCCCTTTCAGCCGAGCTTCAGCGGCGAGAAGTGCAGCTGGGCGTGACATCTGAGCGGCTGGAGTTGAAGAAGGCTTGGAAGCCATGTCAGACGTGTACGAATACAGTGGCGACAGATGGAGTACCTAACAGAGGTGGCAGAGACGGCAAAGCGATTTGGGTGTGTAGATGACGTGTGTATCGAGCCACGTGGATTGAACATCTTTCGTTCTACTTGGCCGCCTCCCGACTCTTTCCCTCGTTCCACCTAGCTGCACACCGCACATCATTGCAGGTCGAATCTCGACACCGATCTGTTAATAATCTTCTCCGACGTACTTACTACTACTAATGCTGCACGACTCTAGTGGTACTCTCACTGAGACCAAGAGCTCACACACTCGAAATCTGACTTCAGCCGGATAGATATTCTTCCGGTCAGTCGGGCCGATACTTCCGATCGATCCGTGCTCACTTCTGAATTCCAAACGCCAAGGCACATCTCCAGTTGCTCTGTCTATATTCATGTTCATATAAAACACCCAACCACTATAACTGCTCAAAGGAGCGAACCTCAAGACCTGGACATCTTATTATGTCGTCCGCTCCCCTCTTTCTAGGACTCGACTCGTCCACACAATCGCTCAAAGCTTCTCTGTTGAGCACCGACCTCGACGTTCTAGCGGAGCATGCAGTACATTTCGATACTGATCTTCCGGAGTATCAAACCTCCAACGGGGTCAGTTATGGTCCTGATGGAAGTGGAGAGGTGAACAGTCCTGTCATGATGGTTGTGCAAGCTCTGGATTTGCTTTTCGACCGAATGAAGGATGCTGGATGGGAGCTGGACAGAGTGAGGGGTATATCTGCTGCTGGACAGGTATGTGACGTATCTTTACCTTGTTTAAATTGTTGTGAAAAGCTTGAACGTTCCTGATTTTCAGCAACACGCATCAGTGTATTGGAGTCATGAAGCTCCCACAATACTCTCTTCGTTAGATCCCAAGAAGACTTTACATTCCCAATTGTCCGGTGCCTTCTCCCGTTCTGTGATACCAAACTGGCAAGATTCTTCCACTTCTGAAGACTGTCAAGCTATCGAATCTTCTCTTGGTGGTCCGGAGGTAGTGGCCAAAATCACGGGTTCGAGGGCATACGAACGTTTCACAGGTCCTCAAATACGACGATTCAAACGTTTGGATCCAAATGGATATGGTGCCACATCACGTGTATCACTCGTATCGTCTTTCATTACCACCCTCATGTGTGCGGACGGAGAGATCAAGGGGATCGACGAGTCTGACGCGTGCGGAATGAATTTATGGGCGATGAATGGTTCTGATCGAGGGTGGGACAAACGATGTCTTCAAGCTGTCGTAGGATCAGAGGATGAGGAAGAAGTGAAAGAGCTTGAGAGGAAGCTTGGGAGGGTGGAAACGGACGGTGGAAAGGTAGTGGGGAAGCTCGGGAAATGGTTTCAGGAGAGATATACGATGAGTGGTGTTTGTTGTGTTTTTCCTGGTACGGGGGATAATCCAGCGACTTTTTTAAGTTTGACCCGTGAGTGTTTTTCTTCTCTTGTGCACCTTGATTTTCCCTCAACTCAGCATCGACGGAATACCCCCGAGTGTCTGTGCTTCTATGCCATAGTCGGACGTATCGGGTGGAGTACCGCTGGCTTAGAAATTAGACGTTCCGATCACTGATGAGTAGTCAAGGAAAGAGAAGGAATGATTTCACTCGGAACATCAGACGTTTTGCTTGTGTCAGTAGGGCAATATCTTCCAAATCTGGAATACCATTCTTTCTTCCATCCAGCCCAGATCGCTCCTCCTTCAAGCCAGGATGAAGACAAAGAGCGAACTCACGAAGGATTACGATATTTCAACATGTTGGTGTATAAGAGTATGTTTCTCAATCTTTCCTCAACTGCCAACCTCTTGTATGTCTCTCTTCGGCTCTCGCATGCTATATATGCAGAACCCTATGGGGGCGGACGAGAAGCCATGACAGTGGAGTCAAGATGATACTGACAATGAGATGGTTCATTACCTCGATCTCATATTCGAGACGATTACTTTGATGGATCTTGGGATAAGTTCAATATCGCCGTGGAGAAACACCGTCTAAAGTTGGGAGATGGAATGGAACGAATGGGTTTTTGGTGGTTGTTACCTGATATCATCGTAGGTGTCTTCCCCCTCTTGTCTGCTCCTCGTCGAACTCTGTACCTCTCCATCCGTTCGTCGCTCCTACTCCTTCCGGGACCTGATCGTCGAGTTGAGTCCATCACCGCCCGTGAATAGATGTGAGAAGCTCCATGAGATTAACCCAACGTCAAGGGTGAGCACTCACTCTCAGCCCTCTGGAGCCCATGGGACGTACAAATATCAAGGTCAATCTGGTGATTTACAACTAGTCGAAGAATTTTCCGATCCATCCGTTAACGCAATAACTATCCTCCATTCTCAATTTTTGAACTATCGTTCTCGTTCTTCCGCTTTTCTCACTTCTTCATCTTCACCTACTCCTTCCCCTTCAACATCCCCACCATCTTCCCCGTTCCCACCCAGACGAGGGATCTTCGCCTCATTCAAGAATCAAACCACTCCTAGACCTACTCAGTCATCAACACATATCCTAGAGGAAGGGGATAACAAGATGAAATCGAATGTTGGTATACCGCATTTATCGAGAGTTTACGCAACGGGAGGAGCAGCAGCCAATTCCACACTTCTCTCCGTACTCTCCGACGTACTCCACGCTCCTATCTGCAAAAACGTAGAGTTTTCACCTACTTCCGGATGGACGTCCAGTAACTGGAACGCCTGTAGTGTGGGTGCGGCTTACAAGGCGAAATGGGGTTGGGAACGTCATGTAGGTGTGGGTGAACGTCAAAATGTAGGATTCGACCAAGTGGTTCGGGAAGCTAGGATGGCGAGAAGGGTGACGAGGTTAGGTCCGGAAGGTAGGGAGGGATGGGAGGAAGAGGGGATCACAATGGTTGTTGGACCTGATCCGGAGAGGGCGGAGGTGTATGAAAGTTGGGTGGATGATTGGAAGGAGTTGGAAAGAAAATCTATGAGGAGTGTGGGAGTCGAAGGTTCTGAAAGTATCTAAGCAATGCACACAAGGGTATTTAAAGTGAATATACATGTTGTCAGTGATATGCAGATGTTTAAGAAGCATCATTTTTAGGGCGCAGTATCTTATTGCTCGGGCGTATTCGTCAAGATCAGAGTCAAGATCTTTTGCACGGTGAAGAGTGAAGGGTAATGCATGGACACACCCAAAGTAAACCTACATCATCTAATATTCACTCATACCCAATCACTGTCCGAGCCACCAGAGCGATCCCCTCCTCGACTACCACCTCGTTTGAATCCGCCCGCATCCCCTTCACCACCTCCACCTCTGTACCCACCAGCACCACCTCCTCGTCCGTACCCACCGACATCATCTCCTCGTCCGAATCCACCGGCATCTCCTCGTCCAAATCCACCTCCACTGCTTCCACCACTAGCTCCAAAACCTCTTCTACTTCCATACCCACCTTCCCCACCGGCGTTGTATCCTCCGCCTCGACTTCCGTACCCACCACTCCGACCACCTATATCTCCCTGATCCTCACCACCATATCCACCACGGCGAACACCAAAGCTACTGCCACCACCACGACCCCCACCGCCACCGCCACCACCGAATCTCCCACCACGACCACCGCGGCCGCCACCCCTACCAATACCTAATTTACTCAGGAAATCACTTGACAAGTGAGGAGGTTCGGCTAGACCCATAGCCCCGACTGACCATTCTTTCAACTCCTCCAGTATGTCTTCGGGAGAAAGACCGAGCTCTCTAGTTCGACCAACGTAGAAACCCAATTGTGCGGTGAAGACTTCTTCCAAAGCAGTAGGATCCAAAGATGGGAAAAGCTGTTGAACAGCATTGGGGAGAGCGGCGACTTTTTCTGCCATACTTCTCGAATTTGCCAATCGTTGATTTTCCTCCTCGAGATCCTTGACCGTTTGCGTCTTCAATGGCACTTGATGAAGTTCACGAAGGAAACCTTGTTCCCATGGCATGAGGATGATATCTCCCCTACCGCCCTCTGCCTGAGCTCGACCTGTTCTTCCAACTCTGTGAATGTACTGTTCACCCGATGAAGGAACGCCGACCTGAATGACACGCGTTACACCGGGATAGTCAACACCTCGGGCTGAGACATCAGAAGTGACCAGAATCGAAGGACCCTTGTCGTTACGGAACCTTTCTGAAGTGCGAGATCGACGATCTTGGGATAAACCGGAATGAATTTCACTGACGAAAGGTCGCACTGGGAGACTGTTCGCTAATTCACGCAAAAGAGTGCTAAATAACATGGTCATTTTGGTAGTGGGGAGGAAGACGATTATTTTGGAAGAAGTGGTGGTGTTGATCAGTTGATCATGTGCGATCAGTCGTAGAACTTGTGGTAGTTGCTCAGCGGCCGAGGGAAGAACGTTGGCATATTGGGGAATGTGATGATGCACGTTGCTTTCGTTTGCTGGGACACAATCGATAAAGTGATGATTCGGTTTGAGGAACTCTTTGGCAATACCTCGAATTTCTTTACTGACAGTGGCGCTGAAAAGGAAAGTTTGACGATCTTGAGGTAAGCTTTCGACTATTGATTTCAATTCCCTAGCGAAACCCATATCCAGAAGAGTGTCCGCTTCATCGAGAATGAGAGTGGCAGTCTTCTCGATGGAATCTCTGACTTGTGCATTTGTTTCGATCAAGTCGTTGAGTCGACCTGGGGTAGCAACGACGATATCGCGACCTTTCCTGAAAGCTTTCAATTGGTCCCGTTTCGATTCGCCACCGGTCAAGAGAACGACTTCGATGGAACGATGCCAGTGGGAGACTCTCTTAGCGTCTTTGGCAATTTGTGAAGCCAACTCTCGTGTTGGAGAGATGATGAGTACTCCGACACCTTTCGAAATCTTACTTCCTTCTCGTCCTCTCAAACTGTTGAGTCGAGCTTCAAGAGCAGGAACGAGGAATGCCTATCATCAGCGTTAGTTCCTCTCTGTTTTTCTTCTTTATCTTCCTTCCACTCCTCATGACCACCATTACGACTACCTCACTCCAAGTCACTCATATCAATTGATCCTTTTGTGGCTAACGATATGACAAGGAAGACATCCGTAGGGTACGTTTGATGGCAAGGAGGTATGGAAACGAGCCCAGTGGATCAGATCGAAGATAGATTTTAAACTCACAACAGTCTTTCCTGTTCCCGTACGAGCCTTAACCAGTAAATCACTCTGTAACCCCTCCATATCCGGTCCTGCTTCTTTAGTACCTAAAGATCTCCCAGCTAACTCAGGCATGAGACTCAAAACTCTTTGTTGTACTTCTGTCATTTGTTTAAACTCCCACGGATCGACGGTAAGAGCACGGAGAACCCTATGATCCACCTTATTCCTGAGAGATTGGAATGAAGCAGGATCATCGGACTCTGTTTGAACATCTTCTGTGGTGGTATGAGACGGATGTGGTTCGCCAGGTATGAGTTCCGATGTGTGTGAGATCGATGAAGGTGGAGGAAGGAAAGGATTAGATGTGTCTGTGGGAAGAGCTTGAGCTACTGCTGCGAATGTTCGAAGAGATTGCTCTACCGATGTCAGTTCTCAAGATCGACGGGAGAAGGAAACGAAGACTCACGATGTTGTGAGAAAAGAACGGAAGTCGAAAGAGAAGATCGGAGGAGATTACGAGTGAGGATTACTTGTTGTCTTGATACTACACGACTAAAGACAGAAGCTTTCGCTAATGCTGAACGGGGTAACATGATGAGTAGTTGAATAGTCTTAAAAAGGAAAGGTGATAGTGGTTCAAAACTTGCGTCTCCGGAAATCTCAAATGGAAATTATTATTCACGATGAACTTTTCGTTATTTATCCCAAATCTTCAGAGTGGCATGTGGCAAAGTCTAAGTACGGGATACATTCCGATCCAATATCCTCAACGCTCTATAAGTACAAGCCACAGATTCATTATCCATCCAGATTGTCCATATCGGAGTTTTCTCCTCATGATGATTATCCTGTTTCGTATCGTAGGAGATTATATATTATCTAAATGTACATCTTCGTCATTTTCTTCTTTTCTTTTAATCCATGCCTCAATTCATCTAGAAAAAGTCAGCGCTGTCTTTCATATTGAGGGATGATGACAGGATCGAGGGGCAGAAAAGGTGGAGAGGTAAGAACAAACTCACATTATTAACACGGAACGGGAGGTTGATCATTCTCAAAATCTAAACCTAATGAATCGAAATGTAAACTTCTCAGCTTGACTCCCATTGCCAAACTAGAGTATTCCTGTGTACCATGTTTTGACCCCTCTTCCATCGCCGATATTTTAGGAATATCAAGTATATTTATCTCCTCATCTGTCATTTTATTCAAAGGTGAACTACGCTGTATTGTCGCCGTTGAACCGGAAGAGCGAGTAGATCTAGGAGATGAGATGAGTTTGAACAAAGCTTCAGGTGAAGAAAACACTGAACAAGGTGTTGAAGTCCTACTCTTTGGCGAAATTGTGGTCTGTGGAGGAGAAGGAGGTATTTCCACCATGACAGGTTCTTCAGAAGGACTTGAAGGGACTGACAATGTCAAATCCAATGAAGGTGATGGTACAGGTATAGTTTCTGACATATTCCCAATCGGAGTGAGTGGAAGGGAAGAACCTCCTTCTGAAGAAGATCTAGCGGAATCCAAAGAATTCCAATGATCAGAATCTGTTCCTTCTCCTTCATGTGTCATCACACAATGATGTTCTGATTTCTCCTCCAAGGATCCAAAAGGTAAAGTTGAAATCATATCGGGAAGAGTCACATGGATCGGGAGAGTTGGTAAGGTATCAAAATCTGGGATATGTGAGAAATGTGAAAGATGTGATCTTCTTTGAATATCCTGAGAAAGTATCATTTCTAATTGATCATCTGATAAGGCTTGATTTTCGAAGGTACATTCAGGATCGGAAAATAATGGTTGTTGTAATAATGGTCCAATGGGTATGATTTCCTCTGAATTACTACTTCCAACTCCCATCATTTCCTGTAGATCAAATCCAATTGTAGAGCTACGAGAAACAGCACGAATCATTGTCGCTCTGCGAGCCTGTCGAGGTTGTTGAGATGAAGGATCATCATCAATATCTTCAAGTGATACTGATGACAATGATGAATTATCCGATGTGTCATCGTCTTCTTGAGTTGGGGTTTGGAATGGACTTTGAACAGGTTTGGTATCTATCAAGTTTGAGGATAGTATATGTCGTTTCTGTTGGGACTTTTCAACGGAAATAGGTGCTGAGAAAGAACGATCGATAAGGACGGGGGCAGAAACGTCGGGAAGAGGTACAGAGGACATTTTCTGCTTCCCCGACTTGGTTTTTGATTTGTAAATTTCAGGTAGGTCGGGAACATTGGGAATAATTGGAGGAGGGACAGAACGCTTCTTGAACGCTTGACTCATGTTACTTAATGAAAACCGTTTCTTGAGTCCCATTCCAGTTGTGGTTCCCCCTTCTATCTTGTCCTTCTCTGCCTCCTTTTCCTTTTCCTTGTTCTTCTTCTCTTTCTCTTTGTCATCCTTTCCGCTCAATGGTGTTGAGACATTCTCTGAATCTGTCGATTTTCGACGTTTATCCTCGTTAAGAGTTGAATCAGAAAAGAAGAAGTTCTTGAAAGATTTTTGTTTCTTCAATTGAGATTTCTCCTTCTCCAAAAGTAGCGGTGCTGGGGTTTTAGGATATGTCGTAGATCGTGTCGAATGAGGAGGAGTAGGTGGAGGTCTAGTAGGAATAGGACAATCCATCGGTGATACTCGACTTTTACGTCTATCAGATTTATTTCTTCTTGGTCTAGTGTCTTTAGGTGAAGGAGGAAGATTACGAGGTGATGGAGAACGGAACATGACTGAAGGTCCTGAGACCTGTTGAGTTTCATCTCCTCCGATTTGCGTCGATATACTCTGCTCCTGGTCTTTGTCCTTCAATGGGGGTTGAGGAGGTGTGAGGGGCAAAGTACTGGGATCAAATTCGAGAGAAGTAGGAATATTTGAAGGTCCAGCTTCGACTGTATTATCATTTCGATCGTATTGTTCCATTGGACCAGGATCGCTAGGGAAACGATGTCTCAAAACAGCTCTCATGATACTCGTATCTTGTAGAGGAGGTTCAGTGGCCCTTCTTTCCATCCCAGGTGCAGGAGGTGGAGAAAAAGGACTTGAATCTTTATTTCGGTGATCCCCCGCTGATGCTTCTTTCTTCCGAGGCATTACGACGCTACCTGGTCGCTGAGTCGCACGACGAAAGACAGGAGCGGGTTGAGTAAATCCGCCAGACATACCTCCCCACATGTTTTTACTCCCCGAGGCGATGGATGTTCTACGTATGGAAGAGGGTCGAGGAGGGGAGGGAAGTTGATGTTGCGGTCCGATATCAGAGAAGGGGGATATGAATGTTGGAACAGAGTTGGATTTGATAGGGAGAGGGGTCGTAGGACTGCCAGTGTCGGTATCTGTGAATACTGTTTTGGGAAAGTTAGGATAAAGAAATATCGGTTCTTCTTGATCTGATCATCAGCATGACACTTGTGTAAATCTTACATGCACAAGTGTATCTCTCTCTCAACAAGACATGTCACTATGAGGTTACCCTTCCACGGTGTCAGGGCTTGAATTGTGTGGGGTACGCGTAATCAGAAATCGAAAGAAACCACTCACCTTCAGCGGGAGGTATCAACCTGACTCTAGGCAAAGTTTTTATTCTTTCCCAATCCATCTCATCATCAAATTCCTCAGTATCGAAATCATAATCACATCCCATTCTTAAGACCTCTTCATACTCCTCTTCAGAATCCTCAGAGGGGGATGGTAATGGATCCTGTTTCTTCTCCATGGGTGGCCAATCATCGTCTTCCTGTGACGGGGCAGAGGGTATTGAACGTCTTAAACGAGAAAAGATACTTGTCCTACGAGTTTCTTTGAGTGGAGGGGAAGACGATCTTGTCATTCTTCTAAGTGGAGGAGTACCTGCTAGAGCTGGATGATCGGAGTCACTCGACCCTCTGGAACGGGCTGAAGAGGGTAAGGATGTTTCGCTCGGTGTTCGGGAAAGTATGGAAGGCATGTCGTTTGGTTTTCTGCCAAACTGCCGAGGAGTCATGTACTGACCTAAGGCGTCGATCGGGTGTAATTAAAACTTCTTGGGAAATTGGTTCTTTTGGATGTTTGACGTTGACTCTTCAGGTGTTGAAGAAGAGATCTAGCAGGTAGATGGGTGTAAAGAAGACGAGAGGTGAAATAAGGTTTTGAAAGTCGACAAATTTTGTATACAAGTGTACGATACGAGACGGACAATAACCTCGATGAATTCAATATGGAGTAGAGAAAGATCCAAGGGATGTTTGTATGTTGAACGAATGTCAAAGACTTTGTAGTCTTACCACCTACTTGAATATCTTTCTATCCTCAAAGACGAAAGACCGAATGGAAGAACAAAAGAATGAAGAGTAAGAATAAGAGAAATCAGTCAAGATGATACTTGTCATTTGAGACTCCTCTCGATTTCCGAAAGTCTTGATTATATGCCGGGAAAGGAAAAAAATGACGATTTCGTGATGTTTGAATGGGGTTTTCGACGTACTGTATTATACTGAGTTGGGTATATAACACAGGTCTTTGAGTATTATTCGTACCGCTCCTAAGTATCCGAGTACACTTTTACACAGCTGACAATCAAGGTGATCCGGATAATAACTCGGGTACAATTGTGGAAAAGCGATGAGGATGAGATTTCCTTTTTCGATGATGTGACGAAATATCAGGTGAGAGAGAAGAGAATACGAGCCGAAACGTCCGGAAAGGATTGAGAAGATGATCGAAGTGAATCGTTTGCTCGTTTAGATATGTTGAACGTAAAAGAACGGATCCGGTAAGGTTTTAAAGAATGAATAAGTTGGACTACCTATCAACAACCATCACCATTCCACCGACGAGACTGTGAGAGTCAAGATGAGGAAGACTCACTTTTGTCACGGACACTCCTTCATATCTTACTCTGAGACTATCCCCAGTCCTCAAGTACTCGTACCATGGACGGGACGAAAGGACAAAGATGAGTCCTTCTGCCACGGACGAATAGAAAGGTGAGTCTGAGATATTCTTATTCGAAAGGACCCAAGCGGTAGGTAAGGGATGTTTGTCCGTTTTGGGCGGGAAAGATCAGCTGCTCGGCGGAGAACGGAGAGCGGGCGCCAGACGATCAGGACGGAAGGCACCGAGCACGAGCCTATGATGTCGACAAAGTCAAAGGCGTCCCAAATTTGTCTATCTTTGCTTTAGCGGGGGCGCTTGGACCTGTCCACGGCGTCGGATTGGTATGACGGCATCAGTGTGAAGGATGGAGGGAGGGTGAAGGCGTAACGATACGTAGACATTTGACATGACGTTGCCAGTCGCCAATGGCCAGTCGATCGCAGTCGAGCAAGCAAGCAAGCTTGGCTGTCAGGCGACATGTCGGTAGAGTAGGCCTGCTTGGTGGCACAACTCAGACGTTGCAAGCACAATGACACGCTGGATGGTTAGTGTCAAGCTGAAACGGGACCAACGGATAACCGAGATCCTGGCGCTGCAAAATCGGATAGAGTTCGACGATGCGCCTTGGCTTGCCAAGTTCATCAAGATTACCAAAGGAAAAACACAATCACAACATGCATGAATCGAAGAAAAGTAGTAAAAGTACATGGGCTGATGAACAAGGACGTCAAGTTGGCATGGTACATGATACGATGCTAGAGGAGTACAAACGGATGGAAATTCTTTCAAACCTTGACTTTGCCAATGACTAACGGTTAGTGCATATACATCTAGGTGAGTGAGGATTGGGCGTACCAGTGTCAGGAGCGTACTTGGAAATGGCATTAGGTGGGTGAATCATGTTGAACTCTTCGGTAGCATCCCTACCTGCATAGAGTAGGATAGCTTTGGCTCCTCCGGCTGCAATGTCAGTGCACCTTTTTGGATCTGTGAACAGGGTACTGACGATGATCGTTGAGGAAGCTGAACAATTAGCAACGTCGCCGGCATAACGTGACAGCAGAACATCATAAGAATTGGAAAAGATACATTGAAGGAGGATGCAGAGAAGAGTCGAGCCCTCAACAACTCACTTGGTCACGTCCAAAACTTCACCGCCAATCACGACCCAACAATCGGTATCCTTATTATGTTTGCCCACTTCTTCCATCGTATATTCACCTTTCGTCTTTCCCTCTTTCTTCGCCTTGGGCTCTGGCAACTTTTCCTGTTCGACCTGGGCCAAAGTTCGGTCCCCTTTCTTTGCGGGTCCACTCTCAGCAGGTACATTTCCAGATTGGCTCGACGAATCGGCAGAGTACGAATCTGAACCTTGCCCTCCGTTGGCAGGTTGAGCGTCTGCCCATGAGAATTGAAGGTTGACATTGCGCGACGAAGGGTCGACGCGGATACGAGTCTCGAGAAGATGAGAAGCAATGGTATTGAGTCGATTGGCGGCACGCTCGTTGGACAACTGGGACAACATGTATGACGAAGCGGAATCACCGGCGACACGGCCGAAGACAACACATCCTCTGGCTCATCAGTGAAGACCATAGCGAATGGAGTCATGGAGCTTACAAGAGAGAACTACCACCAAGACGATTGGCACCGTGAACACCACCGGCGAGTTCACCGCATGCAAACAGCCCAGGAATGGGCTTGCTATTGGTATCATGCACGGCAGCATCGGTACCGATCTCCAACCCTCCCATGGTGTAATGCAGAACGGGTGTCATCAAAGCCACGTGATAGACGTCATCCATCTTGAAGTCGCCTCCTTGGAAGAACTACAGCGAGTCAGTATGACTTCATATATACGAACACAGCTGACTGACCTTCTTGCCGAACGGATCCGTCCCAGGGTTCTTGGCGTAACGGTTGTGATTGTCAAATGTCGCTCTGAGCACCTCTGGTTTACATCCGATCTCCTTGGCCAACTCGTCACCAGAGTTGAAACGCTTCATCAACCCACGACCGACATAGTGCTTGCAATGCCATTCGATTTCCTTGCTCGAGGTACTGTTGAGCACAAGTCTGACTGGGAACTGACATGTCAATAACCGAACAACGTTGCTTCATAGCGGGATACAGACTTTGTTGTTTTCCCACATCTTGTTCGTGACATAGTCCCGGTGTTGGAGCTCATCGACAAAGCGATTGCCCGTGGCATCGATCAGAAGACCTCCTACACCACGTAATGCCTCAGCAGCAAGGAATTTGACCTTGGCATTGGGATCTTTGGGGTCGACTAAACCGGTGGGATGGACCTGGACCTTTTCAAGGTCGATACCCTTGGCGCCAATCTGCATAGCCATCTTGTGACCGTCACCGGTACAGTGGTCGCCGTTGGTCGTAGGCTGCTGTCTTAGCTTGCGCCATGCAATCAGTAATGCAGGCTCACCAAGTCGTAGTACTCGGGACGATGTTTCTTGAGTAAAGAGTCTGCGGTGAAATCGGCAGCATAGCCGCCAGTTGCGAGGATAACTGTCCCATGCTCAGTGTACTGAATCATCAATCACTCGCTATCTTCCGTTGTGACACTGTAGACTAACCTTCTTGCCGTCCTTTTCATACTCCACGCCGATGGTCTTGCCATTCTCCTTAAGACACTGTGAGACCTTTGCTTTCTTCAAGATCTTAACCCTATCGGGAGAGCTCTCGGCGAGGTCTTCAAGCTGAAAAATTAGCTAAGAGCAGGACGCGGGCATCAATCTTCCGCAATGTCTCACTGAAAGGGAGTAAATGAAAGATGACTCACTTTCTCCATCAGGGCATAGGTAATCGTCATCCCTGGGAACTGCGCACCGCCTCTATGAGTTCTCTTTTCACTATGACCACCAAGTCTGGAGACCTTGGAAAGGTCAAGGTTGAATTTCTCCACGAGCCAATTGACCGCATCACCTGATCGATGGGTCAAAACCTGAATGAGATCGTCTCTAGCCAAATCTCTGGCAGATTTCTTGGTGTCGGCAAAGCTCTTTATCAGCTCGATCCGACTTAGATCGAAGTTCACATACAATTTAGCAGCAGTATCGGGGATTCCTAGGTCCTACTTCGTTAGCTTCCCTTGTCATCGGATCATTTATCTAGATAGGCATACCGCTTGAGCCTACACATGATCAGCCTTAATCCATTCAGCGGAAGAAAGACTTACTTGAGTACCAGCACCATTGATACCCGATGTAGCTTTGGTCGAATTCCCCTACCTATCAGCGATCGGCTCAGTGAGTCGAAGAAAGACTCACACCCATGAAGCTGTTCTTGTCGATCAAGATCTACCATCAGCTCCGATATCTATTAAAACCAACCATCTAAAACGTGGAAAGGGAGAAGAAGATACTCACGACATTACCACCTCTTTCGAGAACCGTGTGAGCAGCTGACAGACCTGATAGCCCGCCACCTACAACGATGACTTTTGCGTTACTCATGGTTGCGGGCGTGAGAAGACAAAGGGTTATTCACGAAACTGGATAAAGAGATGTATGAGAGATGAGAGGAGTTTGTAAACGAGGATGAGAAGAGAATGAAGGAGGCTGGGGAGTTGGGGAAGATCGAGAGATGGATGTGAAGATACGTAAGGAGAAAAAGTGAAATGAAAGAGTTTAAGAGAAAGTGGGAAGATGAGTTGGTCCAACCAGCGTTCACCAGTTGGTGAGACAGATCGGCGACCCGGCTCGAATGTTACCGGTGTAAAATGGGAGGATCCTTCAAGCTTTTGGCTTTTGTACCCCAGTTTCCGACGGAGTTCGAAAGCAAAGTCACTCGAACACTTTCTCGCGATCGTCGTCTTCAAGCAAAGTAGGATCTCAGTAGTGAAGACACGAGTACGAGATGGTGAGTACCTTGAGCACCTTGATCTACTCAAGTCCCATCCTCTCTTCAATTACAGTGCTCTGGCGTTTAGCAACACCCAGTGTCTCAAAACACGCTCTTATTTACACCTGAGCATGAACCCAGCTGATAACTGCCTACCTTTGGTCCTCCCTACAATCTCCCTGCTACATCACCAACAAACGGCCTTACTCTACTCCCTCATACCACCATACGAATCACAGGCAATGTCAGATAAGGTCTTAGGAGGTGGAATGTTACTCGTCGCCGGATTCGTATTCGTATACTACACCGTTTGGGCGTTGTTCCTCGTGAGTGTCCTTCACATCTTCCACCACATTCCAGTTAAGATTTCCCTCATTCTACATCTCGTTATCCAAAACCAGCTATCATCTCTCAAGGCAAGGCTCCAGCTGAATCACAGCCCTTCATACCTGCTTCTTCCCCCGTCCAAGATCTATTCCCCTCTCGCGAATGGGCAGTCAGATTACCTCTTTTCCTCCTCTTGACGGGAATGAGCGGTGTGGGACTTTTCTTCGCTCGTGTCACCCTGAGTGAAGCTCGTAAAAAGCGTATGAGAGCTGGGAAGACTGCGTGAACTTTTTTATGTCATACAAACCAACTTTGATGCATTCATGTCGTGGACTCTCACGGGCGGAGTACTGTACTCAGTGCACCTCAAAAGCTAAATTATCTTTTCAGACACAAGAGATTCAATACGCAGGTCTTTCGACTGACGATGACGGCTTCGACGACGACACAAAGTGACATGGCACATGTGCATGATTCATCGACCTGTGCACTAGACACTATACATGAAAAAAGGGGGTATCAACATTGAATTTCTTGTTCGATACTTCACAAACGGGGTATGCGACATGACGGAGGGATGTGATAAGATACTTGATGCTCGCTTTGTCTTGCTATTTAATTTTTGGACCGGTAGGGGACGGATAACGTGGTTTGAGAGTGAAGAAGGCTTATAAGTGCCGGTGAATGAAAGTAGCTATGGGAATGAAGGAACTCGTCAAATTTCCGAAAGTTCGTATTCGAGTTCTCGACCGAGGTAGGGGTTGGTACCGTCGACTGATTCTGGCCAGCGGGAGATGGCCCATTGGTGTACGAAGAATGAAGATTTCATGTGTTTCTTTGATGCGTACTGTCAAGTTAGCACTGTCCTTCTCGATTATACAAGCTGGGTGGGCGGAGGAGACCTTGCTACAGGACAGCAAGGCAAGGGATGTCAGGCTCTGGGACACACCTTTTTGTAGAAAGAGGTGTCAGTGTTGAATTCGGGGTCTAGTAGGTGGTCCAGCATGGTCTGTGAGCATTCAAGGATTTCTTCAACAGAATAGGTAGAATAGTGAACCAAGTTTGGTGTCTGCCTCGTCAGCGCTGTGCACATCTACTAAGGGCAAGGAATGCCTAAACTCACCCAATCTCCTCGATCCAGACACATACGTGCCAAAAACATGGCAGCGGCAGCCAGCAAGCTGGGTGGAAATTTGATCAACCGGTTGTCCACACAGCTGATTTCGATCAAGTATTTCGAGACGGTCCTGGTTTGAATGTCGTATCCGTCCGCCTTGGATATTCGCCGGAGAAAGTGAAGGGGGTTAGGATAAGACATATCAAAGTTCAAGGTGGAGAGCATGTATCGTTCGGCCTTGAGGATTTCATCGACAGTATACCCTCCGTCGGTCATGTGTAAGAAGTGGCTGACCGAGGGACAAATGACTTCTTCATATTTGGCCGCAACAAAGAGTGCCGTCAATCCGACTAATTGGAATTTGACCAAAGATACCACGCGTTCAGTGAGAAATCGATCTACGAGATTCACGGCGATAAATAGAGTTTCGGGTAATAGGCGAAATTTTGTGTGGACTTCGATGATCCAGTCCATGAGTACACGACGCATGGGCCATTGCAATTCGCTTTGCTTGTCCATGTAATCAGGACTTGGCATGGTAGCGCGCTAAGGCTCAGCTTCTGCAAATCGAGTTCAAAATTGATATACTCACCTCTATAGACATCATATACTTGAACGCATCAATGACATATTCACTGACCATTGTGGGGTCACCCTCGTCTTCAGCGTCGAGATCCGTCCATCCTGCATCTTTGGACCGAGCGACGCGTTTCGGGCTACGCATGCTAGTTCCCTTGCTGCCGCTGGACAGTACCAATTCCCTCCCTTCATGATCGTACAACGCTTCTTCGTCAATGTCTGGTGTAACTGCCTCTATCAATGCAGGCGAAGAGGTCTTGCGTTTCTTCCTGGCAGGTTGCACCACATCTTCCTCCTGTACATTGAGTTTCTTCTCCTTCAAACGTACTTCTACGGTGGATGTCGAAGCGGTGGTGGAACGGGATCGAGCGGGAAGTTTGGAAATGGGTACCGATGTTGTCGCCTTCCTTTTGGTCTCTTTGATATCTCTTTTTACCTCTTTGTCCACCACGGCAGCACTACGAGTCCGTCGTTGAGCCTGAGGCGCCGTTTCCCTGTTGGCTAGAGGTTTTCGTTCCTCCTTTGCGCCCAGGCCTTTTTTGCCTTTATCGGTTTTCATGACATTTTGCACTTCACCCAATGCTGATCGCTTTTTTGTCTCTGCTGGTGGAGGCTTAGAATCGGCCAAGATGTTAGTGGCGACGGTGGTGGTGGTCGTAGAGGAGTACTGTCGCCTCATGACGGGAAGTGAGGAGGCTGGCTGAACGGGTTTGCTGAGAGGGACATTGGCGGCGCGAGAGCGAGTGGATATGGCGGCGTTGGTCGTAGGGAGAGGGGCATTTTCATCGGCGCGCTTGTTCAATCGTCGTGTCTGTTGGCGGGTCGCGGGCATATTGAGAAGATCAGATGGGACGGGTTGAATGAAGGAGGGGCGAAGGAGTTGAGGAGAATGGGGTGATGATCGACAGGTGAGGATGGAAGGAGAAGCGTCAGCTCACCGCGCACTCTAGACTGTAGGCAGTAGAGAGAAAGAGAGAGAGAGAGAGACAGTAGGATATGAAAGAGAGGAGGGACGGATACGGCATAGTAGGTCTGGACCGTCTGAAAGAAGAGATCAAGCGTATGACTAGATCCGATCGCGGTCGCGTGGATAAAAATTCATGGACAATTTGACTGGATGGACTGTTATGTCACTCACAGGTATACCACTCGCCATCGTATTAAGCCCCTATTGTTATTTGATTGCAACTGAATTGGTATCGAAGAAAGAGATATCAAAAGAAGACAAAGAAAGCGTGTCAAAAACCGAGACCCGGTATATCAAGTTGAATGAAATTCACGTCGTCGTATCAAAAATAGTCGGAAGTTGTCGAACGTCAGTGCGCTGATTGAATCAACAGCTTGATCCAAACGAGATCTACTCGTTCTCTCAATGTCAAACTTGAGATAGAGGCTGGATAGATCTATTGTCGTTGTTCATCAAGGTGTCAATGTGTGAGGTTGCGGGACTGTACCCCTACCTGTCCATAGCGCTATATCCCCCCTTGTCGTACACTCATACATCAGATTAATAGGTCACGGGATCGGGAAATCGGCGTTGTGGTATGTGGCGGAAAGAAATCAGTCGCGTCTGTGTGCGCTTGGAGGCTCACAACTTCCCTGTCCCCTGACAAAATGTCGTTGATCTTGTCGCGCTATCGCCATCTGTTGGGTATGCTGAGGGAAGATGTGAGAGGCACAGGGAAGATGCAGATATGCAGATATCATGTGTAATCAGTGTGTTCCCCCTGGTGATGATGGTAGTGGAGATGCCTCCCTCCCCTTTGCATTCAGTCACGATTGTATTTTCTGACCAACTCGTCCTCCACCTGTCCCGGTGCGCCCAGGCGTATTCTACTTTACCGCATTTGCTGATCATGCTGAGCTCTAGCTTGGACGTCCCTCGCTACAAGGGCTTTTGACCTCTGAGCCATGCTACTAGTACTCTTACTGGACACGTTCAAGGCTCTCAGCCATGCTCATCTTCCAACGGTGACACGCACTCTTCATCTGACGTCATAGGACAACCGTGGGAGAACGCTCGGTCCACCTTCGCAACGTGCCCTCCCTTGTCGGTCGCTTCTCACAGCCATCATATCCATTCCATCTCTTCATATCTCACCACACACCTATATAGAAGCTCGATAGAACATCAACAAGGATGGATTTCATCACAAAATTTGCCGAGAATAAGCTCGCCGAGCAGTGTGAGTATTGCCGAAACTGTAGTTCCATGTCCTGTAGACTAATCAAGCAGTTGGTTCGGGCAATCAACAGGCACCCAATCAAGCTAACTATGGTGGTCAGGAAGAATCTCACGGTGGACGAGCTCAGCAAGGGTATGGCGAGCAGCAGGACCAATATGGAGGTCAACAAGGTAGCTACGGGGGTCAACAGGGCGGATACGGAGGTGAGCAAGGGGGATATGGAGGACAGCAAGGGGGGTATGAGCAGGGTCAATACGGTCAACAGGGTGGTAATCAGGGCGGTGGATATGGTCAAGGTGGAGAGGAATATAACCGTCCTCATGGAGGTGGAGGTGGTGGCGGTGCTGCTCGACCCGAATGTGAGTCCCATGCCTTCTACAAGTCTAATGAGCTAAAGGACCAGTCGACCAATCGGCCGCGATGGAGGCTGCCAACAACCACGCCTCTAACGGTAATGAGAATGCGTCCTACTTCTCTAGCGCGCTAAACATGGTGGGCGGTATAGGAAAGCAGGATGCCAATGTAGATGAGGATGAAGTGCAGAGAAACCACGATCAAGTGTACAACCAAGGTAATGCAGGTAGCATGCCTGCTGGAGCCCTTGGAAGGTGAGTGACATAGTCCCACATCTCACATCGTTCTACAAGATTGAGTCTGACATACAGTGCTGCCGCGTTGCAGGCGCTAAAAATGTTCACCTCTGGCCAATCATCTGGAGGTAGTGGCGGTGGCGGCATGCAGTCCAAGGTATGTGGACTCTCACCAGAAAGGGAGATCAGCTTAGACTGATATGTAGCTCATTGGAATGGCAATGTCCGAAGCTGCCAAGGTGAGTCGTCTGTAGCATCTCTCGATAAATGGGGAAAGAGCTGATGTGAAGATGTTTGACCAGACGGGTGGTGGCGGTGGTGGTGATAAACAAGAAGCCGTCAATGGAGCAGCTGCGACAGTCATGAAGCTCTTCCTCTCTCAAGGTGGTGGTGGAGGGGTTGGTGATCTCTCATACCTATGACTTGGGGCTAATGAATCAGCTTATGGGAGGTAGCAATTCGGGGGGACTTGGCTCTCTGATGAGCATGGTCAGTCGTTCGTTAGTCGCCAATTATACGCTAACTGACGATCAGGCCTCCAAGTTCATGTAGACGTACGATAGCGTAGGATGCGAGAAGAAGAGATAAAGCTCGGCCCTGGAGAGGAATCATGAATCACGTTCGATCTGGTCCACCCCAAAAGCTCATAAAAGAGGCAGACACGTCTCAAGACATGACCCGATTGTTCGATATCAATCTATCTGCCTATCGCTTTCATTCCTCATCTATTCAACTCACTTCTAGCTAACTTTCCGTCTGTGGTACTACACATTACTTGGGGATCGAATCGTCTCCTGAGTCAAACCTGAACTTCTGGCTGGAACCGTCAACCACGTCTTGGAAAGAACGCGACCAGAGTTACCAATGATTTGGCAGCGGGAATGACCTGCAGAGGGGAAAATTCGGAATTCAGACTGATGACTTGTGTTTAATCCATAGGGTATCAATAAGCATTAGGGGCGCTTCTCCAGAACGAGTCGCTGGATGAAGACATTTCGACTCTGCCTGTACCTGAAACTTCAATGTCTTCTGGAAGTTCATACGTGCGTGAAAATCTCATCATGCTGGGACGTTTCACTCTGCTTTCATCGCGGATAATACCTGTCACTGTGATTGTGACGTCCTTATCCATGTAACTTGTTCCATCGATGCGCATGTGGGGTAGGATATCGCTTCCTTTGAATCTCTAAACGCCATTGCTGGGCTCTGTGACTCTTCGGACCTCATGCGTCGCTCCGCTCCCGGGAGGCCGCATTGCAAGCTGTGTTTCATTGCCATAAGTCCATCGTCCCGGATTAGCAGACCAGTCTTCCTTCATTTTTGGGTCTACAATTTTAGAAGTGCATGTCAGTGTCCAACGCTCTTCCACCTCTGACTTCTCACTCCTTGACTTAGCAGCATTAGAATTCCCCTTTGCTTTGACAACTTCGAGAGTCTTGATACCACCAGGCTCACCATTGTGAGCATCATTGAGTGTAGACGATGGGGACCCAGCCTGCAAGCTGGGTTTACCATCGTAACGATTTCCTTCTACCGAAGTAGACATCTTGTTACCTGAATGAGAAGTTAGATCGATTGTTAGTGTTCGGGAACCACCACCGGCTAGTGTTATACCCCTTTGGTTGGCGAAACGAGAAATCTCGCCTTCTATTACGCCCTTTTTCATCCCTTCAACTTCTCCATCTCATGACGTCAAGACCAGCCCATTCATCGTCATCTCGTACCGAAAGTGGAGCTTTAAGAGCACGAAACCCATTCTTTATTCACATGACGCGTGAAGAACGAAAAGAAAAAGCTTTCATGAGAAAACCAACCTGAATCATACTTGCATTTCCCTCATCTACCAAGATCCAACACTGCCCCTTGGCTAGATTCACACACACCACATCAACGTTCGTTCCCATGACACAAATCTCCTCGAAACCCAGATGATTATACTCCTACGTTCTGATACCTCACTTACGGGAGAAACGGGAAAGGAAACCTTTACTTCCCTGTGCTTGTTTAAGAGCGACCTTTCGTCGGATCTCCTCTTCCACGTCCTCCTCTTCGAGAGTTCCCCAGCCGTACCAGATGATGGTGGCCACACCGATGAGGAAGGTGATGATACAACCTGCGAGAGCACCGATAGCTTTAGGCGTCCAGCCCTGGTCATCAGCGTTGTTTTGTAACTACTCCTAGTTCCCCCTTCTTTGGTTGACACTTCCTGATTCTTCTCGACACGATAGGACGCCGGGGGGTCATAGAGAGGCGGTGAAAGCTGTGAAAGGATCATAAGTAGGATTGTTGGATGGATGAGGTAGTAGAAAGGAGAAATGAGTGGAGGATGACGATGAAGACAAAGAGAAAGGTGGAAGGGCCATAGTAGAGAGATTGAGGAAGATGTACTCACCATCTTAAGAGGGAATGGTCCAGAAGGTTCACCCTTGAAATCACTGGTGGAGAATTTGCCGACCACATTGCCTGAAGTAGGTAAGTCGAAGTATTTACATTGATCGTAGAAGACTTGAGGAATGGTAGTGTTGGCTACACCGGGTACGTTACCCTGGAACGCTTCGGGAGCTTCGATGAATACTGCTGCGAGACCGGAAGACAAATGCCAATCGATCTATTATGTCAGCTTCTTTAGAACATATATGGACCTGGGTATGAGAGCACCCAGGATGGGTGTAGTAGTTCAACCATTGTCGCGCATGTGAGGGAAAATTGTGGGGGATCTCTGAAGGATTCGACGAGAAGTGAGGGATTGATGGAGAAAGACCCACATGACAGTGGAAGAACCAAGCGCCGGGGTTATCAGCTCTCCATCGGAGGACGACTCTACCGGTAGGTGGAATAGTGATGGTGTCTCTTCTAGAAGGGTTCGATTGACCTTCCACAAGTTCAGGATTGACTGTGGTGTCGTTTGAAGTAACGTCGAAACTCTTTGAGACGACTTGGAATTCGTGACTGCAACGTTAGTCAACTCCCGACTTCACCATTATCGGCCTAGACATCCGAGATGAATACAAGGATGTATGCCGCAGTGCGAATTATAGGACGGGGTTAATAGCGCACAGAAAAACATACCCGTGCAAGTGGAAAGGGTGGAAACCAGCATCCCAGTTGTACACCGTCAATTGGATGTTGGCCATGTGAGGATAAGCGTAAGCGTTTGTTTGCTTGCCGTATACGCTAGATAAGAAGGAATCGTTTCCCATTGTCAACGCTGTGAAGATGGAAGCGGTGGGCGGCTCTTGGAAAGTGACATTGTTGAATGACGCGCGGTTGGTACCATCGTCATATGTCTGTATGGTAAGTCTTACGATCACGATCAACTTGAAACCAGTAGATTTGGAAGTGTGAGAGGTGTAAGGAATATATTCATAAGGTTGAAGACCAGAAGGGAAGTAAGAGATTGAATGAGAGGGAAAGTCTGTGAGGAACGGAAGGAGAGAGAAAGGGGGAAAGTGAAAAAGTCGACAAGTGGAATTTAAAGAGCACTCACATCGAAGAAAACGTTCAACACGTATTCGATATCGGCAGGAGCCATAGCCTTCTCGAGAACAGGTGCGAGCTCCGTGTCATTAAACATTGGGAATTCTTCATATATGCTACCCTCTGCAGGGGGATTGGCGGTAGCGTAGATAATTTGTAGGGTGTTGTTCAGTACCAAATCGTCGGGTACCGTGTCATACATGGCTGGATCTTGCATCACGTCGATGGCATAATTGGCGCTGGTTTCGTTCTTAGCCTCCACGAGGACCGAGTAACGCTGGGCCACAGCGGCGGTGAGCATGTCGATGGGATAAGGCTGCATCTCGACACCATCCATCTCGATGATGCTCATTTCGTGACCGTTCATAGAGAGATAGAACACTGGTGTGTGAGTCTTGATTTTCTTGGTACATATGACTGGAGCGCACGATTGCGTTCCAACAACACGAATGACAAAGGCGTGAAACAAGTAAGAGAAGGGGGAAGGGGACGAAGCAAGGGGGATGATCATCCGAGGAGACAGAAGGAGAGGAGGAAGAACCATCTTATGACTTACTGGCAAGAGCGGACATGTTAATCACTCGAATTCTATACTTTCGACCAGGTACAAATTCGATAGAGGCATTGTCAGATGTCGCTTGACCGTTGTTGATACTCGCCGCGTCAGGGTAGTAAGTATTGTTGTGTAAAACATAAATGACCGCAGAGTCTGTGAAGAAGTAAGCATTGTTCTTGGTCCTTCAACTGGGTTGGCGTCAAGGAGGATAGTGTGAACAAGAGTTGACTTACTGGGAACTGGTTCGGCACCGGTAGGGTTCTTCCAATTCATGAATTGATTCAAGAGAACAGCGTGTTCGTCATGGTACCAATCAGAGACAACAATGGTGTATTCGTCGTCCCAAGATACATCATCGCTTCGACCTGTCTTGTTGACAGGGTGAATGATGACCGCTGATTATCTCAACGATCTGTTCATTGTCCTCATCTGTGAGTAGAAGTACTTACGAGATCTCAAACCGTCGACATATTGACCTAGATAATGTCCATGAATCCAATATGTACCGGTCTGATCACACCATCAATCGCTGATCTTCTCATCTCGGAAAAAGGGCTCACCTGTAGTTTGGTGTCAATATGGTAGTCGAGGGTTTCTCCAGGTGGAATCGAGCATTGAGTGATTCCAACGGCACCATCGTAATAATTTGTACCGTTGAAGAACATACCATGGGAGTGAAGGGAAGTACCACTTCCATCACCGAGACCATTGGTGGCGTGAATAAGGAAGACATCACCCTGGGTTCCGATGAGAGGAGGGGGGCTGGTCTCTCAGCGCCCTTGTCGTTTGTTCATTTGAGTGAGAAGCTTACGGCCATGTTCCGTTAACACCTATGACTCGACGTTCTTGCAGCTAGAAGAAGTCAATGATTGAGACTAAAGTCAGGGGGAAAGAGGGATATTTGCTCACTCCATCAGGATTGGCGGTGGTCCAAGTGATGTTCCACCATTGCTCCAAAGTGGCTGCTTTGGCTACAGTGGCAGCCAACAATCCGGCGCAAGTAGGGATCTCATGGGGGACAGGTACTGTAGCTATACGTATCTTTCAATTCTACTGCCCTCGACGGGATTGACGTTGAGTTTAGTAGTGAAGGGGAGTATCGACGATGATGAGAAGAAAATGGAGCAAAGAAGGAAATGAGGGGTTTTAATCTCATATCTGATTACGAATTTTGCCTCGTTAAGGAAAGTAAAGTATTCTTTCCATCTCACTCGTACACTCCTCCCTGCCCTCTTTCCCCTCTTCGCCTTTTTCGGGTCATGTTCGGCCTAATCAGGTACGACGCCATAGCTACAGTGCAAATGCTAGCCACTTGGTGCAAAAAGATTGATTCTCTCCCCGTTCCCCTCTGCGCTGATCCTGACAAGCCAAGCGAAGATTTTTTACGAAAGGGGCAGGAGGGTCTAGGCACCCTTATCAGATATGGGCCACCTCCGGCCGAAATCAACTTCCGAGCCCTTCCGATGGACTGGACATGATGAATGCGACCCCCGACGTGCACTCGCATTGATCACAACTTTTACTCTTCATCGCACTTGTACAACTGAGCAAGTGATCGCAAGTGAGGTGATCACACGCTCAGATCAATACTCTCTTTCACATCCACTGGTTATTCTGAGAGATCTGCAGAGATCGACGCATCGCTCTCAATCCCCGCCAATACCTTCATCGGTGTAGTTTGCGGAGCACCCCATGATCGCGCACCCTTCGAAATGACACGTGGTAACGAGTCCAAAATCCGTGAAACTCCGCTGGTGTGGCACACGTCGGGGATTTCGGGCCGAGTGAAGGACCAATTTGTTCTCCCTGAACATGGAGCTTTCTCCGATCCCTCAAATCGTTCCTCCACCAGCCAGAAATTTGGTCTCTCAAAGCTTGCCAGTAGTCACAAGGTCACCAGGCCATTGGTGACGATAACTTGAAAGGTTTCTTATATGGCGTACGGTCTTCTGCTCCGTAAGCATACCCCTTCTATTGGCACGTGTCGACCACTCGTATTGATCGCTGAGAAGCATGCTTGTGGTTGGGAACTCATGCTATGCCGACTCGGCATAATATTCTTTTCCCGGAACTTGAGGAAGTTTCTTACGGAGTTGTGCGAAATGTTGCAACTGGTGTCATTCCTCGTCTTACAGCTTCAATACTCATCTTTCTTCTGACTCGTTTGTCCATCTGACCTTTCTCATATATGTCCCTCTCCGCTTCTGCTCTCACATAACGAAATAGGGTAGAGCGAGCAGTGCAACACAACATGCCCCCATCCAGAGGATCATCTACCAGTACAACGACCACCATGGCTGAATTCGATCCCTCTTCCGGACCTTCCCCCTCAAAACCATCACCGCTTCGACGATCATCTGACCCCCCACCCAGCCCAATCGTTCCTTCTCCTCACCAACTCCCTCATGGATGTAGCTATGGGCCTCCACTTCCCCCTCATCTTCATCACCTTCTCCCTTCCTCGCTCCTCCCGTACCCTCCAGACATACCACACCATTCCAGGAAATCAAAGGAGCATATATCAGACACAGTAACGACGGCTACTTCGTCTCAACAGGTCAGTCCGATCAGTCAAGGATCTTCTTCTGAAAAGACCGTGACGAATCCGACAGAGATCAGAATCATCTGGGTCGACTTTCCTCCTCAATCAACCAAAGACCCCTTTCACTTCCCTGTATGGCGTAAGACTGCCATCGTATGCGTGGCCTCATTCTTCACGTTGTTCACGGCTTTTTCCGTGTCTGGGTATTCGATAGGTATAGAAAGTATGAGCCGAGATTTGGGGTGTACCACTCTTCAAGCTCAGGTCGGTCTGGGACTGTATGCTTGGGTGAGTTTGAAGACCTCTTCATTACGAACTTGATCGACTCATCCTTGCCATACCACTTCGATCCAGTACGTGAGGGAAAAAATCGGTACTGACAAAAGTAGGGTTTCGGGATCGCACCTTTGGTCTTAGCACCCATATCGGAAGAGTTTGGAAGACGATGGGCTTACCTCGTGGCGATCGTCATGTACACGGTGCTCCACCTCGGGATGGGACTGTGAGTTTATTTCATGTCCTGCATAGATTTTGAATCGGTGGAGAGGTGCTGATTGACGGGGCTCAAAATACCGCGACCATCCTCGTCGTACGCTTTCTACTGGGCGTGAGTGGATCAGTAGGCGCAACCTTGGTTGGAGGTACCATCAGTGATATCTACGAGCCGCAAGAGTGAGTCGTGATTTTCTGTGCTTGATCCCTTCACACATGGTCAGGTCTCTTTCTTTACTTGAACCCGATGTAAAAGACTCGACAGAGAAAATCTGATGTCACCTGTCACGGGGGAAACGAGGGACTGACATGCGACAGTCGTGGTTGGCCAATGTCCATCTTCTCAGTGTGTGCACTGTGCGGAAGTGGAATCGCAGCTCCTCTCATGGCCTGTGTGGAAGCTACCCGCCATCTTGAATGGCGATGGATACAGTGGATCCAGATGAGTGAGTTCGCCCCTTTTCCGCCTCTCGCTCTCTCTCGGCGATCCCGTTACATCTCTCAGTGCCCTATGCGTCCCTACATCTTCGGGGAGCCTATGTTGACTCTTTCAGTCGTCATGACCGCTTACATCCCTTTCGTTTACTTTGTCCTACGTGAAACCCGTGCACCTGTCATTCTTCGTCGGCGGGCGAAGCATCTCCGGGATCAACGGGGACTCCAAGATGGTGGTAGATACACGGCCAGATCAGAGATTGATAAAGTTGGCTTTGGTCAAGCAGTCCGTACTTCTTTGTATCGACCAATACGTGAGTCTCTCCGTCTTTCATTCGGAAAACTCGGCCAAAATGAATATTCCACGAATCCACGACACCTGTGCGGGAAGATGTTCTGACAACGCAGTCTTTTTATTTACGGAACCTGTGGTCTTGTTCTTTTCATGCTGGGTTTCCCTCGGTGTAAGTGTCTGCCTTCCCCTTTCCTCCCGTCCGTAGTGAATAGCGCACGTTAGTCGGGTCACCGCTCATGGACGCAGTGGGCTGTTTTATATGTAGAGTTAGATGGTCTCGACTTTATTTTCAGCAGAGTGTACAACTTCTCAATCAAGCAAGTTGGTCTGGTGTATCTTGTCATCTGGTGAGTTGATCAATCTCTACAAATCATCTCTGACAATTAGTATTGGTGGGATTCTCGGATTTATTTTGAATTTCTGGCAAGATGCTGTGTATCGGTATGTGTCTTTTGATTGATAACAATGTCTCCAACATGGCGCTGAAAGAACAATGATCATGTTTGGCTGAGAGAGAGGTCGGCCGAAGAGTACTGCGTCGTCATCCCGTTCGAGATAGTGATAGGGTAACCTAGTCGTTTTAGAGTGGACCAAGATTGATCTGGGATCTGTAAGCTGATTTACAGACGAAAGTTTGAAAAACGCGGTGTGGAAGCAAGACTTTATGCACCAATGGTAGGAGGTATCACTCTTGCAGGAGGATGTTACATGTTCGCTTTCACCAGTCGATCAGATATTCATTGGATTGTTCCTTGTATCGCTCAAGTCATCATTTTCGCAAGCATTTTTACAATCTATATAGTTTCTTTCGTTTAGTGAGTCATTCAAGTCCATGTCTCCTCTCACACTTCATCACCTTATAAACTACTCTTGATCCCCCTTACAACTCCATTTGTCGGATTGTCTCCGCATCCCTAAGTACCTCTCTTATGGTGGAAGTGACTCTCCCTCTTTGAAATTTCCCAATAGCGCGTACTTCATCAATTCCAACTTCCTTCGAGAAAACCAGGCCCAGACTATATATGTAGGTAGATCCAGCTTTGAAAAGCTGTACCACCCCATAAAGCGGCGTTGTACAAGTATTGATAGTCAGCGTGGCGGAATGTTATGGTTCTTACGCTTCATCGGCCATTGCAGGTAATTCGTTTTTGAGAAATATGGTCGGTGGGGGTTTGTCCTTCGGAACCACTCAAGTGAGTTTTTCTCCATCTCACCATCATTCCGACCTTCTCGAACATTCAGATACATCACTCCACATTTCAGTTAGCCTACGACATATGACCCTTAATTCTCCAGTTTATCTTTCATATGTTTATCTGGTATGACGGCGGACATCAAACAATCACCCAAAGTGAAGTGTGCTGGCAGTAATCTAATGTGAAGATCTACGAAAAACTCACTCCTAAATGGGCCATCTTCCTCTTCGGTAGTATCGCCGCTGTACTCGCCATCGTACCTTTTGTAGCATTTTTCTACGGTCCCATCATCAGAGCTCGTAGTCCTTATTCAAAGTTACTCATGGCGGAAGAAATGGAAAGAATGGAACAATCCAATATGGTCTCTGATTTGGCTCAAAGAGAGATTGATGATGATGATTTCGGTGGTGGTGAACGAGGACGTGGTGTTTCTCATCGTGTATAAGTACGAGTACAGCAGGAAAGTCAAAATATCCAGCTGTTATACGTCTACGAAGCTTATGCTATGCTGTTCCTAAGAACTGAAGAGAGAAGAGGTCATGATGCATTTTCATTGTCTGTTTGATGTGAATACAACTTGTACACTTGTACATATCTTCTGATCTCGAAGACGTCGTGAGGTAAATCTGGCAGGTAGAGACTTGATAGACATTGATCAATGTGGGTGTTCTCAGCAAGAAGTAGTTGTCGTTCAATCGAACGTGTGTTGTTGAAAGGTCGACGGGAAGGTGGGAAAAAAGTAGCGAGGAAGAGATGGGATTGAGATGATGATCACTCTTGAGAGGCGGAAGGTGCGATATTGCCATGTCCACCACGTCTAGTTCTCCCATCTTGAGCGTCACCACCTTTACAAGCTACGATTTTGATTTTGGGAGCAGTGACGAATTCTCCTCCACTATGGGTCAGCCTCCACAATTTCGATCTCCTGTCGAAGAAGAAATTGTCCATACTCTACACTTGCATCTTTCCGCAGTTGATGCTCCTTACTACCTAGTCCTCTCAATGGAGAGTGCGGAGGTATATGGAAAACGGCTCATACAGAATGGTACGAAAGGCGGGAGAAGGAGAGAGGAGCAGAGAGTACACTACATATACGATTAAAAAAGGAAAGTAGTTGAAGAAAGACGTGATAAGACGATGGAAATGATAAAGAGTAGATAAGAAAACTACTCACCCTCCTCCTTGATGTCCATCCATTTTAAAAACAGGTTGTTTGACCACAAACGTCCAAACGTCATCACATAATCGATATGTTGATAAATGACCCTGGTCGTCAGTTTGGCATTCTGAGGTAGGCGATGGCTTCACCTTGACTGAAGTCTTAGTTTTGACCCCTTTTTGTATACATTCGGTAAGAGATTTATCAAACTAATCATCAATATCATTTCCTATTTCTTGAGTAAACTCTTCCTCAATTTCAGCCTCTCCTAGATCACCTCGCATAATGTCATACGCTTCACACAATCACAAGGGATTTGCTGCTTGGCAGGCTGAGGACAGTTTGTAGTAAGAAAGAAAGTAAAGGACTCATTCCACGTCGTATTCAAAAGCAAGAGGGAGAGTGATCATAGTTGTACGACTGACCTGCTGCAAGACTCTCATAGCTAATTGAGGAGGCATACTACCTTGTGTGATCAGTTCGTCTAAAGAATCCGTGAGTGCTGTTCCTATACTATTCATATCAGCAACCTTCAAACTCTCCACAAGTGTTTGACGAACGATGAGCCGCGGTAAAATTCGTAATAACTCTGTTCGGCCGGCATGATACCCTTATGTGATTTTCTTTGACCTGAAAATAGGGGCGATGATGATGGTTATGGTGCTCTACAACGGAGTAAAGTGTAGCAGGAGAGATAATTTTAACGGGGTCGTTACGATAGTCAAGAGGGAAATTCGAATGTCGTGATAGGTTCCCTGACTTTCGATCGAGTCTCTAGTCTATCGCATCCGCCCTTCTATCGATTGGGACATGTGTTGCGTCCAACGAGTGGATACCTATGTTGGTCGGATGAGAAGGAATGAAAGGAGATTGTCAAAGTAGTCAGCTGCAGAGGTGCCATTTCTTTCACCAGTGGCGGACTGGGAATGAATATATCTATCCCTTTTCTTTTAGTTTTCTCCCAGTTGAAGCATGAACCATGCATGCATGGGACGTGTAAGGACGTCAAACTATTTCTACAATTACTACTACTACTGTTCCTGTGAGTGATTTGGAGGAGGCAAGAATGATAATCCTACCTCCTAAACCCGACTCGGATTTGGATTCGGGTTCCACATCGTATCGTGTCAAACGTGGTTCAAAGTTATCTGTGAGTCTTCCTTTCACCTTGATCCCTTAAGTAGAGCTGAAGGAATAGGATCTCCCCCCTCGGTCAAGTGAAGACATACCTTCACTGTCGAAGCTTAATGGACCATTCCAGCTCGCAGAGTATCTGTCATTGAGGGTGAAAGCGGATCCTCATGATGTAGAGGGTTTGGTGAGGGTTCCAAGTGGGGATACTACGTCCGGTGGAAAGGCTCCTGAGAAAGATGTGGTGAGTTGTTTCTCATCGCATTCAGTCGTATCGGAGTATCATCAACTGAGAACCTACTAACGCTGACAACACTCTCCTTGAGATGTGTGTGGGAGAGATGAGCGTAGACTGTCGACGAGCCTGAAAGTATGGATGAAGGAATGTTCGATAATGATGACTGTGGGTAGAGTATGATGAGACTGACTCTCAGTGGATATACGAACATCTCAGAAGAATACCCATTGATGCGGCACCTCTGGTCAATCATTTACTTGGAGGTTGTACCAAAGAAACATGTCCAGAGATGAAAGCGGAAGAATGGCTTTATCTTTGTGCTGCTCATGGTGATGGACAAGCCGCCGTAGAGTGCTGTGCCATTGACTATATTCTTCATACGTGAGTTGGCGCTCCTTATCAAGCTTGTACAGAATCAGATTCATTAACGTACACTTATCACCATGCTGGTTATGACACTTACCCCACATATGATGACTTGGTAATCTTCATTCGGCGAGATTACAACGACCTTTTGAGATGAGTGAGGATGATACTGAGACACAGACTTGATTCAACCACTGCTGTCCTCAATTCTTCCGAAAAGTTCCCTTCCAGGTGAGACCTCTTTTCCAACCTGAAATCCAGGTTTCTTCGACGAGGTGGAAATTTCCTGATGCGCAGAATGTCCATACCCCCCGCATCTTTATCCCACTTTCCATCACTCTTTCGACGACTTTCACGTATCTTCTCTCATGCCTACTTTCATCATCGCGAAGCTTTCTCCCTTGCCGAAGGGGAGACATCTCTCTACGCTCGTTTCTTGCTCTTATGTGAAAAACACCAACTGGTGGAAAAATCATTACTCCCCATTCCTGATCAACCTAAACACTCAGAATCTGATGACGATTCTCGATCTCCACGTGGGGAAAGATCTCGTGTATTAAGCCAATCTGACCAATCACAACCTCCTACCATCAGTCCACCTAAACAACTCTTAGTTCCTGAAAGAGGAAGCTTGAGGGGACAAGGTTCTACTAGGGGGAAAATGACTTTAGGGAGGGGAAAGAAAGGACGAGGATCTGTATTGTGGGCATCGGAACCTGATCCTCAACCTAAATTGGATATCAAAGAGGAAACTCCTGTCGAGAATAATGACGACAAGCCTCTCACGCGGACAGAAAGTGTGGAAACTGCGATTCACATGTCATCCCTTCCTCCGACATTGGAAGAGGAACCGATAGCGAATTCACAGCCAGAAGAAGCGGAGATTAGAGAGGCACCTCCCGTACCCAAAGATGAAATTGAATTATTGGAGGAAGAAGGAAAGATATCACCCGAACCTACATTTTCGCCCTTGCCCATTCGACAGAGACCCGAAGAGGACTTGGTCGAAGTCAAGTTGGAAGATGATCCTTCATCTTCTACCCCAGCCCCCGGCCCTGTATCTGACACATCTCCATCCCAACTTCTAGGAGCGGATCTGAACGTAACGACAGGGTTGATAGCTCCCGAGATGGAATCTCAAAAGACTTTACAACCTAAACCAACCCCTACACCCCAAACTCCTTCGTCCAAACCTCCACCAACGGCAAACAGTCCTCAACGTGTCCCACTACCCGTCTCACCAATCCCTACTACCACACATTCAGGATACAAAAGTAGCACTCCTATGGGTTCCAGTCCACTGAGAAAAACAATCGCAGGTTCACCGTTGGCTCATGAAGTGACGGCTGTTCCTGATGTCGAAGATGTGGAAGGATTGGACGAGATGGAAGAGATGGAGGATGTGGAAGAGAATGGCTCGGAGCATGTGGAACAGTAAATTCAAGGGATCTTTATAGTGTATAGTGCTGGTCGCTTGACGAATCTTACGAGTACGAGTGGAATATGAGTAAATATGAGCAAAATGCATTGGTGCCATGTTGGTATGCACATTTTACTCATATTTTTTTATCCGATCATCGGATTCTTTCTTTTCAAAAGTATTTAATCACACTTTCTTTGTTGAAACTTCTCAACATACTCTTCCCACTTTCTACCAAGTAATCCCAGATAAAATAGGTAGTCAGTGTGGACGACATGGATGATTGGTTAGAAGATTCCTATCCAATAGCTGGACCATCCAGAACATATCAACAAGGAGGAGCTGCCGATCCATTGACAGAGAGGGAATATGACCGAATGGTCGCTAGGTATACAGATGTGAGTTTCTTCTTCATTTGCTACTTACTCCCCTCTAACTAGCTATCTATGTATCTTATCATATCCCCTCGTTCTTCTCTTACTTTCGTATGTAACAACCCATCTTATTCAATTCATCATTCCGCTCACTCCCTTCACATCAGGAGTGTATCCTCAAAGACAAGTTCATCGCCGTTCATCATGAATAAGTACAGTATTTTGACACAAATTCATCTTCGTGAACTCACATCATCATCTGTCTTCATATCAGTCTAGCAACCTATTCATATGCGGAGAGAATATTATTTGACACTCTGATCCCGCCATGAGTACATTATAGAGTTTTGAAATTGTGGAACTGATCTTATTAGGCAGGTTATAGAGAAGGTATAACAGATGGTAAACTTTCTACCTTACAACAAGGTTTTGACGAATCTTTCGCACTTTCCGTCCAATCTTCCAGACGTTTAGGTTTACTAAGAGGTCGAACGGCAGCTTTGTTATCTTATCATATTCGAAAACCTATCAATTCATCTCTTACTTCTAATTCAACCACCCGACTATCGAACTCTTCAACGATAATAAAACCCTCGGTAACTTCATTCGACTCTGTAACGACATCTCCACTCAATTCCACTCGTATCAAGAATGAAAATAATATCATCGAGGTAGACAACGAAGTCGGCGGTCATACAGAACAGAACAATCCTGTTTTTCCGAGTCGGTCAAACGTGGAATCTACAGAGAAACGAGTAGGAGATTCCAATATGGATGAAAAACGGAGAATAGAGGTTAGACAGGGACTGAAGATAAATGAGTTGGTGAGGAGTAAAGAAGAAATGTTGGATATTTTACGTGATTTGATCAGAGAATTAGGTAGAGTCAAAAGGGTTGATATACTTCCTCCTGATCTTGAAAGGGAAGCACATGAGAGAGAACATGATGAGCTAGGTTTGGTTTTAAAACCGACGGATGAGAGGGGGATGGAAGATATACAAGATACTTTACAGAATCTCGGTGGAGAAAGGGGAGGGAAGAAAGAAGAAGAATTGTTGATTGAATTGGAGAAAAGATTGAAGGAGATACGAGAATCACTGAGGATGGTCTAGCCTGTATGAACAAGATAACATACTGAAGATCTTTCGTGCAGGGTTACATTGGAATTGTTAATTGAGAAGAGGATCAAGATCCGGATGAATAAAATCCCTATGCATAATCAACTTTCAACAGTCTATCAAAGAAAACTGAAAACAATGTTCGAAATTCGCTACAACTGTATCTGCATCTGCAAGTGTCCATTTGAAAAACTGTCCATGTTATAAGATTATTCCATCTCCCCTTCTTCCATCTTATCTTCTTCGTCTCCCGTTTGTCATACTTTCTCCGAGTTGAACAATACACCAGAGAAAGGAGAAAGTTTGATAAGATAGATCAACAAACTTCCCCAGAACTTTCCCCTTCTACTTCCTCTACAGGTCCTAAAGGCATGCTCCACCTCGTACCCATTCTCCCTACTAACCTCCTTGTCCTAGTCGGCGCACGTCCTCCTGATCTACACCCCGGTGTACGTCCTCCAGAAGATGCTGCGTTGCATGGGACGTACAATTTGGCGTGATACGTTAAAGGATGGGTCGATGGATGGGGTTGAGGGTAAGGGTTAGGAGGGAGCGATGTGTTAGGTGAGAGTAAATGAGAGAAAGGGAGTGGTGAGAGACGATCTTTTTCTCCAGAAGGAGGTGTGTGGGTGGGGAGGACCGGAGGGGGTGGGTTGAATCTGATCGTCAGTTGGTGTACGAACGCGACTCGTCTTGGAATGGAATAGTAGCGACGTGATTCCTTTTCAAAAAGAACCACCTTTGCCCTAGACCAAGCAGTGATGAGTTTTCATGAGACCGGGGATTCTAGAAAACAAGATCTGTCTACACATGGGATTAAATTTTAAGGAGAACGTTGGGAACGCTTGGCAAGAGAAAAGGAGTGACTGAGGGTAGAGAGGGGTGAAAGGCTGATAGAGATGACTCACGGCCATTGGAAAAGCGCCAAACAGGCGAAGAAAAGAACGATGAGGATAGGTAGAGGTAGCTGATCTTGTCAGCCATTTTCTTATGTATCCCCTGTGAACTTCGACTTCACCCTCGCGTCAAGCAGATAAGACTTCCATGCTCTTACCACCTCCTCCTACTCACAACAATCCTCAAGTGACCCACATCACTGAAACGCCCTTATCCAGCTCGCAAATTCGAGTATTCCCACATAAGGATCTCATCCCGATTTTCTCTTCTAGATGGAAACAAAATGTGGGGTCAAAACTTAGGACTCACCGAATCCAGCGCTCGTACAGACATCTGAGCCATCACTCTCAATCCAGGTTTCAACTCTGACATAGAGACCATCCTATTCTGTTCTCTGATGATTATCCACTTGTCAAAGTATGACCACTGAACGTATTTCTTATAAGTTTCGAAATGTGACGCGTGGATGGTGTCCCTCAAGGGCACAACGGTCCAAGGGCTCAACGGCTTTACGGACTCCTTTGTCGCCTTTGTCTGTCTCAAACCGTATGACGTCCGGTCAAGTTCCAAAGGGATGTGAAGAATGGAATTTTTCCCACACTTGTATCCCTATTATCCTCCAATTGAGATGAGATTAGACGATCAAAGTAGTTCGTATTATAAGTCGGGAAGATAGAGTTAGACTGTGAGGGAAAAAAAGAGATAGAAAGTGTGTGAATTGTAAGTGACAAGTGGTATGAGTAAGGACTAAGGGATAAGGGAAAATGTCGAAGGCTGTGTTTCTTTTTTCTCATCAGTTTCATCTTCTAATCATATCATCATTTCCAATCATGATGTACTCACACGGAACAAAAAGGTTCAACAACCTAACGAAAGATTGATCCGTCTTCTTTGAAATCTTTTGTAGACTCAATGATGATTGGAGGAAAGTAAGACAATATGTCAGATCTCGTGTTTCGTCTTCTGTGGGATTCTGGGTGAGAGGTGAGAGATGGAAGAAACGTGTTGACGAGTCCTGCTCGTCCGTGTTGCTCCGCTGTATCACTATCTCACTATTTACGAAGCCGGTGTTTATTATACGAACACTTTAGGAAAAGTTTGACTTGAGAGAATAACAATCAAAGTGATAATAATGACAAGACCGATGATTATGTACAAAGATGAGAATGAGATTGAGATAGGTTTTATTGTAAAGATGAAGATTAAGATGGTTTTATTTGGTGAAAAATGTCAACAAGTTCCGAGTCGCTCTCTCGCGTCGTACTCTACGTACTACTTACATTAAACAATCTATAAAGTAGAATAGAAACTCACGGCCGAAGGTACAAGCCACCCGATCTCCGTCTCGGCGCATATGGACCCCACGTTGTGTACTCTATCTTGGTATCTTTGGACGCCACCCTCCAACCCACCGAAGTATACCTCCGCTTACACCGACAGGGGGGGAAGCAAAGGAAAAATGAACTCGTTCCTGACATAACAAACTTTATCAATTTGGCCAGACGCTTTGGGTAGCTCATTTCTTAGACCAGGACAAGATACAACATCTACAGCTTGGAATTTCAGCGAAAAGAGACAAGAGGTACAGCAGTAGGAGTACATCGGGAAAAGACTACGGCCCGTAGACCACGTACTAATTGGAGCTCACTCTATCATAATCTTTGACCTGACTCGTCTCAATACAATTTCCCTTCTTCATTCCCCCAAAGACTGACGATGACCACAAACGTAAACCCCTATACTTACTCCCTCTTCCGAGACTTGTACGTCAAGAGACAACTCGGATCATCGGATCATCAATGCCATTCTTTCACAAGAGATAAACTTGCATACTTATCTCCGCAACTCTCCCATTCAAACCAGACTAAAGAGCGCAGTCAACGACCCCGTTTTAAAGATTACATCGAGACCCTCGTATGATATCAAAGTCGCACTATGACAATGTAAGTGTTGATGCATGTCCTTAACCCTCATCCCACCTCAAAAGACTAGATACCAGGTCGATCAGATAGATGAGAACCAATTAAATACCTCCAACTTTGCTCAAAAGAACTCTCAAACTTCTCCTGACTGAATTTGTCCCTTGCTAGATCTCTGGCAACTCTCCTCATATCCAATTGACGATCCGCCGAAAGAGATAAAGCGGTGTGGAGGGAAGATGCGAATGATTCAGCGTCAGTGGCGTGGAAGCCTGAATGTCAGCTGTGGTGTGGCGTGATCGGCAAAAGCTTCATGTCAGGGAAGCGAAAGCAGAGAAGAGGGAGAAGTGGAGCTATCGGTCATGGTGAGACCTGTGGCGTTTTTGATAAAGAAGGAAAAAGAGCGGATGTCAACTTCCGAGATCAATCCTCCGCACGATTCTTCGATCCTTCTATGTACTCTTCTTTCATTCCTCTTGTGACCTTACCACCACTCCACCGATGGACAGTTCACAGGAATCAGGTTCGCTTGGCAACTCCAAATATAATCGTAACATTACGTTCGACACGAAATTGGAAAGGTAGGTAAAGTGTTATGAAGAGGTAAGGAACAGACGAGGTGGATACCCAAAACTGACCTGTTTGTCGCCCGTTATGTGAAACCACAATATCCATCATGGGTCCAGCGCTCGCATGAACGACAGGTATCAAACCTGCCGCCATAAACTCCACCACATTAATCCCGAAATGTTCATCTTGCATCGTGTTGAGACCTATGGAAGCTTGACCCAGGCGTCGCACAACTTCGGGATAGGGAGCGTTCACCACGAATTCAACCCGATCCTGATGCTGTCAGCGAGGTGGAGAAGGGTGGAGCTATCTGACATGGAACAGAAGTATCAGAGCAGCAGTAAAGACTGACCTCTATACCCAGTTTCATAGCTAAAGCCTTCAGGCCTTCTAACCGCTGCTCATCCTCCGTATTCCTGCAACCTCCCATAAGTGTCAACCTCACATCTCTGCACTCTGGGTATTGATCGAACAAAACGTTAAGAGCATACAACTGCTTTGCATGGTCTTTCTCGGGCCTATTGATCAGCTACCAAGAGACCCACACGATGACTCACCTGAATTGCGCCAAAGAGACTATCTCTCTTTTCCGACTGCCAACATGGCCCAGCTTCAATAAACCGGTCACATCACAAGGAGGAAATACCACTTCACATCTGCCTCGGTTGGACGGTTCTTTACGTCTCTCTCGAGCTTGCAATGCCTTTTCATCTTTAAGAAGGAAAGCAGCTAGCCATGTCTTCCTGGCGGACAAGAGGAGTGATGTGATGTGGGCTTGTGTCCAGGACGAGTTTGTCATAATCACTTCTGCGTATAGGAGGGATACGGAGTAGAGCACGGTGAAGATGGCATAGTAGCTACTTGTTAACGACACTCTAATTTGCAGACTTGACCGGACTGAGTTGAACAATGACGGCAGATGGGAGTCAAGACGAAAGGCAACCAAGAAATAGGGAGATCGGAACGAAGGGAACCGAGATGGAGGAACACATACACAAGCTTGACTTGCTTCCCCCACCATCCCCGTTGAGTGCTTCCACTCTCCACACCCCACTCTCCTTTCCGCACCCGCTTCACCATATCCACGCTCACGGTCGGGTAATGCGTGTAGGCTCCGATGGCGATCTCTCCCCCGCAGATAAGTCTGACAAATGGGTAGGTAAACCCATAACCCATAGTATCTATGTCGTGAGCTCTTGTCTGATCAACAAATAAGAAAGAGCTCACCAAAGAAAATATCTCCCCACATTCCTTCAGCTCCACAGAGGGCTTCCCAAGCCAGGATGACAGAACCGATTGATTGCCCCAGGAGAGTGAATCGCTTCCAGTAAGAATCCGATATCAAATGTCGAGAAGGTAGAGGGATGAAAGCTAGTTTATCTCCTGACAAACGAATGGACATTCTTTCCTACGACATCAGCAGATTTCTCCGCAGACGATTTCACGTACCTGAACCTTGTCAAGCATCTCTTCCTTGCTCGTCGAGGGATAATCACCTGAGTAGACTAGGATGACGGTATCTGGCTGGACTCTTTGTAAGTACGCAATGATTGACCATAACACTCGTTCTCCACCTCCCCCAGCATTGCTAATTATCAGCGAGACTACCCAACTCGTCGGACAACTGACCAGTACGGATGCCAGAACCCAATCACGGTGGCTCGAGACGCTTTTCTCGGGGGCTTGTTCTTGGTTCCTGGTATGACAGTATTTTCCAATACTCCCATACTTTCCAATAAGTTCTTTCTTCGTCCCTCATTCCTCACTCTCATCTGCTGGACGTACAAGGCCAACAAAGCTCCAATCGCAAGGATGACAATGGGTAAAAGACTTGCTATGAGACCCCAAGTCAATCCTGCATAGCGCACCCCCAAGAGCGCACCGACTGTCCCTAGAAAAATTGTCTTCGTCGCTATGGCAGCGGTCGATCCTGATGCCACATACCAAAGAAGGAGGGTGGAAGCTACGCAGACAACATCGAGGGAAATGCTAGATTGAGCTGGGTGGAAGAAGATATGTCGTTGGAGATGGACCGGAACCGAAGTGTGCTTGGGAATTACAGACAATAATCGGTTTGTATTTGGAATATGAATGGCCGCTGCCAATACCCCCAACAAGGCATAGAGCGTAGGGAAAGGGATGCCCAGTTTCTCTCTCTCGTTGTCCTTTGATGGTGGGGCGAGTAATGCTACCAGTAAGAGACCGTGCATCCATAAAAGGTTGGTGAGGAATCGACTTGTTCCAGTGTATGTAGGGAGGAGATGAATGGTGCCCAAAGCCAGTAAAAGTGGAAAGTATAACCTTGGAGGAGCACCTTGGGAAGGTCGTTTACGAGGATGAAGATAAAGAGCCGAGATGAACATAGCTGTAGCGACGGACATGGCGACTAATTGTCCTAGCAGCATATATGCCCAGGGCCATTTGATACCTCTTCTTCCACCTGATATCAGCAATGAGTGCAATTTTGATCAACAACCTGATGAGTAAAGATAAAGGGAGCGTCATCGAGAGAGACACATAAAAAAAGAGGGTTCGGTGGGGCTTACTTTCCGTCCATACCACAGCGGTAAAGATCACTGTCCAAGTACATATAAAGCTACTCCACCACCAAGAACTAGGTCCTGTGCATACTATGCCCCAAGCTTGTTCGAAAAGACCAGTGTTAGCAAGCCATTGTCCTATGGTTGGAGCGTAATGTCGTTTTGCGTAGTAATCGTAAGACCACTGTGTTGTTACCTCTGCGTCATAAGATCTCAGGAAGCACTCACAAACATAAATTTGATCATGTCTGTATATCAGCGGGCATACCATAGTATCATAAAAGGACTGACAGGTCCATGTTGCAACCAGGGCCACCGCAGCTATTCGGAGGAAGAAGAAGGATCTGCCGGAGAGAAGTTGACCAGGATTTCTGCCTCGCAACAAGGACCAAAAGACACAAAAGAAGGCTAGGAAGATGAGCAAGAAGTATGATACGAAGATAACATAAGCTATGATTTCTGAAGTGATCATATGGACCGTGATAGTGTGTTGAACCACACAGTTGAGTTTGCCCGATCGTAAGAAACTGCTGGTGGTCGAAGGAGGAATTCCAGAGTGGAGGCACCATGTGACTCCCACGTGGCCGACCGATACCACCATCAAGATTTTATTTTGTCTGCCTCAACACAGAATTGTTTCTTCTCGACCGGCCTGAAAACGATCAAAGAGATGCCTAAAGCAACGTCACAGGTTTTTAGACCGCATACTGCCGCTGTTAAACCATCCAAGAGTTCGAAAAATGGAGAAAGCTCAAGTGGAGGTGGAGGGAGAAATCATTTGTTCAACACTGAGAGGTTTGGACAACACATATTAACCAATCCGCTTGTGGCTCAGAGGTGTGTCCTTCGTACTTCATATATGCCATTCCTTACCTGTGACCTGGCTCAATCCTATCATTGTCATTTAATCTCTCATGTCGTACGTCAAAGCTATGAAGGGATTTGCTGATGACGCAGCATCGTAGACAAGGTCAGTAGTGAAGAATTCGTATGAAGCACGTCTGACCTCTAGGCAAATTTGAAACCTACTGACGTCGTGTTGGAAGTAGGTCCAGGTACTGGTAATCTCACCATGAGGATATTGCCCGCTGTACGTCGAGTAGTGGCAGTTGAGATGGATCCTAGGATGGCAGCAGAAGTACAAAAGCGAGTATTGGGAAAGTGAGTAACTTTTGAACACACTTAGAAATGTCTTTACATTCATACCTCTTCCACAAGACATTAGGCATCGAACCTGGTGTTCTATGAGAAGAAGCTGAAGGATGATGACTGATATTTAGACCCGAGCAGAAGAAATTGGAGATGATCATAGGGGATTTCGTCAAAGCTGATTTACCTTATTTCGACGTTTGCATTTCCAACACTCCTTATCAAGTGAGTGAATACGATCATCATCAAACCAACTCCCTATTCTTCTCTGAAAACCCCTCCTCGCCGAATCTTTCACATCAATCCAAACCATCGTTTTAACACAATTCATCATAGGTGAAAAATTTCAAAAATTACTTTCTGAAATAGTCCTCGTGGAAAGTTTGACGAAAGATTCCAGACTCAAGGCTGATCCACAGATATCCTCTCCCCTAGTCTTCAGACTCCTTTCTCATCGTCCCTTGATCCGAACTGCCGTCCTAATGTTTCAACGTGAATTCGCCCTTCGACTAGTAGCTACCCCATCTTCCAAATTATGGTGTAGATTATCCGCCAATGTCCAACTATACGCGCGTGTTGAACATCTTTTAAAAGTTGGAAAAGGAAACTTCCGTCCTCCACCACAAGTAGAATCTTCAGTCGTCCGACTAAGTCCCAGAGATCCTCCTCCTCCTATTCGATTCGAAGAATTCGATGGATTGACACGTATAGTTTTTAGTCGTGCTAATAAACATGTTAGAGCATGTTTTGGTGCTAGGGGTGTGAAAGAAATGTTGGAGAAAAATTATAGGACTTGGTGTGCTGAGAATGAAAAGAAGGTAGAATCGGATTTAGACATGAAAGAGATGATTGAAAAAGTTTTACAAGGATCTGGTTTTGCGGATAATAGAGCTGCAAAGATGGATGTTGATGATTTGTTAAAGTGAGTCCTTTTCTTCTTCTTCTTCCCCTTCCTCTTCTTCCTTCCTCTTTATGTCTTTGACCAGTATCCTAGCTCAATATCAGGTTATTAGCGGCATTCAATATCCAAGGCATGTGAGTTATCTTCTTTTCATATTCTTGCATCGATCCCTAGCGTAGCCGCTGATGGAATAGACATTTCGCTTGAGAAAAAGTCTGGAATCATTCCGGTTCACCTCGACGCTTCGTGTATTATACTTGAGTATGCATTTCGATGGCGACAACAACGAACAATCTCTATTATTAAACAAGATCTCTCCATTTCCGATAGACCCCCACACCACCACATCACCACACCATCGCAACCTCTCAAACCTGTTCAGCTTCTTTTGCCATCCGTTCAGGAGCGTCATATTCATTCTCCCCAACACCTTTCCTATGCGCGTTGACACTTTCTCTTCTGAACAACCAAGTAGCTAAACAAATAGTGAAAATACTCATTCCTGTCCAACCTAACAAAACACCCATATTTCTTCCTATCTCATTTTTAGTATCGAATATGATAGTTCTGATTATACGTCCTACGTTGTAGAAAGGCATAGCTACACCATAACGGTATATCCAAGGTTGAAGATCATGAGGGAGAGTGGCGACGCTGATTGTTTAGTTCTGATCATGTTTCTTTTCATCTTCACTCCAACTCCCTTTCTCACAAAATTATGTAACATGAATGAGAGGCGGGGGGGGGGGGGGGGAAGGGGGAGACAGAGAGATTAAGGACGTGGAGATACTCACGAAACATTGACTAGAATCCAAGGAATAAGGAAGAAACTTATAAATCGTGGACCCATGATAGTTATAGCAAACTCCGTGGCGAGACCGACACTTGCCATACCCAAAAACAAAGTCCACGCCCAGAGGAAGAACCCTCCGGCATAAGTGAAATGAGCACCGAAATGAGCTTTGAATGGGAGGGAAATCATGGAGAAGAAGAAAGAGATAGGAAGATAGAGGGTCAAAGGGGCGAAGATGCGGTACATGAGGTATGATTTTGTGGTTAGGAATGGTCCACTTGATTGTCAGTCACACATGATTGTACTCTCCTTCATCTTCTACCACATCTTCCTCCTGCCGGTTCACGTTACCAACCCCAAAAGTAGAAATCATGTGGTCCGTTCGATAAAGGACATGTGAGGGAACATGTCGGTACTGGTAGCCGGTAGCCACGTCCATCGGAGTTGAGAATGTGACGAATCGAATGAGGATCACACAAGAAAGACAAGACTTACATAATTTCCCGAACGGCATTATTGGTCATTGTCAAGATGAAAGCCTATTCACATTAAACAAATCCAGGGTATAATCACAAAGCGGACTTACAAAGATCAACATGTAAATGAGACCCACTAATGTGATAGCCGTGGCGACAGGTTGGTTATAAGGACGAAGGTTTATCATTTCGAACGAAACGCTCTGAGCTATAGTACTGGGTGCTTGTGCCAAAAGATTCATAGCAGTGACATTATTGGCATTTTCTTGTATACTGAATATCAGTAATCTTCCCTATATGACCCAGTATGACCAAACTCTCCGTCAATACAATACACACATCACTTGTAAAATTCGTTCTGAAAGTACTTGCGACTGGCAATCGGTCGATCACGGAGACAATTTCCACCCAGTGGAGAATAACGAGGAGGAGAATAGAGAATGAAACGATGGATAATTCAAGACTCACTATTGTCCGACCGATTGAAAAGAGAATTTCCCAACGACCATTCCTACTTCCAATTGTAAATTCGGTACTAAATAACTTCCAACGGCATTTTCGTTCCTCGCTTGAGAATAATAAATCGATACTGCTGAAGTCCCATTATAACTGTTATTCCCATTTTGTCTAGCATTGACCAAAGATGTCGAAGCATCAGGATTGATAATTACCGCTGCCCACGCTCCTTCATCTACTATATTCCGAGCGAGGAGATCATCTGTGGGGAATTCGGATGGGGAGGTGATGAAGTATTTCAAGTTTGTTTGTTGTAGCTAATCATCAGTCCCATATCCCTCTAATGTATTGCGTTCTAGAAATGCGGAGATGACCCTATGGATTGAAGAAAACCGACGGGTGAGGATGAATATAGAAGGAGGAGAAATGAGAGAAGTAGAACTCACTAATCCTTGTGAAACACTTTGACCAATGATACCCCCATCTCTATCGATAACTCGGACAGTAAGGCGATTCGTATATCTATTGGCTTTCCAAACTTTCTTATCAGTATAACATCCCTAAATCACACATGAAAATCCCTAGATTAACAAATGGGTGTAAATGGATCGACTATCTGAAGTTGGAAGATCGCTCCAAGTAGGAAAGATCGCTACTGGGTGAAAATCAATGGATCCCCGGAATAGGGTCCAGAGGACAGCAGTTGAAAGAGGGAAAAAAATTATCATTTTCGACGTATAAAACCTTATTCCCAGTAAAATGGGTTAGGGGTGTGACTAGAAAACTCACGAGATCCCCAATATAAAGGTAATGTAGCCCACATGACCAAAATAGTTATGATAGTTGTCATTCCCAAAATCTTGAAAACTATCCCTCTGAATTTCTTCATTTGTGGGTCCCAAACTAGATATCAGTAGAGTACTTTCTCTTCTCCTCCCTCGAGGTTCCCATCCACGATTTTCTTGCTGAGATAGATGTTTATCTCTGTAATCCAAGCGTGTCCCCCTCCCCAAGCCGAAGTTGCAATACAAAACGGAATATTGTCTGTGAACCACAAACCAAGATTTCACACTGTCATCTGCCCGTCTGACCATTCGGTGTCACTTCCACTCCTAATCCTGATCCTCGTGCTGAAACTAGCGATCTTCTCGAAGAAACAACGCGATGACAAGGACCACCAAATCACTCTCAATTGGAGAGAAGAAGAACACGGAACAACAAACGGCCGGATAAGAAGTACATGAAGATTGAAGGGAGATGGAGAATGAAAATAGAAAGGGGATGAAGAAAGATAGGAAAACAGCCTTAGAACAACTCACATCCATATGCATATTTATCCAATTTATGTCCCCCTTCCCCTGGTCCTGAAGCACCAACAACCTGTTTAGCAGGTTCGAGTCTATTAGCATTTTGAACTTCAGGCATTATACCTGGTCCATTATCCATCTCTCTCCCTTCATTCACTATCAATCCATTACCGCTACTATCCTCATCACCATCGTTCATAGTTGTTGCTGTACTATTTTCTCTCTCTTCTCTTCCTGGTTCATTTTCGGTTGATGTCATTATATTGATGCTTTGTAAGTCTATGGGAGTATGAAGTTTGTTAAATCACTTGTGGTTACACTCGGTTGAAGCGAGTATACGAGTAAGAGGGTTCGGTTCCAAGATGATGAGTAGATCAAACGATATGACAACAACTTGGTAAGTTTCCACAAGAGATGGTTATGAAGACGAGATGACGAAAGTAGAAGCAAAAGTAAGTATTTAAACCATCTGACCAAGGCCGTCCCAACCATACATGTATGACGACCCGCCGAGGTCAGTCACTGAACACCGAAAGCCGAGGTGGATGCGGCATGCGGCGATTAGTCGCAAAGGCGTCAGATCTGCGGAATAAGCGGATCCATCAAACCGCGGTCAATTTAGCCCGTTGGCCCGATCTCAGGAACCATCTCGGTCTTGATAACCGAGCACATTCATTCGTCGACAGAAACTACGAGTAAAGTAAATCATGGCATAAATATTCAATTGTCTCTCTGGCATGCAACTCATCTCATCTTTCCAGTCCATGTTATTGTCACATCGACTCAAGTGCCATACAGCATCGCACAAGTGTCAAATACCTAGTGACCGTTTACACCGTTACCATTTCCGTTCACATGGCTCAACGCCGCATCGGCTTGGGCCAAGTCCTTCTCGCTCAGTTTGCGTCCACCATGAGGTGTCTGAGTGCCTGAAATGGCAGAGCCCAGAGAGTCGGATCGGTGACGAGGTTTCATGACCAGTGGAAACGGGTAATGGTTCTCGTCGTCGTCGTCGGTTACACCTCGCCATTCTGCGCGTCAGCCATTATCCGTTGTGTTCGCGATCATTGCTCATCAGACTCAAAATTGATGTGACAGGTGCCAAGAGCAACGGGGGTAAGTTGTGGAAATAAAAAGGACAGCTCGGGCATGCTCAGAAGTAGATGCGAGCATGATGGACAAGCTACATGGAGACAGCATCCACTCACCCTTACCCCCCATATAATCCTGCGTTCCCAAATGTTCCATCTCCTCAGTCAACGTCGCATAGTCTCCAGGCGTCATCATACCCGTTCTGAACTTCGGACTACCAGGTGCCGACAACGGTGCCCCGACCCTCTGGATCCCACTAAAGTCAGGTTCCTCATCATCGAACGAGTCTGGGTAAGCGCGGCGCATAGCCAACTGACGAGCTTTGACGTATTCCATGCCTAGAGCTTTCCAGTCGAGCAACTCTGACAGACGCTCGGTACGGTTACGTTGATTGATACGTTGACGACGGGTTTTGTTGGCGAATGCGACGAGTTGGTTAGTCTAATTGTCAGCTCGTTCTCGTGGGCATCAGACTTGACATTGGCGGACTCGGGGTGACATGAACCCAAATGAGAGGCCGGAGCGGGTGTCACCCAGAGTCTCAACAAGTGCGAAGTCAACGGGTAGTCTCGACCTGAATACAGAGAAGCCAGATGGTGACAAAGGCTTGACTCACCAACTGAGCTACCGACTCCTCCACACCCTGACCACGTCGATCAACAATGTAACACCCATAATCCTCAGGAGTTTCCAGTAAATCTTCCATGAAACAACCAAACCCAGACAAGTTGGTCGTGACATTAGGAATTCCCATGACCGTACATTCCGCTGGGGTATAGCCGAAAGGTTCATAGTACGACGGGAAGACACCCAGATGACATCCCCGCACGAACTCTTCGTAGTCTAAACCCAGAATAGGGTTGTTGGAGTTTAAGAACTCGGGATGGAAGATGATCTTGACACGATCGGTGGGCCGGTTGAACAACTGAACTCGGCGGATTTGACTGAGGATGGGATCACCCGCGTCATCTGCCATGTTGTGTGTTACGACAGGAGGAAGAGAGTTGCGTTTTAGAGCGAAGACACGACGTTTGAGTAATATCTTGTCTTCGCTAGATAGTAGTTGATCAGCGGGAAGTACCTCTGTTCCATGCTCGCTGACCACATAAGCCGAGTCTCCTTCATAAGGGAGATTGACTCACCCGGTGTACCTGGCGGCATGCTCGAATAGCCGTTTACCGACTTTTGCAGTTACCTGAGCAACCGTTTCTCGAAGTTGTTGTGTCACCGCTTGACCCTTTAGGGCTTCAATGGTGTAAGAGTTGGTAGCGGCAGGCATGATGATGAATGCCACTACAGTCATGTTTGATTTCATCGCTTGCAGACGATGATTCAGACCTATGACGTCAGATCATGCACATGAATTATACTCAAAAGACTTACGGGCAAGAGCTTCGATGAACATGTCGACACCCTTATTGCGGAACTCGTAACGACCAGCGGTGAACAAGTAAAGTGTATTATCCAAGTCGAAGTCGTAGTATCCGTAGAAATGGCCCCGGATGAAATCGTTGATCTTCTCTTTGGATTGGACGTGGAGATTTTGGAATTCGTGCATGGCTGCAAATTTGACAACGTTAAGTCCGTTAGGCAGAACACCGTCTGTGTGTGAACAAGAGCTCATGCGTGACTGGATGTATGGGACTGACCAGGTTTACGCTTCAACAGATGCTCGCTCTCAAAAGCTGTGATGTGGGACACCGTGGTGAAGACATCTGAGCAATGTGCCGCAGATCGCTCAATACAGTACCTAATCAGTCAGCTGGTCCAGCAAATGAGAGCGGGACAACTGACCTATGGTAGATCCCTCTCTTACCAGCTTCATGATCCACATCAAAGTATTGCAGATTATTGTAGAAGTCAACACTACCAGCACACAAGTATCGACCCAACAACGTCGCATGGGTTGTGAAAATGGTAGTGACGTCGATATGTCTCTTTCTGCAAAGAGGGATAGCGACACCCGCTTGCCACTCGTGGAAATGAGCGATGATTGCTGTATTGGTTTCGCGAGAGGAAAACTTGTCTTTCAGCTAAATCCCAAAATCGATAAAAGCAAAGCTGACCTCTCCAAGAAACCAAGCCACGAGATATCCGAAGACGATCGATTCGTTGGTTTCGTGATCATTGGGAGGACTTGGAATTCCAGCGAGATTCCATAAATCGGTCTTCCATTCGTCCATCCTACCCTGTCAGCTCATCTCTTGAGCCTGAGAGAAAAGTCAGCTCAAAAGGACAGACCTATTGTAGCAACTTCCAGTGTCAAAGAGTAGAACTCGGGGTGCTCCTTCGATAAGCCATCTGCCGTAGATCATGTTGACCCCTCTTTCACGCATGGCAGCCAGGGTATCTGCGAATATAGTCCCTGGTTCGCTACAACTTCAACACTTATCCTCTCTATAGTAAAGGAGGATCTCACGGCTCTTCAGATTCCACCTCCATAGGTGCAGTCTTGTAAGACAAAGGTCCGATAAGACAGTATCTTGACGTTAGAATATTTGATCCACAGTCCGCTCGCAGAGAAAACACACCTGTCTCCATATTCTTTGACTGTCACGGGGACTTTGGTCTTGATAACAGTGTAGATACCACCAACTTTGTTGGCTACCTCCCAGGCACATTCAAATAAGAGAGGTTGATGGACAGAGCGGGGCATGATGGGTGACCGGCAGTTATTTTACTAAGCACAGATAAGAAGGAAAGCGGGGAATGTTGAAGATCTGAGTGAGTCAGCGCTTCAAACAGTATTGCGAGACGTATATGAGGGAAGGATGTGTCAAAGGCTAAGAGGGTTTTCGATTGGGTGGAATGTGAGTGATTTAGGAAGAAAGGAGTCTTTTATCATTCCTTGGTCACGTAGCCGAAAGCGACCAACGGGGGTCTGGAAGCGATAGACGTATGGAGTCAAAGTGAAGGTATTGAAGGTAGGTCAAGCGGGATGTACTTTTCAGATGACACAGGCCGGTCTCTACTAAGCAGCAGAAAGATGTTTTCAGGAAGGGAAAGAAATCGTTCAACCCATCTATGACGAAATCGAAGGAGCAACTCACTGACCAAATGTTCTCCACTCGTTTGTCTGGAATGTCGATATCTGCAATGAGCTCAAACGATTCCAGAGACGGTTCGTATGTTGAAAGGCAAAAAAATAAAAGAAGCGACCGGGTGAATGTAGTCCGAAGGTGAGAGGAAAAGATTGGATGGGGAGAAGCTAAAGAAGGAGCCCCCATTAGCCGCCCTCATTCGCTGGTTGGCGCCCACGTCATAGCCATTTTGACCGGTGGGGCCACCCAATGGCCACACGTGTGGCAGTTGATCTCATTCGTGGCGCATCCCATACAACATGTTCACAAATTCGTATGCATTCCCAGATGATTAAGCTTTCCCCCAATTCAGTCCATCAAATGTACACAAGTCTATAGATCGACAGGCAAACAAAGGCTAACACGATAACACAACTATGTACATACTTCATTGACATGAAGATCGGGAGGGTTGTGAGGATCTCAAGTGTGACCTAGATCGTTGAGTGCCTCGGCCAGAGTTTGTCCTTGGTTACGCCTTGGGATTTCGTCAGGTTCATCTCGTTCTTGATGCACTTCCCTTTCGATGTGAATACGAATTTCCGAAGGCATAGGTTGAGGTTCGTTGAGCCTGATATCTGATATGTGAGCCTTTCTTGACGTATCGTTTGGGAGAAACACTTACTAAGTGGTGAAGTGAAGTTTTCAAGCTGAGACTGGTCAGCAACTTTTCACCTTTTTTGAGGGCATTGTATGTAGCTGCTTCGATTCAAGTGGGTATTGACAGGTGAGACTGAGTGACAAGAGAAATAAGTGGATTACTCACAGCCGTAATCCTATCAGCGCGTTCCAGATCCCAAGTATCTTTCCCATCATCGTCTCCCCATTTCTCCCCCGCTTGATTGCTCAACCTCATCGGGCCTCCAGGGTTCGTCAAACCAGCTCGCATATCGTCCAATTCGTCCCATTGCCCACCCTCGCGGAGAAGAGACATGAGAGCGTTGGAAGCTTGATGATCGGGTCCAGCATGCATTTGACGTCCGACCATCACTTGCGGGTCACGCGCAGCGGAAGACCAGTTCCGGGGAAGGTAAAGCTGGAATCAGCACCACATCGTTTTGGACCTTAAAATCATTCCGATCACTGTATATTGTACGAGGAAGCAAGAGAAGACATGAAGAAAAGGCGCATAGGGATGAAGACTTACCACCACACTGATGATAGTCTGGAAAAAATAACATCCGTACGCCGTTTGGGTTAGGAGATCTACACATCAACACATTGGTCCGACTATTTCTGCAAAAAGGCCTGACATACCAGCAGCCACTCTGCAGACATCAGTATCCATTTCTATCATGAAAAGGACAACACCCACGGAGTCAGATTGATCCTTTTCTCCGGAGTGAGACCGTCGACCCCGAGGGTGCAAGCGCAGAAGACGAATGCCAATCGGAAGAACGTCCTGACTTTGTTCGCTTCTGACGAGATTAGGCCGACTGATCATAGCGTGCGGGAAAGGGGCTTACCATGGTAGAAATGCAGCCTGGATCGTACTTCGGGACCAGCACCAGAGGTTTTCTGTCGTTAAACTTTGATACAGCTGGCAGCATCGTGGACTATGGAGGGCTGTGTGGATGAGCTCGAAAGACTCACCACATCCCTCAAGAAAGGCGGGAACTGCCAAATGACGATTGTAGCACCCAGCACCGCCCTACGTAATGAGTCAAACGGTTCATCGTGAAGGAGAAACGTCATACAAGAGCTGAATGATGGAGGCGGCGGTGAACGTCCTCGAGGTTTGAAGAATGAAGTCACCGCCAGTGCGGATGAAAGTCACCCCGAACATCGTTACGAAGACGGCAATGCTACTGGCGACCCAAGAAACGAAGAAGCTCGAGTTGATCCATGCCTTTGCGGACTTCGGCTGACGTACAGCCCGCATGAGGTGATACCAGTACAAACCCTCTTCGACTGTGAGGCAGATTTGACAGCAGAAAGCGACTATGTGTCAGTTTGAACTACTGTGGCCTGAGCCTTTGGTGTGATGCCAGTGGCTCGTGTGTTAACGTGAGAGTTGTGCGATGAGAGATAGGGGCGGAGGCCTATTGGCATAGCCTGAGAACCCACTAAGCTGCCAGGAATTCAACATTGGTTGGTATTTGGCATATTTGTGAGGGTACATTTGATTCGGATACGGTATGGCCCCATACGGTTCCACATACACCCATCCTATGGTATACTTTATGTCTATTCCATCGTGAGCCTGTACATTCTTCTATGGTACGAGAAGTCGAACTCACATGCAAAACCCACCCCCCAGATGAACATTCCCAAACTACTGAATACAAGCATCCACTTGATGGTCAGCATATGTCACTCTTTCAAATATCGACCGTCGGCGAAAGGAGGTCCTGTACGACGTGAGGAGGTTGCATGGTACATCAAGCACAGACCCTCCTTGGCCCGGTTGTGAGCAGCAGAAGAAAAGTGAGACGATGTGTGGATGTATGGGAAGCATCCAACTTACCGTCAGCAAGACGCGAAACCACTCCCTCTTCCTCGGTACGAGACACCTCCACTTGTCGAACTTGTAGGTGTGGTGGGCCATGAAGACCAGACCCTGGGTCAATCAGCACCTTGTCTCTAGTGCGGCGGCATGAGGACGAAACGTACCGTGGCCGAGAGGAGTGAAGCCATGACGATGTTAGTGCCGTTTGACGTAGCCATTTTCACTGAAGCGTCGAGGGTGGTTGAACCAGTTGTCACGAATACTCGTCAAAAGTCAGTGTAGAGATGAGAAAGAGATAAAGGGGATGTCAGCTTTAAGTATTTAGATTACACGCTACACCATGCCCGGCCATGGGGAGCGAAGTGGTGGAGAGGGCCTTTGATAGAGGCGAAAGGGAGACTTGAGCTGGACGTTTAGGAAGGACGGTCCTTGAGCATGGCAGGAGAGGGGATACCGGAAGCGTGAGGAACTTGGGTCTGGGTCTCCATGACAGTCGGGTTGACAGTGGCACTATCTTTTGACTACTTTTGGCCGAATAGGGCCTGACAGGAGGAATGAGTGTAGCGGTGGACCTCTGAGCATTTCGAAGAAAGGGGTCCTTTGAGCCGCCTATGGCGTGGGTGAGCAGTCAATTGAAAGACAGGTGGTATTTCCGATGAATGAAGTGAACCCAAAGCATACGCATTGATACTAGTACAGGCATGCAGACATAGCGGGTATTGACGTGCGGGGTATAGATGACGATGTAAAGGTTGTTGTTGTTGTTAATTGTGTACAGACATTCTCGTCATAACAAGTCGAAATCGTCCAACTGCAAATCAGACATGATCCTTGGAGCGAAAGTTGGATTGATTTTCCCGCACAGCTCACCTCGTCATTATACTTCATGATTGTCCTCTTCCTGGCACTGGTGTCCACCCAAGTCACAAAGTCCTCCATATGTCGAGTGATTAGCATGGCCGGGTCAGTGACTGGCGATGTGCCGACGCGGACGTGTCCTTGCTCGATGGTACGTACAGCCTTTTCATCAGCTTCGACTCACCACAGATTGACAGATCTCACGCACATCTGATACAGTCTCCGCCATACGAAGACGAGCGACGACGACGGCTAAGCGACGACGAGCGATGGAAGATACGGTAACTTTATTCTCCACGTCAGAAGGCTTTGAGCCAGTGTCTGGGTGGATCAGCAACTTCTGAGGTGCATAGTATGGCGTTGTACCCACCCAAGATCCCCATGTCGTACAACTTGTTGAGTATGTCGGCTTCTTTTTGTTGTCGAAATGGATCTTGAGCGGGAAGGAGGGAGAGACGATGGATGAGCGAACGCAAGGAGCCACAGATCTTGTTGTACCTAAGGCGTCAGTTGGTCGGAGCAGAAGAGAGAAGAAGAAGAAGAGATAGAAGACGCACTTGTGATAGTCGTCTCTGTCTTGTATATGATATTTGCGCATGACCTTTACCTCTCTTTGCGACGCATCTTGCTTCCACTGATACACGTCAGCGTCATGGTGAGAACGTAAGACAGCCTATGACTCACGTTCAAAAAGTCTACTTTTTTGAGAAGCTTCTGCTCGTGATGTTTGAGCTTTCTCATGATGACTGTCTGGCACCTCGGTGTGTGTAAGAGAGGTGTCTGATTGGAGTGGTTTGGGGGGGAGATTGTATCATGTCCCAGTTTTGGGGGTTGAAAAAAAGATAAATTGCCGCTATCGCCGACGAGCACCCCCTACCCTCTCCCCCTCCACCAGCTTACCCTGCCAACACACTTATCTCTCTCCTCACCAAACACTTGGTTGTCCTCCCCTCTACCCCCACCCCCTTCCAGCTTGCCATCGTCTCTACCTACCCCTCTGGCTCGTACAGGTCCTCCCACCACCTTTCATAAGAAATCAAACCGCACCGCCCTTCAGAAGCTCATCTTTTTCAGTCTGGACCACTCTCTTTGACGACCGGTCTCGCCCGCACTCTCGGTTCTTCGGTCCGTGACTCAAGCGACTTCTTCTTTGACACCCCAGAAGCAATACTCAAAAGTCGTCCGGTCGGAACAGATAGTGCTTCGAGGCACACGAGGGAGGAGTGAGGTCGTATCTACCGACTCTTTGGGCGCGAAGCTCAGCTTACAGTGAGCACCCGGTCAGCGGCGAGGGAGCATTGACTGATCCGACCCCCCCTTCCTATTCTAACTACTCATCTCTTCGATCCTTTTTCTTCCTTGAAATCGTGTTCTGTCTTCACAGCATCTCTCTCCCTTCTCTGACTCGTCATCAGACTCAGACCTTCGTCAACTGGTCATTGGCCGTTATCCCGAGAGGTGAGCACATCTCTTCTTGAACCCCTCCATCATCTCACACGCCATCACTCTACCGTCACATCCCTTGACACATTTCCCAATACTCCACCGTTCTGCATAGCGTCACGGCCTGCAGACGTCTAGCCCCTGCACATTCTCACTGTACGGCCTGCGACCCTACCTTGACACTTTTAGTCGGACACCACTCCTTTCACATCATCTCCTTTTCTCTACTCCGCTTTGTCCTCTCACACCGACAGATTGACCATTTTCTACTTGATATAACCAGTGCTAATACGTTCTTCTCTCTTCTCACGGACATCTCGTCCCCATCGAACACCTCGCCTTTCATTCCATCATCAACGTCTCTCGTTTTGCCATAATGCTCCTCGTGCAGCGCTCCCAGTCCTCCTTATCCTACCTCTCCCCTCCTAATCTCTTCCGTACACGCAGTCCCAGCATGTCCAAGTCACCCGCAGCGAGCTCATCTCAACCTTCGGTATTTGATGCTCTTGGGTCATATGCGGATCGGATCAAGAATACGGCCTGGCAAAAGCCAGCAGCGACTTTGAAAAATCCTACCCCTGCTGTCGCTGCTCCCCTCCCAGCGTCAAAATCGGCTCCCGCTTCGGGTTCGACTTCACCAGGGGTAAGACCGACAGGTCGAGCGAGTACAAGCGCAGCAGAAGTGATCTTCGATGACAGCGATGAGTGGGAAACGGTGCCAAGTGGGAGGAAGAAGAACACTGGAAAGGAGAAAGGGGCGTGGACGGACAAGGCTTCGAAGGAGAGATTCGAAGAGGAGAGGAGAGCCATCAGTGCCAAGCCTCCCCAGAATAAAGCCAATCCTAAACCCGGCGAGAAGCCGCGAACATCATCGATACCAGCCCACACCACTAAACCAGCTTGGGGACTTCTCCCTCCATCTTCCACCACCACGACGCATACGCAAGCGCCACTCAAGGCCGACCGAGTTCCACCCGTCAGTCCGACTTCGGCTCCACATATGCTACAAGGCTCTCCCAGTCCCTCTTCACCCTCTCTTCTGAGCACGGCGGTGACTGCAGTGTCTCCGAGCTCACCACATTCACCGCGATTATCAGCGGCCGCGTCATCGACCGCCGCGACAAGCGTCATCAAGGGGAAAGACGATGACGAGTCGGTAAAGTCCGACGAGTGTGAGATGACTCCAACCACCATAGCCCAACCTCATCCTGATCGCCAAACCCCAGTTCGCCCGGCTGTAAATGCTTGGGTCGCTCAACAACCCGCTGTGACCCTCCCCGCGCTCAATGGCAGTATATCATCAAAGCCGGCGACGACGTTACAGTTCGGTAGCTTGAGTACCGATGAAAATCCCATCGTCACCAATAACAACCCCGACATCGGTGTGACAGTCGCCAAGGTGCAGAGAAGGTCTGTTCCAACTGCGGTGGATGATAACGTGTGGCCTGATGTTGCCCGAGCCGCGGAGGTGATCAAAGCGGCGGAAGAGAAGAAGGAAAGGCCGAGAAGAAATAGTCTGGGCAGTGGACAAACGGAAGAACAGCCCGCTGGCAGTAGTGAGTCCACTGACTCTCCCGTATTCATGTACTAACTATCAGAAAAACAAAAATGGGTTCCCATACCCCCGTCCGAGCTTGCTGCTGCCGCCGAAGCCGCCGCGGAGGCCCGAAGGAAGCAGCAACGTGAGGCGAAACGAAGAGTCAAGGGTGAAAGTGTGTCACAACCAGGAAAGACGAGAGGAGGATTAGACGTTAAGAAAGTTCCGAAAAGCGAGATTCGTTTACCTCCATTACCGAAATCACAGACAGGTGCCAACGGCTTCAAACCCATCTTCGGTACTGTCACCGGTAGTTCAAATGGCAGCAGCCCCGACTTGGAAGAGGGTAAAGCAGAGGCTTCTTCTGGCAGCATCAGTGCTCCTGTATCACGACAAAATACGAGAAATTCCCGTCGAGGTTCTACACAATCTCGAACCCAAGGTTCCTCCCCAGTCACCCACGCTCTTCCCCTCAATCCGGTAACGAATGGTCCTGCCACCCGACCCGTCGTTGGAACCTCTACGGCTCCTCTTCCCCAACACTCGTTCAATCCAGCCAGCAACCCCAATCTTCCTCGTGCACGCGGTCGCGATGGACGAGCCTCTTTCAGCGGTCGAGGTCGTGGGGGCTTCCGCTCTCACTCGCTAATGGGAGGACGTCAGTGGATGTCGCCAGAGTACATGAATGCAGGCATGTACCCAGGTTACGCCATGGGATACCCGCCATTTTATCCTATGGGTTACTCTCCACCTGGACCCGGTCCATACTTCGACCCCATTCAAGCTCAAATGTACGGCATGCCAATGTGGAATACTCCTCCGGGCGGACTATATGACCCACGAGCTCCACCTCTTGACGGCTTGCAAGGATGGCTATACGGTCAGGTGGAGTATTACTTCAGTATGCAAAACCTAGCAATGGATGATTATCTACGCAGACAAGTAAGTCCCTATGAAGCCAGACAACAGTCTCCAGAGCTGAGATCGCAGATGGACTCTGAAGGATGGATAAGCATCGCTACTATCGCTTCTTTCAATCGTATCAAAGCCGCTACCAGCGATGTCGACATGGTCCGAATGGCCATGCAAGCCTCACCTAATCTGGAGGTTCGTGAGGGCAAAGTACGTCTGCGTGATCCAGACATGCGACGACAGTGGATTCTTCCTAGTGCCGAGCCGAGTAGGATGCCTCCCCTTGAAGAGACTGGTGAATCACATATACCCAATGGTATTTTCGGTCTTGAAGGTAGTGTAGGAGTTGGGAACGGGAGTACAGCTCATCCTCGAATCGCAACTTCGGATGTGGAACATGCGTTGATGAAAAGTACAGTGAGCGCGGGAACGAGATCTATCCCTCCGAGTTCGACCGCTAGTGTTTTGTATGAGGAAAGTGTTGATAAGGCGGATGATACGCCTGCGACTAGTATGTCAGGTGAACGGCATGAGGAAGAACATAAGGGGATGTGAAGGTGTTTTTTGGTCAAAGAATGGAATGAGAAAGACACAAAGAATGTGAGTATATCTCTTGTTTCGTATTGTTGGAAAACCAAGTTGACATTTAGCTAAAGCATGCTTAACAAACGTCGGCAGCATATCACCACAAGTCAATATCTGTACCATTTTTTTTTCTTCTCTTTTTCTCACAACAGTGTTTTGCGGTTTACGGTCAAAACAAAATCTCACCGTCTCCGGTTTTCGGTTTTCGGTTCTCGGTCCCGCCTGGCATTGCATACGTCAGTTTCGTATCCGTAGGATCATCATTTCATCGTCATTTTCTCTTTTTTTTCACTCTCTGCTTTCTTCTAATCATCTTTGCATAGTTACCTCTGGTCGGATGACATCATTCAGAGAGAGGGGAGATATAGGTCGCTTGGGGTTTTCAATCAATCATCAAACGACATTCCCTGTTCAAAAAGACATACATGAATAGGATGAGGATGATTATTGTTCTTGATTAGAATAGCAGAGAAATATTATCATGCATTTTGTGTACAACTTGTGTCTTCTATGTCTACCTTTGCGAATAATACTCCTATGCACATTAATAACCTTTACCATGACCCTACAAAAGGGATTGACTTCCATCTTGAGTCCTGATGAATAGGTTTGGAATCCACTTCAGATGGATCATTTTCGTTCTCGTCGATTCGTGATTGATTCACTTTGGAAGATTGTGAAGTTTCAGGGTTGAAAGGTCGTCTTCTAGCTTGAGATAATTCCCAAGCTAAGCCTTGATCCGTTCGACGAGGGTTGAGATCAAGTACGAAACCAATACCTCTCCATGAAAAGTCATAATAACCTTTTGGCAAATTTAAATCTCCTTCCTCCCTTTTTGATCTTGTTCCATCTCTAACCATCTCATCCTCCTCATTCCCCCGAGAGAGATGATGGTTTCGGGAGAAAATCCAATCTACCAGTCCTTTTCGAGAAGTAGACGTGATTTTTGTGTTGATATCAACCGATAAATCGATTTGTTGGATGGTGGTGAAATCAGAGTTGGTTTCTGGAGAAGAGTCAGATGATTGGGTTGATGTTGATCCAGGTGAAGAGTCAGATGATCGGGTTGATGTTGATTCAGGAGAAGAGTCAGATGATTGGGTTGATGTGGATTCAGAAGAAAAGGAAGAGGAAGAGGAGGGAGAAAAAGAAGAAGAAGAAGAGATGAGACGATCCCATTCGACATAAGCTATTAAAAAAGGATCGAATATTCTTCCTCCGTTCGTTGATAGCCATCTTCTATCAGGATCGGCAGCACTGAGTGAGAGATTTACTTTGGGTGTTATGCTTGTCGGAGAGGGGGTAAGTGGAGAAGAAGGGGAAGTTGATAGAAAGAGTATTGAGAACTTAATTGATTAGTTTGATACGGTGTTTTCGTGGGATGATAATTCATGTGTTTGGGAATGGTATGGAGAGATATAAATGGATGAGGGGATGTGAGGGAGGGATCTACTGTATATATTTGAAGAAGTGTGAGGGATGAAACGACTTAATTGAGGAAGTGTATAGGGAGAAATATACTTAATTGAGGTAAGTGTATAGGGAGAATCTACATGATGGAGGAAAGGTTGGGGAGAAGGATGATTAACAAGATAGAGAACTCACAAGGACTATACAATATCCACATGGTCGGATTGTCCAATAAACAGCTGCTGCAAATAAAGCGAGTACGACGGGAGATGCGGACTGTTCAATATCCAACGATACCAGTGTCATTGCGTAGATATTGAAGAGTGTGAAAGAAGGTCATCATGGCAGAATAGAAGTATACGAGGAACAAAAAGAATTATAAAATGATGACAGTTGAGAAGTTGAAGATTCAGTATCAGCTCAGTCTCATTTATATACGGACGACTCACGGGAACAGGTAATAAGAGAGAGAAAAGAAGTAGATGTTTGAGACACATCATCTCGTCTTTCCCCAATTCAATGACCTACAACACTGATACAATCGCCAAGAACGAGCTTGAGAGATTTCTAGAGATTTAAGCGACTTGGCAGTCAATGTTCAAGAGATAACATGATTGCTCGATCGAGTGAATGAGGAAGAAGTGTCGGAATGTGAATTTGACAGAAAGGAGAAAGGATCAAAGTGGTTCGAGTGAGGGTAAGTAGGGAGACGTGTGGCGGGGAGGAATTCGAGATTTTTGTTGACTTAGAAGATGCATGCATGCTTGGTATTTCATCCTCAAATATGTACAAAACCATTCACAATACCCGTCTAATCTTCTGCGTCGTATTGTTCGTTTCTGTCATATCAGCATGATCTCGATTCTATACTATGCCGTTGCTAGCTGCTTATTGCAATGAAGAAACAGACTGAACGGGTGACCATGGGGAGGGATGGGAACGGTCAAAAAACAAAAACTCACTTCTTCAAAATGACCAGACCTTCCAATACGGTTTGATAAGGGAAATACTCGTTCGTCGCCAACTCTGCTCTCTCACCAGTTCCTATACGTACCGGCGTTTGATGCGTTTGGAAACCAGAGATACCATGTCGAGTACCAGCGAGACCGACGGTATTGACAGCTTGACCGACACGGACGGTGACCGCTTTCTCTTCGAGATTTTCGTCGAGGGTTATGAAGAATTGAGGGTACATGGCGGTGGAAAGCCAGTAAAGCATCCAATGGTGCTTGGAGAGGACGACTAGGGGTCAGTGGTCGATTGTACAGTTCGCGTCGACTATGACAACGCTAAGGGGACACAAAGAGAACAGAGGTTGGGTATGCGAAAGCCAAGAAATAAACCCCATCCACTCACAGTTCTTCGCATCGGTAAACGACACCAAAAGGGCCAAAAGTCCAGCCATGGCGGGACGCGACATGATCTGTCCGTCGTTGAAGAAAGGGTTCAATCCGATTGTTCCTTTTCCCATGTGTACTAATCCCTGCTATGTCAGATTCGTCCTTGATCTTCCGCCTCTCCCTGTTCACTCAAACGCTACGCAAAGATTTAGATAGATGTAGTCATCGACACCACACCAGAGCAAGGAGAACAACCCGCATGACCACTATGGCCACAAGAGAGAGATGAACAGAAACTACTCACCTGCGCCACACGTACGATAAAGTGAACATTTGCCTCTTTATGATAATAAACCGCTAAACCTCTCAACATCTGAGCCAACCTCGCATTGTTCGTTCCCGCTCCAATTAATCCCATGGCCAATACCGCATTACACGCCACATCCAAATCCGAATCATGCGAGTATTTCGACAATGTGTCCATTATCCCCATCTGAGGATTAGACGCCGATATCAGACCGAGTGCCAATGGGACGGTTTTACGGATGATCGGGTCACCATAAGTCATCAGATGTTGGAATTGTCTCAATGCCATTTCAGCGCCAACTTCTTCACCCATGGCGACCAAAGCGATACCCATGACGGCTACTGCTTGGTGTCGGATGGGAGTAGCCTGTTCTTCAGGAGTCTCCTCGGTAGCTGGGGCGAGTGTAGGGGCGGAGGCGGGTAAAGCTCGGGGTGCAGAAGGTTCTGCAGGGGGTAGTAGAGGAGTAGGACCATTGGCAGACATTGAAATATCTCCTTCTGCATCGATAGGAGAAGATTCAGGGGATCCAGCTGGGGTTTCTGTCTCTGAAGCATCGGACTTTTTAGGAGGGGCAGCATGTTCTGAACAGATGTAAAGCATATCTTGAATCTTGAGAACGTTGCCTGTACCGGCGTAGGAACAGACGTCTACGAGGATCTGAGCCACGTTGGCGATAGGATGATCAATGGTTCGTAATGTTTCCACGGTGGCCTCTGAAGCATCTTGCGTACCTGTTCCTATCAGCTTCGTATCCGTCATCGCGGCCGATCATGGCAATGCTCTGTCAGATTGAAGTGATGCTCTGAATTTAGACTCACCCAAGAAAACCAACCCCAGAGCAAGACACATGAAGATGACCCAAGGAGATTCGAGATCTTCAGGACTCTTTTCCATCATCACCTGCAAAATATTACTTGCAACTTCTCCATCTCCCGATCCGACGTGGACGAATCCTAATCCCAGAGCCGCCATACAAACTACTTCCATCGAGTTGCTATCCTCCATCACATGAGGTACCAATTTCTCCGTCACGTCCTGTCTACATGACCCGACATAAGCAATGGCTAACCCATTCATGGCAGCAATTTTCAGGGGGGAACTTTTGCTGTCGACGTGATCTTCCAGCAGGGCAAAGGCCACATCAGGGTCGGTTCTCACCCCGGCGTGAAGAATACCCATAGCGAGTAAAGCCCCCGCTTTGATATGTTCTTCAGAAGAGTACGAGTATTTGTCGATAGCATCGAGTCCGGCTTCTGAATCCCATATCATGCTCATACCGACTGAAGCAGCGGCAGACATCATACCATGATCTTTGTTCTTATAGATCCAACTTTGACCTTCATCCGCATCCACCATAAGCTTGTCATTCGAGAAACCAGCGTTGACAAAGGCATTGACGAATGTGGCGGCAAGGTTGTTACGAGCAGAATCCACGTTGTAGTTGGTCTTTTCAGTTTCGAGATGAGTTTTGTAAACAGAATCAACGGATCGAGGTTCGTGAACGCCAACGGCTTTCCCGAAATTCTTGAAGTGTTGGGAGAGCTGAACGTTGCCCAGGCAAGCAAGTAAATCCTCAGACTGTTCAGGAGCAGGGCCTTCACCTTCCTTCTCTGCATCCTCAGGGGTGTGAACCCATGAAATGGGGACAAGAGCACGGGCGAGGAGATAGGACAATTGCTTCTTCATGATCCTGATCCGTCAGCAACCGATCATATTCTGATAAACAGGTCTTACAGATTTTTAGGTGCAGCATAGTAGATGCGAACTAATTCACGGTCGTTCATCCGTATAGCCAATGCGAGGGCTTCCGGATATCGACCATGAGCAGCATATATCTCAGCTGCAGTCCGTAAGAACGCCCTATCATCGGGAGGCATGAGTAAAGGCACACATCTATACCGTCAGCCTACTTGTAGTCAATCTTTCGAAGCTCGCTCACCCTACCATATACTGACACACTCTAGGCCACGTCTTTTCGTCCACTTTAGGTATCAACCATTCGATGACCTCGAGTTCAAGTAACAGATCCACGGCGTCTGCCTCGGCGTTGTGTTTCAAGAAAAAGTCAACTAGCTCCATACCCAATGCTCTGAGATCCTCCACAGGATACTCTCGGTCTTGAGACTTTTCGTTCAACTTGCTCTCTGATGTTTCTACCTCGGCTACGAAACGTGCGTTGTATTCTTCCCCGAGCTCAGCAGCTAAGTGTCGAACATATTCGTGTCCCCAAGAACCTGGATCTTCTTCGTTTACTTCGGATATGAGGGAGTAGTGAAGAGTGTCACGTTTGCCAGTGTCGGAGTAGGTCATGGCGAGAACAGATAGAATAGAGGCGAGTAAGGCCTAGAGGAATGTCAGCCGTGGATTGTATCAAAAATCAAAGCCTGAAGCATGTGTGTGGACAATATCATAGTCAGATAGATAGACTTTATGGCACAAAGTGGCAAGAGGATGAGACTATGTCGATTGAAGCATGATCCAGACCATTGTCATGAATAAGACTCAGAGGCTAACGAAATATGACAGGTTAACAACCGGTCAAGAACGGAATCTCCCTGTGTTGACACAAGCATATTGAACAGATGCAAACCAGCCCGAACCATTCAGAGAACACTCACTCGTTCAGCTTTCAACCCAACATCCCAACCTTCCCGGATCTTCTGCAACTCCTCAAAATGCGGTCTCAAGAATTTCAAAGGTTTAGGTACACTCGTCATTGAGCTAGTACTTGTCTTTATCAAAGTTCTCAGACTCTCCAATGCCGGGAGATAAAGGTTGGTATCCGATTCCTACAATATTAGTAATCTTCATCTCACAAAGGTACAATGAGATCTCACTCTTAGTCGTTGGACCAGCATTTCAAGTTCGCCCTTTAACTGAAGATCCTCTTCTGACTGATGTGTCAGCTCGTCTTTTACTTGGACACCTCATCATTCCCCAGCATACAGTAACAGGTTACTAGTGAGAGGGAATGTACCAGAAGGTCTCATCAAGAAATGTGAGGGTGGAAAGAGATAGGGATGAACCTACCATCTCAGGTTCGTCAGATTCATCCTTGCCTTTACCCTTGACATCCCCATTAGTCTTTGGTTTCTCATCTTCTTTCTGCGGATCTGTTGATAAGACGGGGATTTCAAAAGTAGGTCTATCTTGCTCATTGGACATTGTTTCTACAAAGTATGAGATGCCCTCTTGGATGTCTAATTGAGAAGAGGTGGAATGACGAAAAGTAAGTGGTGAGGTCACGAGGTCATTTGCCAACGCGTAAGCTACTTGCCACGTGGCTTTTCACTTCCTCTCAAATTCAGATGCATGTTCCACGATGATGAAGCGCAATCTATCTTTCAGAACGAGTGTCATATAGTGCGTCTATGTACAAGCAGCCATCTCCCTGCCTCTGCCTTGATGATACGTGGGTGAGAAATGTATAAGTCATGAGTCGTCAAGCATCATGCCTTTGGCACCGGACGCGGATCTATCTTCCTCGTGGGATCTTGGAAGTATTCCACAATCTCATCGGTGACTGCTGCCCGAGCCTGCAAGTCAGTATGGCCGAGAGGAGCAGTACGGCAACGCTCACCATTTGGAAGTCGCCCACGATTTTCTGTATGGTGGCTATACAGTGATCTTTCATCTCGCCGCTACTGAGCGTTCCGGCACGATAGTCCTGAAGGTTGTTAGCCCTCGCATACAATACGTCATTCAATCACCCCTCACATCCAGCTGTCGGTTCCGGAAGGATAGAAGATGAATCTGAATTGGAAAGTTTCGGGAGGAGAAATGACCTACTTTGGCCAGCTGATTCATCCGCTCGTCGTCTTCCTCGAAAAAGCTGATGTATTGATAGGCCACGTCGACATCGGGATCTCCCCCCAGCCGACGGTGCTCCTCTTGTGTCGCCCTACCTCCCGAAAAGGCATGCGACCGGATCTTTTTCTGAATCTTCTTGGCATCATCGGTCATGAAAATCGCCGAGTTTTCTTGAGAAGCCGACATTTTGGTGTTTGCTCCTTGGAGTGCAGGGAGGAATTTTGAATGCAGCAAAGCGGGCTTTTTGTAACCAAGCCGATCTGCGGCGTCCCGTGTGAGGAGGAACTGGAGGTCAGCGACACAAAGTCGAGCTTGGTGGCGCCCTCAAGCTATCCTGCCAGTCCTGCATGATACAAAGCTTCCAATTTGATAAGGCATCTGCAGGGATCAAGGATGTGAAGGAAAGCAGAAAGAGGTGGGATTATACCGAGACACTCACATATGGGTCCTGGTCGATGGCACAGGGTATAAGACATGGAATGTCGTCCCGTTCTCCAAATATTTGAGGGAAAGAGTTCGAAAACGCTGGTGTTGCTTGTATCGCGGCGAAGTGATACATCCCCACATTATCGGCGTCAGAAAATCCGAAGACGTTGCGACTTTGGCTGAGTGTGATGGTCTTGGCCATGAGGACGACATTATCGTAGAATGCTCCGCTGCAACATCAGTGACTATACGTCCATGCCCTCGAGAGTGTCGAACATTAGGTTGGTACAGACCGCCGACCAGAAGGCGGTTCCCTGAAGGCAGGGAATCGATGAGAAAACTCACCCCATGCGACGAAGATTGGACATGATGTATGTCTTCTCGGGTATGAATCCACAGGCGATGATATCTTTGATATTGTCTTGGCCCATGCTTTTGTAGTGTCGTAGAAGATCAAGAGGTTTCTTGCCTTTGATCTTCTTCATTGTCTCGGCCTGTTTTTTCGAGTCACGTTCGAGAAGGTATTTCTCGTCATCTCCGAGTCAACACTAGCGGACATCGGTGATGACTTTACACACCTGTGATCTCGATGACAAGAGGGACGTTGAAAGTACGTTGCAGATATCTGCAGGGGTCAGCGGCGGAGTTTACGTGTATAGAAGACGTACGCAGTGAACATGAAAGGGATGAGATGCCCCATATGCATCGAGTCACTTGATGGACCTCGGCCAGTGTAAAGATAGAAAGGTTGACCTTTTTCGTATCTATCGAGAATTATGTTCAAATCCCTATCTGTCAGCCCTAAACTTATCCGAGGCAATTAATCAATCCACCGGTGAGAAAAGAAAGTCCCACGACGAAGCAGAGGATGAGGCTTTACACCTGTAACCTTTTCGAACCGCTCCAGGAGATCTTGAGAAATTAAAGAAGCTCCGAATTTCTGTACAGTCTTGTTATAATCACTCGTGATCAGTCTCTCACTCGACTGTACTTGAAAATGGTGTACTGACATGCCTAATGAACGCCCTTCAGCATCGACTCCTCCCTCAACGTCAAAAGGGGTGATTTTCTGTTCCTTAGCCACACCTGTGCTTTTGACAGGTGGTTCTTCTACATCCTCAGGTATTGTTTGTTGTTTTGGTAGATCCTCTGGGTTACTGATTATCAGCTCTCTGAAATTCGCTTTACTCATGTGAGTATTAGTGCAAGGTAACAAGATGAAGATCTCAACTCACACTCTGCTGGCCTGTCTTGAGTGAGACATCCTAACTGGCTCTTTGACAGCTTCAGGAATCTCATCATCCCCATAAATCTTTTCCCAATCTTCAGGTCTCACAGCTCTTCCTTCTCCCTCTCGAGCCGCATCGCTCTCACCTTCATCAGGGCCGAAGATCCTTTCTGGTTGAGGCAATCTCATCTGACTCAATTGGGCGGAAAGCTGCTCCGACATACTCTCTGACCTGGCCTTGTGTCTAGCTGCGATGATAGCTTCTGGTTCTGGACCAGAAATATCACCAGTATCTTCAGAAACTGCCGACATGTTTGATATTGCGGACATGGGGGAGACCAAGTCGACAGGGTTGAGATGAAGGTTGGAAGGAGGGGGGAGTTCGAGCTTGGAAAGCTCATTAGCGATGGTGGATGGGGTCCTATGACCAGCACTAGGGCGCTGAAGTTTCTGAGGGGTACTGTTTGGATCGAGAGACATTTTGTATGTTGGTGGTGTGAGAAGAAGATGTCTAGGGATTTGAGGGATGCATTCCACTCATCTTATGGCTTCTGAGATCTGACAAGGGCGGAATGACGTGGCATTCAACACCCCCCACATTCCACGTTCACCCAATTCGACATCATGAGCACTTTTCTGACCATACTCCGGCGACTGAACGCCTGTAACGACCACTCAGTGGTCTCTGCTATAGGCTCGAGTGAAGGAATCAACAGGAGACACCATGTTTTCCTCAGAAATCGCCAGATTACGGAAGTTAGGTGTACAGGGGGTTAGTCCTTCCCTTCCTTCTCCTTCTCCTTCCTTGTCTTTTCACTCAAGATGGCGAAAGATTTACATATCGCATAGAGTGTGACTGACAATCAGCTACTCTTCCAACTACTCAACCTTCTCAGCGTGGTCACATCTGGATTGATGATGTGGAAAGCACTTTGTCTTATTACCAACTCTGAATCCCCCATCGTCGTGGTCCTTTCGTGGGTTTTCCGTTCTACCCCTCATGCCCACTCTCAGGTTCTCACCATTGTATTGACGAGCTAAGATATTGTACGCATAAGAACTACAAGCTGACATGTCACAGAGGATCGATGGAACCTGCATTCTACCGCGGAGACATACTTTTCCTTACGAACCCTCACCATGACCCGTATGAAGTTGGTGACATTACCGTGTACAAAGTGTCAGTATCCGGATCTTCACCTTTTTCTCTCTTCTTCTCTTCTTCTCTTCATCAATTCACCCATGATGGACTCTTTGCCATGCCTCTTGACATGCGTTTGTCCCTCGTCCGTCAGGTCGATATTAGAGGGGCGTGTTCAAAAGTACAGAGGCAAAGCTCACATTTCAGGCCCGGTGGAGATGTACCCATAGTACACAGAGTGATAGAATCACATATAACGTTAGTCTCATCTCATCTCTTCATTTATGTGTAGCTGATCAACGCAGGAACACGACTCAACTTCTTCTCACAAAAGGAGATAACAACCCAGGCGACGATCTTGTCCTATATGGCGGTATGCAATGGCTGGAACCGAAACATATCATTGGTAGAGTCAGAGGGCGAGTTTTGTTTCATCTGCCAGTATGTAAACTGATATATATATAGGTTCTTGCCTTATGTGGGTTATGTGACGATAGCTCTGGTCAGTCAGCATCTAAACTTTTAGTTGGAAGCAGCTGATGAATAGAATGACTTCCCTCAACTCAAATACGCATTACTAGGTGGAGTTGGAGTGTTTCTGTTATTACAGAAAGAAGGATCATGATGTATCTATATGACGTTCTGTCTGTTGCTTGTTACTTGCTCCCGGATCTCTGAGAGCAGCTCTATCTGTGGTCCACCCGATTGCCTTATGCTGATCCGTTGCGTCTGGGCCGTGATCGAGGGTTTTCTTTGTGATGTTTGAAGAGATGCTAGCGAGCTAGTTCATAGTGTTCGACATTACCAGGTTATGACCATAGCATGCTGTGGTCGAATGGTATTATGAACATGCTGAATATTCTGGACCCATGGACGACCGCCAAAACTGAATAACCGGTGTCGCCACATCTCTTCCCTCGACGCCTCCTCTCTTCCTCCTTCCAACCTTTGTCTCTTCCGACCTCTCATAGAGTGATTATATAGGTCTTCCACTCCCTCATCTGAGTAAATATTCTACCTCGCCACCTGCGTCTGAGAGATCCGACCTATCGTAACCTCTCCAACCCCCTCCTTCACCATGCCCAGGTGCGTCCCCCCCCCCCCCCCCCGGGCGGCCCTCTAACGCAGGAGTGACTCTCCCGTTGCCAACCATACCTCCTCCCGAACTGGCCTCGTCCCTATGAAGCCAATTCCTCACATTTCATACCAACGACTGATCGGTTAGACCCATTTTTTCTTTTTTTGCTCTGCTTCACTAGAGGTGCTGCTATCGCACGCCCAATTA